TACTACTACTATATATATATATATATATATATATATATATATGTATATAACTATACCAGCGAAAGGGAGAGAGAGAGAAGAGCCGATGCAGGAGCAGGGAGAGAACAACAACAACAAGAGACGAGCGAGAAGTACACAACAACAACAAGAAGAAAAAGAAGGGAAAGAAATAGATGGCTCGACGGAGCACCTCCCCTCACACGCACGATGCCGTCAAGGATAAGAATAATCCGGAAGAGCCGGTCTGCTGACACTACCACGCGGCAAAAAGCGAAGAAACGAGAGATGTAGTTAGAGGTCACAGGAAGAGAAGGTGAGAGAAATCGTAGACGAGCTTGCAAGCACGTCAACCTGCACGAAGATGCTACGCACGGTTTTATTCTGGATCCAAAAGCAGAAATGCTTCTTGTTTGGTCTTTCTCCCCTCGAGGCAGCGCGGCGAAGCGTTTGTGTCACCGCTCCCTCCGGTCCCAGAACCGTCCCCTTTTACGACGACGACGGCACAGAAGGCGCCGCTGCACGCAAACAGCTGAAGCAGCCCCCCTTGGACCCGGTTGACGAGCTAAATTAAAGCTCAAAGAAAAGGAAAAAGCCACGGCAATGATGCACGTCGCACGCACCGAGGTGAATTTACGTTACTGCTCGTTCCCTTTGCTATTTTTGAAGCGTTGGTCTGCGTACCGCAACTTTTTGTTCTTCCCCTTTCCCCCAGGAATATGTGTCGCACGCAGCAACGGCATAGATACCATTTCTTTTCATTCTATGGAAACTGACGACAGAACAGTTCTAATGGGTGGTATGTCTTCCAAGAAAAAGGAAAAAAAGGGAAAAAAAACGGCGTTAGGTCGAACGCGGCCACGCAGCTCATCTCCGGTGGGTGAGAAATGAAAAGAAACAGGATGAAGAAGAGTACATTTCTATGTTTAAATTGTATGGTTGAGAAGCGGAGATGCCCGTCGGCACCGCCGGCTACGTGTGGCACGCAGCAGCAATCCGCTGCTTTGTGCAGCCCACGGTTCCTCCACGCCGGCGCTCGCCACGCATGAGTGGCATCAGGAAGAAGCACCGCAGCGGCCACGCGTTCACTGCAAAAACACAAAAAGAAAAAAGAAATAAACAACTTCCTCCCTAGGTGCTCAGGGTTCGATTGCGCTCCACCACACTCATCATGGCGCCGACCCACACCTGACGATCGGCCTCGCGGAGAAAGGTTACTGCTACGGGGCGGGAGGCGAAGACGAAGACAACGCACATGCCGTCCGCGACCGGGCGACGGCGGTGATCAACAACGGCGCCGTCTCGCTTGCGACGGTGGAAGAGGCCCATGTACTCCGCCGCGATGCCCCGCCCAGCGCCGACGTACACCGCCGCCAACTGCGTCAGGTTCAGTGCCGTCTCGAAGGGCACCTCCTCCTGCGAAAGCGACAGCCCGGTCGGCAGTGGCACCCCCTTCTTCGTTTTCTTCGCACGGGGTCGCTTATCGTGCCGGTACACGTCATCCGCAGCAGCCCACGTGAAGTGCGGCATCAGCACCTCGCTTCCCTTGTACACGTCCACGCAATCGAGAATCTGGCAGAGGCGGAGGTGGGGACGGCGGTTGCCGCGGATGTGCTTCACAAGGAGCGTTCCGTGCGAGCGCAGGAGTGGCATCAGCTCCTTCAGCGGACGCTTCACGATGCCGCTGGAAGGCTCCGCCGGCGCCGGGCGGCGAGACGGGCGGCGCAGGCCAGCGGCGCTCCCGTTTTCAGAACCCTCCGCGGTGTACGAGGCTCCCTCATCACACGCCTCGTCCCCGTTCGAACTGCTGCTGCTGCTGCTGCTGCTGTCACCTTGAAAATGTGGTCGCATCTGCACGTGTTGGCCACCGCCGTCGCGCGTTGGGCGCTTCGACAGGCGAGAGTTGCTCAAAGATCCCTTGATGATCCCCGGAGGGGTGGTGGGGCGAGTGTAGGGCGACGTCGCATTACTCGGTGCCCGTGGTGGGTGTTGCAGGTTCGGTGGAAGATACGGCGGCAGCGCAAAATTAGAGTGGCGGTAGGGTGGGGAAGGCGAGCTGGCCAGAGCGAACTCTGACGCCGCATCCGCTGTGCGTTCGCCTTGAGGTAGGTCGCTGCGATGGCCATTTCGGTGGTAGGTATAGGAGGGGGGTGGGGGCGGGGCCCTCGGCACCCCGGACCCAACAGAGAAAGAAGAAGCCGCGGAGGAGGAGGACCGTCCAGGCACCGAGTGCGGCCGCTGAGAGGACTGTGTTCGACCTTGTGGGTCGGACAGCGCGTCGTCGTTGCGGAACGCCGGCACGCGAGCCGTGATGATCTGCACCGGGTGCGTCCCGCCGCCGCTGTACGCGAGTTGTTGATTCGGCGCGAGACGCGTCGTGGCTGCCGCGCTCGACAGCAGCTCCTCCTCTGGCGAGGAGAGCAGCGAAGTGTGCTGGTACGGCGGCTGGCGAGAGGTGGGTGCCGTCCGCTGCCGCTGCTGCCGTCCGCTGACAGAAGAGGTGGACGTGTTGACGGAGTTGGATAGTCGTGCGGGGCCCTGCGGTGGCGGCGGTGCATATGTGGTCCGCTCTGGTGAGGTCTTTGGTGGCGTGGAGCGCGCGTTTGCGAACTGCGGCGGCGGCGTGGGGGAGCGGATCTCTCTCTCCCGCTCTTCAACCCTTTCCTCACCCGCGTTATCGCTCTCGTTGCCCGCTGCGTCTCCCTCCTCGCTCTCCGACGGCGGCGCGGAGATTCCTCGGCGAGCGCGGCCGTAGCGGCCCTCCTCCTTCCGCGGGGGCGGAGGCGGCGGTGGCGTCTCGGCGCCGGCCGTCACGTTCGCCGTTGGGTCCTCGGCCGCAAACGATGACGTTTCCAGCCCAGCAGACCGACGTGCCTGCCGCACCGTGCGATACAAGTCGATGTAAAAGCACTGCGCCAAGCCCGCCACATCCTCGGCGGTCAGCGACTCCACGCCGCGCTCACCTTCGTCCGCCTCGCGGGCGTAGTAGTCCTTGAGGTAGTGCGCGATGCGGCGCATGTTGGCGGCGTGCTCGTCAGCGTTATGGCACGTCGTCAGTGTCACCGGCTCGACTGTACGAGGTGTGGGTGACGGTCTTGCCGCAGAAGGCGGCGGAAGCGGCGGTTGCCGTCTGCGTCCTGCCCCCTCCTGCATCTGCGAACGCGCTGGTGGATCGCGCTCCCCCACCTCTTCATAGGCGGACTCGCGCGATTGTCGCGCGGCTGATCCGGACGACATGGGCGGCGCCGAGGTACGGTACGTTGCCTGGTTGATCTCATTATCTGGATGCCGATTCCCGCGAGGGCGGTCTCCGCTGGAGGAGAGAGGAGCTTCATAAAGGGGCAGTGAGGGAGAAGTAGCGCCGCCGTGACCGCCGTTTTCGTGTCCCCAGCCCCACAGCAGCGAGGAGCCCTGATGCGTAGATGGTGGCACGGACCCGCGCCGCCACGGAAGCTGTTCCCCAACCCGCGGTGACGGTGACTGTCCCCACAACGGAGTCGTGCGTTGTCGATCGCCGTTGCGCGGGGTAGAGGGGCGCTGCGACGCGGTGTACGGGTTGCGCCACCCGTCGCCCGTCCTGCGCGTTGAGCCCGAACCGTAGCGGAACATGCCAGAGGACCCGGCAACAGAGGCAGACGCGTTACCTTGACTGGTGAAGGTGTCGGAGAGCTTCGACGCTCCGTCCGCGGTACGCGGTGCTCGGCCGCTCGTCAGATGGATCGGCTTTCGCCCTGCGCTGAAGAGTAGCGAAGTTTCTACTGTTCGCGGCGTCTGTGAGGCGCGAGGCGTGTCTAGAAGAGTGCTCCGCTTGGCCTGCAGGAGAGTGCCAAAAGGCGAAGGTACGGTGGCAGCGGCGGCGTACGCGCTGTTTGGCGCCGCCACGTTGTCGCCGTCGATAGCGGAATGCTGCACGCTGCTGCGGTGACTCAGCACCGATATGGTAGATGGCGGCGATCGTCGTGGGAGTGACAGCGGGTCGCTATGAAGCGTCGAGGGAAGGAAGGCGGCGGGGAGCGAAGATGGCGGTCGCGATGGCGGAAGAGCGGGGCGCGTCGCCGGCTCGTCTGGAACTGCCGCGGAGGTGTTGAGGAAGTTTTGGAGGTACGAGATGGAGTCGGAAACGGAGGGCTCCGACTGCGGCATCGCCACAACACGTGCGGGAAGAACGATAGTAAAAAGAAACGATTGTGTGTGTGTGTTTGTATGTGGACAAAAACAAGGTGACCTCAGAGTGTTTCTTGGCGCATTGCTTGAAGTCCGTAATCCTCTACCTGAGTCGCTTTTACTTGAATCTACCGGAGTCTATGACACACAGTGCGGTTACGTTGGTGCTCACGAGGAGGGGGATCTTCTGCTTTCTTCGCTGGCTTCATGGGCAGGTAGTCGTCTCAGCAACAACAGTAAGGAGGGGGGAGGGGAACAATAAATGGGAGGAAAGAGTACACAGAACGAGTATGTACTCATCCTGCGAGAAGAAGCGCATCGTGCGAGAAGGGGGAGCCCGCCGAGTGTCCCGTCATGAAGAAAAAAAAAAGGAACGAGCGAGCGGCACAGATATCGCGTACTCCGCGTGTGCAGAGGGACCCAAACGGAGCACGACAGACAGAGCAGCAAGAAGAGATCCCAGAGGGTATCGCACGCTTCCACCTTCTCTCGCTCTGAGGCGCGTCTTCTTGCGCGGGCCTTTAAAGTCACTATCGTTTTTTTTTTCTATTTATTGGCTGTTTGTTTCCGTTGTGTGAGTGTGTATTGTTTAGGAAAAACACCGACAAGCGCAGTTGCTCCGCAGCAACGAGTCAAAGAAGAAAGAAGAAGAAAACGTCCGATGGAAGACTAGAAAAACACAGTAGAAGGGTCGGAATTAAAATAGAGGGGGTCTGAGCGCGCCTGAAGGTTCAGGGTCACCCTTCACACGCACACACAAGCATACACGCAGACACTTGTGGTGCCATCACAACCAGAGAGGTGCCGTACACGCTACGGCCTCACATCTCCGTGAACAGCAACACAAACCAATAAAAAAGAAGGAGATGGTGACTACAGAACAGAACGTGAGCAGCACGGTTCATCGCAGCCTCAAGCGGTTTTCTTCCGCGATCAGGACGTCCATCGCTCGTCGCACACCCGAAGAAGCGCATCTACGCGGCCACCGCAGCGCAGCCTCGCAGTTCTGTAATACGTAGCCTCTCTCCTCTCTCCCTCTCTCTCTTCGAGAGGGCCGGCTGCCTCCCGCTGGCAGTTGCAGCAGACGTCGAACACGCCCTCTACAGCTGACACGCGCAAAAACAATACAAAAAATAGGTCGGGAAGCACACGTGTCACAGCACAGACATCAAACGATGAAATCAACGCAGCGCGACAACAATGAAACGCACAACAACGAAGAAGGATCTCGCAGAGCAATCAACTGGATTAGTGACAACAGCAAACAGAACAAACAAAAAAGGGTCGGATCTATGGCACTCATGACTGCTCTCTCTCTCTCTGTCTCTCTGAATTCAAAATTATTGAAAGGTGGAACAGGCAGCTTCAGAGTCCCTTCGCCTTCGCCGCTTTCTACGCTTGTAGGTTCAACTCGTATGAAAGTGTGTTGCCTCTCGTTGGAGAACGTAAAAAAATGTTCTCCCGCAACGTCGATCGCACACGTCTCGAACAGTACAGAGAGCAGAAACAAGGAAAAAGAGGGGGAAGAGGGAAAAAAAGAAAAGCACGAGTGCCGTAATCCGGTGAGCGCAAAATCACCGCAAACGAAAAGAAAAGGGGAAAAAAAAACGCAGCAACAACAGTAGAGAAAAGAGATAAAGATAATACAAGAGAAGATGTAACAAAACATGATGTGAGAATTCCCCCCGCCCCCTCCTCCCCCCCGGTACAAGCCACAACCAGATAAAGAAAGAAAGACAATTAATAAATAGAAATAAAATAAAATGCCTCAACAGAAAAGGTGAAACGTATGTGAGTAAGACAAGAGAAAGAGGAGAAAAAAGAAAAAGAAAAAAACAAGAACTGCGCATTTGGAACGGAAGGAGCTGGTGCATATATATATATATAGGTAGATGGGGGAAGGGGGGAGTGTTTGTGTGTGTGCTGGTGACAACGAAAAGACGGAATTATTAGAGAGGCGCAAGTGTTTTCTGGAGGCGGCGGTTTTCGGTTTTGGTTGTTTTTTGGCTGTGGCTCTTTCAGGAGAAAAGACAGGCACTTCCCCGCCGCTCAATACGGAAGGCCGAAGAGCACAAGGCCCGTCGCGGCGATCATCTTTGTGAGGGTCACGGTGCCACCCCTAAAAAAGCCCCGAAGTCCTTCCCGCTGCGCTATCTGCGTCGCACACTCCATCATGGAGGCGTAACGCAGTCGGTCCTCCATCACCGCAATCATCATGCGATGGCGCACCAGGTCGACAGGGTGCAAGCACAGCGTCGTCGTCCCCGACACCGTTAGGCCGGCGATGGTTTGAATGATCGCAGGGGCCCAGCTGCTGCTGTCTTCCTCCGGCGGCACGTACGGGGCCACGACGTTCAGCAGCACATTATGGACAGCTTGGTAGACAACACTGCCAAAGATGTAAAGCGTGAGTCCGCGGTAGAAGTAGTGGGGACACTCGCTGAGCACAGGGTGCGAAAAGAACGCGAAGCTGTTGCGGAACTCGTAGGACGCCCCCACCTGCGACTTCACGTCGACGGCCAGGCGAAAACGCGCGTACTCGAGCGGGTAGCTGACGGTGGTGGCGGCGACGGCGCCGCCGAGGAGCGCCGCGTAGCTCGCGACGGTGTAGCCGGCCGCCGTGTGCACCGGGCACGAGTTGAAGATAAAGGACTGCGTTGGGTAGGCGATGAAGATCTGCGCCAGCAGGATGGGTAGGAGCGACACGACTTGAATGAGGTTGCCGCGCCAGAAGCGGCGCGTGCCCTCCATCTGCTTCAAGTACCGCACACAGGACCACACCGTTTTGAACTCGCACTGGATGGCGCCGGTGCGCTGCAGTTCCTTCTGGCACTGCATGACATACTTCACCCGCTCTATCGGGGCCAGCAGGGTGCGACTGACGGAGCGCAGCAGCCACAGTTGCTGGATGTACTCGACCGAGATGAAGGTGGAGTCGTCGCCGTCGTACCGCCGCGCCCGCTCGCGACGCTGCTCCGGCGAGCACTCGGCAGACGACGGGGAGAGTCGGCTCATGTCGTGCGCTGCCCCGCTTCCGCTGCTAGGACTACCACCACCACCCTGCGCTACAACGCTGGCTGGCATGGTGTGTTGATTAGAACGCTCCGTACGCCTCCTCACTAATGGTAAAAACAAGGAAAAAACGGCGTTTTCCTTTTGGAGGGTATCCACTGTTGACAAGCTGAAATAGGTGTTTACAAAGGATCGTTTTCAAGAACCCTTTTTCTTTCTTACAATCCAATTACTCAGCGTCGACGGCCACCGCAGCAGCACCAGAGAAAATGAAGCACCGAGGAACGCTAGAAACAATACACGGATAACTACTGTAATGATACTGTGAACAGAATTTACAAAAAAGAGAGAAACGAAGAAACTAAACGGAGAGAAACACGGAGAAAAACATGGAAGAAGACGAAGCAACGTTGCGCGCAAACGAGCCAGAAAAAAGGCAAGAGCTGCCCTCCTTCTCTCTCTCTCTCTTTACAGATCAGTGCAGCCCTTCACCTCCGCCACGCATGCGCAGCACAGTCACCGAGCCAGACGCCGGAAAAGTCTTGTGCGGCTTCCACTCTTGCACCAATGCGCGTGCAGCGCCTTATCCACGAGTAAAGTAATGTGACGAGTGCCCAAGCAGCTTCAGAGACCGGGAGAAAGAAGGATATACATCAATAAAGATATAGAAGAGAAAAACGGCAGGTTTAAAGGAATGCGACGCAAAGCAAACCTTTGTACCTAGAGGCGTCTGTCTGCGTGCGTGTGTGTGTGTGTGTGAATAGGGGGGAAAAAAAATAAAGATGTTTTCTTTATACTCATCTATTCATGTAGTAAAAACAACTTCCTGCTACTACAGAACGAATCGGTGTGTGTATCAGTGCGCACGTCAGTTGGCGTTGGCAAGAAAGGAAAAAAAAAAACATAAGGGAAATATTGTGGGTGCGTCGTTGGTATTGGGAGGGACGAAAGGTAAAAGAGAAGAGAGAAAAGAGGATGAAAACGCATGAATGCCGCGCCCGGCGGAAGAGAAGTGATAGGGGGCCATTTACATATACATTGTTTGTTTGGTTGGTTGGTTGGTTGGTTGGAATGGGCAGCTTCGCCGCTCGCAGGTGTGGTATGCGTCACCGCTGTTCTCGCTGAGCCGACTCACTGCAGCCGCAGTTTCTGACCGCAATGTCGACATGCTTCACTACGAAACAGCATAAAAACAAACAAAAACAGAGGAGGGGCAATGAGACATCCATCCTCGCCAAAGCCACACTGCAAATCGAGTTCGTGAACAATACATTAAGGGCATTCAACGCAATGAACACAGCAATCGCAAAGAAGAAAGAAGAGAGAGTGTGTGCGCTCCTCTGACTTCACATTAGTATATAGTACAGTGGCACAGCAAGAAAATGCAAGAAACAGTCATTATCAGGGTGGGAATAAAACAAAAACCGAAAAGCAAACGAAAGCAACGGTGCAGAGGGCACGGCAGATGCAGCTCACTTCGAGCTGAATGTGATGCAACGAATAAAAGGTCGACATCGACGAGTGGATTAACGAGCGAGCGAAAATGAAGAAGTGCAGCTGTTAATGAAAGAGAGAGAATAGAATCTACGAAGCAGCAACACTTTTTCTACACTATAATCCCCCTTTTCTCTTCTTTTTTCCGTCACAACAACGTAATAGAAGAAAAAAAGGCTTCGAAGAAAGCATAATGTGGAGGGGGAGTCGCCGGCCAAGCTACTTACTCTTCTTACGCTTCGTCCAAATGGACACGAAGACGAGCACCAACAGCGCGAGAATACAAATCCCAAACAGAGACAAGAAACACTTGTCCTTCGCCATCTGACGATAAAACCACCGCAGGTCGCGTGAGGCGTGATCGATCTGGCCCTGCAGGTTCTGCAGCTCCTCGTCCACTTGGTACATTCGCTCCGTCTGCTTCTGCAGCTCCGCCAGCGTTGTCTTACCCGTCTCCTCCGTCACATGCTGAATTCTCTCGGCGCGCTGCAAAGATTGAATGGCGTCTTCCTGGACGTTGATGGCCGCGTTAAGGACCTGCTTGGAGTCTGTGAAGCCCGTGCCATCCGCACCGCCGGGCCCCATCATCTCCTCCTCACGCTTCTCCTGATACGTCTTGAGACGCGGTGCTGCGGCGCGGCGTGGGTAGATTTGATTCTTCATCTCCATATCAAGACTACGAATCATCTCATCGCGATCTTTGCAAATGCCATCGTGCACCTGCCGCGCATCCAGGTCCATGATGCGGCGGGCCTCTGCACGGAGGGCGGAGAGCTTCTGCCGTGCCTCGCGCATCTTCGGTCGCGTCTCCATCTCGGCCTTCTTCTTCTCGGGGAGCGTGTTGGCCACAATGACGAGCTCCACCTGTTTCTTGAGCTCAGCGAGAGTGGCATCAAGATCCTCCTGTGCTGCCTGAAAGCCGTCCATTTTTTTGCGTCACTGATGAATTGTGATAATACTAGTGTTGCTGTTTGCGAGCGTGGGCGGGTGTATGCGTGCCTCGGAGAGTCGAGAAGCACAGACGTAATGGGTCCCTCTACACCCCTTCTACTTTCCTTTTCTTTTGGGGGTTGGATAGTTACCTCGAACACGTTTTGAGCAGAAAACTATCTGTTTTCTTTATATTTCTACTGCACGCGAGAGCGAAGCCACGGAGTCGTGTACGCCCTTGGAAGCGGTCAGTTTGCCACGGTACACGTGCGCGGGAGCAACGTAGCCGCACCTCCTGCTCACGTGCAGCTCCAGAGTGCTGGAATATATTAATAAACAAAGCTGTACGTAGGTATGGAGAAGTGAGAAGTGAGAAGGAAGAGGCAGGCGAAACAATAGAAAGTTTCACATGACGGCAAGGGATGATATCGTGCGCGAAGAAGGCACAATGAGAGCAGCATGCACAGGAGGATGAGGAAGTCGATGACACAGCAGTAAGGAACAAAGCAAAAAAGCCTTTCCCTATGCCACCAGGACGCTGCGCGCTGAGATGTGTGATGCACGCCCACCTTCATAACATGCTCACTCCTTTGCTCAACAGTAACCTCCACGTTACAGCGGCAGGCAAGAGATAAAGCGCCGAAGCTCTCGACCTTCCTTTGCCATCGACGGAAGAAACCCATTGAGCATCTCTACGTGGCAAAGGTGCTGACTGCATCTGGACAGCATCGCTCTAAAAAGCGGTCGTTAGACGCAGCCGAACCGCTTGCTGCGATCGACCCGATGACAGTGTCGAACGGTAGGATCGAAGTGCCTCATTCACAACCTTCGTTTATTGAAGCGTTGCCTTCGGCTGTTGTATTGATTGGGATTTTTAGAGATTTAAAAACAAATGAGATAAAATCAAAGAGAAAAAGTTTGTTTGTTTGTTCTGTCAGAAGCGGGGAAACCGAAGCATGACGAGAGCCGGCGGGGTGCGCTTAAGTCACGCCACCGCGACGGCGGAAGCGGCTTGGGGACCGTTACTGAACGAGGGCAGCGGCATCGACACCGGCGTTACGGGCGTGCTTCTTGCGCAGCTCAGCGCGAGAGCGCAGGGACAGCTGCAGACCACCCCAGTGGCGGCGGATCACGTCCGAGCGCGACAGGAAGCGCGCGTTGACGGAGCGGATCAGGTTCTTCAGCGTCGCCTCATCCTCGGCGTTCACGTCCGTGATGGCAACGCACGTCGACGTCTTCTGCCCGATGGCGTCACCCAGGCGCGCCATATCCTTCACGATCGCGTACGGGATCTTGTTGGCGCGGCACAGGTTGGGCATCCACAGCACAAGCTCCACGGGGTCCACGTTGTTCGCGATCACCACCAGGCGGGCCTGCTTCTTCTCGATCGCGCGGGTCACCTCCTGCAGGCCGGTCACGACGGCAAGAGGAGCCTTGGTCGACACCGTCTTCTTGGGGTCGTTCTTCTTCTCCTCAGCGACCTTGTGCAGGCGCTCGCGGCGGGCCTTGCGCGTCTCCGGGGCGTACTTCTTCACCAGCTTCAGCAGCTCGTTGCGGCTCGTGCGGTCAAGCACCTTCGTGAACTGGTTCAGTGCCGGCGGCACCTTCAGGCGGCGCTGCAGCACGCGCTTCTTGCGCTGCATCGTCACAAACGTGGGCCAGCGCATGAAGCGGGACAGGTCGCGCGAGTACGGGACGTCCTGGCCGATGCCGAAGTTCTTCGGGCGGGCCACAAACTGCGAAACCGCGGCGGGCTTCTTGTAGGGCGCCGCCGCCTTCGCGGGCTGCGCGGTCTTCTTCACTTCCTTGCCGGGCATGATGCAGAAGCAAACTGTTGTTGTCGTGCAGGGAGACAATACGAGGTGGCGAGAGAAGGAGTGCGTGTTAGGTGTGAGAGAAGAGGGGTGGGTGAAGCAGGCATGTGAAAAGATGATTCAAATAAGAGGTAGAGGCAGGAAAAGCGAAGGGAGATAGTGAAGGCCAACACAGAAAACACAATCAATAAAGCAGGAAACAAAATCCGTGTAACTCCGAACACGCGCGGTGGAAAAGCCACCACCTTTTGGCGCAACTCCAAAACCGCGAAAACACACGGGCATTGGAAAGCTACGCGGAAAGCAACGGACAAAAAAATATCGCCGTTGCAGCGATGTCGTCTTTCCTCCCTTGTCATAAGCACCTGCGTTCATCTCCCCCTACCTGGATTCACGGTTAGACCACCGAGAAAGAGCGAGGCAGCACCTAGCAGGGGCAGAAGAAAGACACGTGCTCATGACAGAAGTGGGAAAGAGAAGGGAGAGAAGAACGAACGAAAAGAAAAATCCGCCGACGCATTCTACGTCCGGTATGTCGTTCCCCTCTACCACCAGTTACGCGACATCATGCAAGGCAGAGCGTAAAACCGGCTTTCCGATTCTCCTTCGCCCTCCATCACTTGAGCCGCTGTTTGCGACCGATGTGACGGGGAGCCTGTGGCGATGTGAAGGCGGTTTGCTCTTCTTGGTTGTTTGTTTCAAAGACGAAATTGCAAAATGAAAAACGAAAGAAAGAAAAAAGCGATGCACGTTGCAGAGACAGCCCAAACCAAACCAAGCAGAACTCGAGACCAGAAGAATAGAAGGGGCGATGTGAAGAAGAAAACAAACAAACCAGACGTGAGGCCGTAGAGGAGGTGAAAGCGAAAAAACTTCACGGAGATGAAGGTCGACAAGACGTGATCAGCGTTTCCACTGTCGCGCCCGCTTAGAACCACCTCTGTGTCACCTGCCTCACTTCTACTCTTGAAACTTTCCTCTATCTTCGTCTCGTTCCCCTTTTCTTGCTTCTTCCAGTTAGACAGTTTGCTTGTTTCGAAGTTACTGAACGAGGGCAGCGGCATCGACACCGGCGTTACGGGCGTGCTTCTTGCGCAGCTCAGCGCGAGAGCGCAGGGACAGCTGCAGACCACCCCAGTGGCGGCGGATCACGTCCGAGCGCGACAGGAAGCGCGCGTTGACGGAGCGGATCAGGTTCTTCAGCGTCGCCTCATCCTCGGCGTTCACGTCCGTGATGGCAACGCACGTCGACGTCTTCTGCCCGATGGCGTCACCCAGGCGCGCCATATCCTTCACGATCGCGTACGGGATCTTGTTGGCGCGGCACAGGTTGGGCATCCACAGCACAAGCTCCACGGGGTCCACGTTGTTCGCGATCACCACCAGGCGGGCCTGCTTCTTCTCGATCGCGCGGGTCACCTCCTGCAGGCCGGTCACGACGGCAAGAGGAGCCTTGGTCGACACCGTCTTCTTGGGGTCGTTCTTCTTCTCCTCAGCGACCTTGTGCAGGCGCTCGCGGCGGGCCTTGCGCGTCTCCGGGGCGTACTTCTTCACCAGCTTCAGCAGCTCGTTGCGGCTCGTGCGGTCAAGCACCTTCGTGAACTGGTTCAGTGCCGGCGGCACCTTCAGGCGGCGCTGCAGCACGCGCTTCTTGCGCTGCATCGTCACAAACGTGGGCCAGCGCATGAAGCGGGACAGGTCGCGCGAGTACGGGACGTCCTGGCCGATGCCGAAGTTCTTCGGGCGGGCCACAAACTGCGAAACCGCGGCGGGCTTCTTGTAGGGCGCCGCCGCCTTCGCGGGCTGCGCGGTCTTCTTCACTTCCTTGCCAGGCATGCTTTCTGGTATGCGAACGTGCTGTGATGCGCGAGGGAAGTGGAAAAGCGATAGAGTCGATTCGCGAGAGGTAGAAGCGGCGCGTGCGCACCCCAATTCAAGGAGTGGCGGCAATAGAGGAGAAAACGGTGAAGGGGAAAGAAGATGGATGTAAAGCTCTTGCTCATCTGCAGGAGAACGAGACAAAAAAAAGGGGGTAGAAAACATCCGTGCATTACAACGCTGGGCGCGGTAGTCACAGCAGCTCTGCAACTTTCAGATGAGCCTGTAACAGCTGCGCAGATGGTTGCAACATTCAGTTCAGTAGGGTGAGTTTTGCTCCCCTCCCTCAACTGATTCTTTTTCCCCATTTCCGTTCATCACATCCGCTTTTCTTTTTCTTTTTTAAGTCCACTGCAGGGTCGGAAGAGTTGCAGTTGTTCTATTTGTCTATTTGGCTTCTGAAAAGATGCAAGCAAGACGCTTCACAAAATGTGTATCAACAACAGCACCCACCCAGCAGGCTTTCCCGACGTTATTTATTGAGTAACAGCTTTGGCTTGCATATATGTGTGTGTTACTGCGTCGCGAAAACAAATGTGCGTGCGTGTAATCAGACGTGGGCACGTGTCTCCGTATCATTCCAACTCCTCTGTGAGTATCCCTCTTCCTTTAACCCCACGTACGGCTCTCTCCCTCTCGTGCCCCCCGCCCCCAGCAAAGAAAACAGAAGAATAATCGCAGAAAAGACAGAGGGGAGAGGGGAGAGGAGAGAGGGGAGAGGGGAGAGGGGAGAGGGGAGAGATCACCCCCACCCACCATTATCAACCGTCAACACCAAATAAAATCAACTGAAAAGACGATACGTACGCGCACACGCACAGCCACACACGCACAGTCACACACGCAGGTGAGAGAGATAATAACAATAAAAGAGTGAAGTGAACTCGTCAACAGCCACCGCGGCAGAAACAGGAGATAAAGATCAAAGAGAATCGTTGGCATGACGTTGCATCTCAAAACACCAATGGCGAAAGACGACCATCATCACCACAGGAAAGAAAACAAGAAAAAAACGGCCCAGACGGCCGCTGCCTTTCAGCTCGCTACGAGTTCGATGTCCTTCTCTTCTCCTTTGTGATACTGTCCGCCTAACTTCAAACATGCTCAAAGTATCGTTAGCGCTGTCATAAACCTCCCCGTGCTCGAGGGGCAGAAGGAAGCACAGAAAACTAGAAAAAAGAAGCACAACAGATATCGACGCGCTTCCTCACAGCGCAACAACAACCTCGCCAACATCGTGAAAAAAAACCAAGCGCTTCACTTGCACCCAATCACGGAGAAAAAGAAGGAAAGTAAGAGAAAATGTGGACACGAAACGTACACAGCAAACAAGCCTCAGCACCAAGGACGAAACGGAAAAGGAAAACTCGCGACGGCGTGGTCGCACACTTGCTCACACTCTCTTACACACCCGAAGCTTTTTTTCCTAGTTGTTGCCACCCCGACTGCCGTGAATGGCACTAGACGAGACCACGCGATACGTCATGGATACTGCCGCGCGATGTGTCGTGCTTTCGTGGCCAGTCCCGCCGCTACCCGCGGCACCGCCTGAACTCGAGCCGCCACCTTGGCCACCGCCGGAGGGCAAGCCTGTCGCGGGTGGACCCAGAACCGACCCTTCCCTCGACGAGCGGGCTCGGGCGACGTCCTGCTCAATCTTCTTCTGCTCACGCTCAAGGAAAAAGTTGAAGACGCGCTTGAACATGCTTGCCTCCTCCTCATCTTGGTCCTCGGCATCCGCGCCGTCGTTGAAGTCGATAGGGGACGCGTTTCCACTCGGTGACCCGGGGGTGTCATGCGCACCGTGGTGCGTGGAGGTGAATCCGGGGACGTCTCCCCCGGACGGCGACAAGGAGCTGGAGTTCATGCCTTCATCCTCGTACGAGAAGTTGTACCGGCTCTCCATCGCTTCCCGGTTGCGCTTTCTCAGCTCGGACTCGATGTACGCCTTCTCCTTTCGTTTGTTTGGCGGGAAGAAGAGGAGCTCCTGCGTGTTGAGGTTCATGAAGCGGATAATGCCGGCGCTCGTGCGGTACAGCACCCACCCATCCGGCAGCGCGTCCGACATGAGCATGCGCTCCACCATGGCCATCAAGTCCTCGTCGCGGGGGAGGCGGATGCCGAGGCTGCTCCGGAACTCGTCGACGTCGCGCCGCGACACCGCCGTCTCATCCTCCTCGTCTTCTTCGTCTTCGTCGTCGTCGTCGTCGTCGCCCAAGGCGTGGACGGCGCCCATCGGTACCGTGGTCATGCCACGCAAGTTGTCCAGCAGCTCGTACTTCCGCTCCGCTCGTCGCCGCTCGGCGATGCGCCACTGCGCGATGAAGAGGCGCACACGGAAGCTCACGTAGTAAGTGCCAGCCGCTGCGAGGACGCCGGCGACGGGCACCCACAGCGGCACCACCTCAAAGACAACGCGCAGGCCTTCGGTGAAGGTCGAGGCGGCGTACACCCGTTGTCGCCACTCAAACAAGTTACCACCCGCACCACTGCTTCCCCTTGAGGAAGAAGGGAGGTTGGGGGACCGCGGTGTGCTGACCAGGATCTCGTTTTCACCACTACTGAGCCCGGTGACGGGGGATGGGGAGGAGGACATGATTTGCTAGCCTATGTGGTCGCCGTGACGCGGAGCAGCAGTACAAAAAAAGAGAGAAAAAAGGGACAGAGTTTGAATTGCAGAAAGCTGTGTTTGAACTCCTGCGTGGCGTTGCGCTTCGACCACAACACCACCGCCGCAAAACTGAATGATTACTCACGAAAAGGCAAACAACAACAAAAATTGCGGCGTTTTCCAGACAACTGCGATAATGCAAACTTTCTTTTCGGTGTATGTGTGGTGGGTGAGATAAGAAAGGCCTTGCCAAATATGTATAAGTGAATAAAAAGCCTGCGCGCACTACAGGGCAAAAACTAATACAAATGAGTGCGTGTTGCTGCTGATAAACCTAGCCGAAGATTGGGGTATTTCCTTGCTTTTGCTTCCGTTGTTGTCGCTGATCACGGTACTGATCTTTGTGTGTGTGTGTCAGTGTGTGTTTTACCGTTCCTCTCTAAAAATGAGAAGAGGCAAGATGAACGCAAGAGACCGATAACGACAGAAAACCACAAGCAGACTAAAAGCAGTCGCCAAGCCCTTTCTTCCTTCCTCGTTTTTTCAAAAGAACTATTTTTTTTTTTCTTCTTTCTGACGCGAGAGTACACGACGACGCATCCGTGTGCTGTCCGCCGCCGTGGCGCGAAGTCGAGAAAGAGTAAAAGAGAAAAAGAGAAAAAGAAGCAGGAGAGACAAAGAGCGGAGGAAACGGAAGAAGGAAGAAGGAAGGATTGATGCAAAGAGGTTGGCAACAAAGGAAGCGCTACTTGTCGCGTTGCACAGCACAGGACGCAGCTGAAATTCATCCATACTCTGGCTGAGATTGCCATCTTTCAAGCAAAATGCCGTTAATAGTTTTCTCCCCTCTCCTCTTCTTGTATCTCCGTGGCCCGAGAATGCTCGCCGTGTTTAGAAAGAGAAAAAGGAGAGAAACGCGCGCCGTATATGCTTACCCTTCAGTGGGCGCAGAAGAGCGCAGTAGATACGTCACACCTTCTTCTTCTTATTCTTGTCTGATTGATGTTAGCTCTCTTGCGCATTCCAAAGCGCTTCGGCGATCTGTACATGAGAATGCAAAAACTTACAAAAAGAAAAAAGGAATTTAATGAAAAGTGATAACTGTACATGAGGCGGTCACCGCCTTCGAGACTGCGTTGTTCAGGCGATCCACACATACGCGTCCAGGGCGTCTTGAAGTAGGAAAATGTTGCCCACGACGCCGTCGTTGCCAGCACTGTCCTCCGCCGTCAGAGGTTTGTCCTTCACATAGACAATAGGGTCCACGAGCCCACCCGGACAAGGCTGGTCGTACTCTACGCAAAGAGGAAGCTCGGCTGCGCCAGGCGCAGCGCCGCGGCGAACGCTATTCCAACGCACGGGTATAGGAACGTCGCTGAAGCTCCACGTGTGGACTGCGCTGCGGCCGTCCGCAGCCCGCGGCGTGTGCGACTCTCTCCGATCCTCCACCTCCGTCACAAAAACGCTCTCACTCGTGTGATGCACCTCGCGAGAGATGGAGCCGGAGTGGGCGGTGGAGAGAGAGCGCGAGGTGGGGGCGGTGTACCTGGGGCGGCAGTCGGGGTTGGTGTCCCACAGAGCACCCTCCGCAGCCGCCTGTGGCCAGACGGCGCTGCACCAAATCAGCCCTGGTGACAACTGGTCCGCACATCGCACACGCATGCCCACCTCAACCGAAATTTGGTGCGTGCTATCGTCCTCGCTCAGTGCATCGCTGAGGTTGACGTCGCTTAAAGCGCCGTCGATCTTCGCTTTGTTTCGCCGAAGCAGCACTCGTCGCACGGCGATCACTATCTGCGCCGCCGCGTCTGTGCGCCCCACAGGCTCCGTATTTGTGTCGACAGAGCTTTTCTCTGCCGTTCCTCTCCCCCGTCCCGTCAGTTCCCGGATCTGACGCAGCAACGAGGGAGAGAGCTGAGCTCCGTCCAACACGACATCCGACGGCGAAAGAAAACGCTGCTCTGTCACCATGACCACCAGAGCCGTAGCGACCGCGCCAAACTCTCTGGCGCCGACGAAGAAACTGCCCGCGACCTCTGCAAAAGGCGAATTGGCAAAGGGGTCCTCGCCCGATCGGCACGAGCACGGCGCACGTAGTGATGAGACAACGCCGCTGGGGTTTGCAAGGTCTTTTGGCGCCGTACCCAGCGCCGCGGACGTGAGGTAGTGAAGGTCGAGCAGAGGATGCTGCAGCGCTGGAAGCCACAGATGAATGAGTTGGGTGTCAGTGCTTTCTGGAGGAACGCTTGCTGTGCCTTCCCACGGCGCGATAATGGAGGTGAAGGACTGTACCATGCGCTGGAAGTGGCTGTTCAGCGCTGCCGGGTGCGTAGCACAGGCGTCAAGAAAAGCGCCCTCCCACCCCAGCACGGTTTCTGCAAGGGTCACAGTGGACTTTGTCTGCTCCCGTGCACTTGTGGAAGCTTTCAGCAGCGCCGACAAAGCGAACGTATCCTCCTGCTGACTACTGTCCGTCTCTTTGTGCACCTCCTGCCCTGCCGCTGCACCCGCATTCGCCGACTCCGCCGGCTCGCCCCTTGGGAGCATAGCGCACACAAGCGGCGAGAAGCACAACTGCAAAAGGTTCCTTTGTCGCACCGCGCGGAACAGCCCAATCATACGCTCCTCCGCACACAGCTCCATCAGGTCTGACGGCGCACCCACCACCTCCGACCGAAAAAAGTCGAGATGACGCACGCTGATGCGCAGTTCATGCCACCTCTTGGTATCCACGTAGTCCCCGCCTGCGAGCGGGCCCCACAGGAAAGAGACTTCCTCGGAGTCGTCCGTTGCGCCGATGAAGGTCCGCAACATGTCCCACTGCGCTCGCTGCTCCAGCAAGGGCAGCGAGCAGTCGGTGGAGCCTGCGCAGATACGTTTGTGTCGCCCACACAGGTAATGCAGCGCAAACTTGCGCGCCATCACGAAAAGCCCGGCCTTCCACTGCGAACTGGCGTCCTCGATTTGGCACTTTTGACGGTGCTGACGCGCTTGCTTGAGGCCGTTGGCCGTCGTGTCCGTGTCGAATGAAATAGGGCGGTTCGCCGGGTGGGCGTTCTCCTCTTCGGGCTTCCGAGACTCGGCTGCGCGCATCAAAGAACAGAGAGGAGGATTGAGCAGGTCCACGGTAGCCTCAGCGTTGCCGAGCGATTCCGCTGCGTAAGCGGCGTCGGCGAACTGGCACTCCGCTTTCTGCAGCAGCAGCCCCCACGCGGGTTGGTTGCGACGTAGGAAGTAATACGCCTGCATGCCGTATCCGCCTAAGTGCTCCTCTGCCAAGTCACGATGAGTCGTGAGGCGGGCGGGGAGCGACGGGGTCAGAGGGGAGCACAGCTGCGTCGGGAGGAGCCTCGTAGCAGCTGTCGCGGTGGCTGGCAAGAGCGCTGAGCCTGGCTTGCACAGAGTTGCCACCTCTGTCTTGGGCGGGCCGCCGAGCTGCACCACCAGGTCTCCATACCGCCTCCGCACCCACTCGGAGAGGAGGATGTGGATTTTCAAAAGCGGCGCAGGGTCGTACACGTGGCCGCGACAGAACCTTTGCTCTGCCTCCGTAAACAGCTGTGCGTCCGCATCGGCGTTCTCCGCGTTGCTGCTCGTCACGTACAACAGGTGCAGCCGCGCGGTAGATGCCGCGTAGGCCACCATCATCTCGTAATGCAACAGACGTGCGCACAAGCGCAACTCACTCACCGCTTTCCGCAGTGCGACGAGCGCGCCGCGGGAGAGGTCGGGCGGCAGCTCTGGCAGCGGGACGGTGAGTGTGGCAGTCCCTCGTGTAGAGGTCAGCCTCGCCAGCGCCGGCCCACGTACGCGCGACTTCCGCGTCTCAGCCGAGGCACCGTGTTCCGTGCGGGCGTCCAGCTCGTTTTGTACTTGCTGTAGAACGACGTCGCAGATCTGCATGGCGCCATCTTTGGTGAAGAAGCGCCGGGAAGGGCGGAGGAGGTCCGCCAGCGCCAGCTGCGGGGTGTACGTGGACAGGGAAAGACAGCAGCACGGCACCGTCTCTGCACCGCAGCGAGCCGGATACGAGCCGATTGGAGGTGCGGAGGTCTCGGCGGCTACCTGTCCCCAGATGACATGCTGCGCCGCGGCACTGCAGATCACCGTGAGGCACAGCGTCGGAGCAGCACCTCTGCTGGCGCTGGTGAGAGAGGTGGCGCTGTAAAGCGAAAGTAGTCGCTGAAACTCCTCCTTGAAGAGCAGCACGTCCGATGCGGCGACGGCACTGACAGACGAGTCCGCCTTCACATCCACAACAAACGTCAAACACACGCCACACGTATCTGGCTCGCACGATGCCCGCGCCAGTGAGACGACACGCTGCATAGCCTTCTCAAACGATTGCCGCAGAGCAGCTCTTCTTTGAAGCGCGCCGGCGACGTCGTCATGCGGCGTGTCCGACGATAGGAGCACCGAGGACGGCGGGACCAGTTCTTGCCACTGAAACACCCATTTGGTTTCCCTCACCTCGCTCTGCAGCCACATGAGCGTATCCTCGATGAGGCTCTTTGAGACGAGGCACAACGGCAAATGTGCTTTTACGGCGCGTTGTATATGTGCATCTACTGTAGGCAGCTCAGCATGTGGGACGCTGATCTCGTTCACGTCGTTGACTGTGCGTCCGCTGCTTGCGCCGCCCTCTAACTCGCTGTCGTTCATCGCCGAGTTGTACTGTTGGCCCGTCACCTGTGGCCGCGGCCCTTCCAAGGGACTCGTTTGCGCAGACGGCCGCGTTGGGGTGCGATTCGATCCGCCGCAAAAACCTGTCACGGAGCCCATAAAGGTGTTGTAAAGGGCGCCGGCGGAGTCGCTTGCCTGTTCGACGTCGAGCTCCAACAAGGCGGTGAAGAGCTGCGTCACGTCGTACGCCGTCTCTCCGCCTGCATTAAAGGAGTCATCCATCTCCGCCTCCGCCACATCGACCTCCGCACTTGCCAGACGCCGCAGCAGCGCATCTCCAGACGCGGTAAACACGTTGCGTACAACGTCCGCAGGGTCCTCCGCCCCCTTGGCGTTGGCGTCTGCGCCATCGCGTGACGGCAACGTCAGCTCTGGGCCCGGCGTTGCTTTTCCTGCTGGCTCCGCCGGTTGGAAGGTAGGACTGTCATACACCATGCGCTCCAGCACGCTCCGCTGTCCCTCGGTGAGCATGGGCAACTTCGACTCCGCCGCGAAGGTTGCCGGTGCAGCGGACATCGCCGTGCACAGAATGCTCAGGGAGAACATTCCCTTTAAGGCCGTGGGCCACCCCGGCCCGAGCAGCTCGACGACGCGCTGGATGAAGAGCGCTAGTGCGTAATAGCACTTCTGGCCGATGGGCAAGTCGCTGAACGACAGCGGCGCTATGCGTTGCAGGAGTGCCGGGGAGGGGTTCGCTATGTCCGCGATGCAGTTGTCGAGGCCAGACGCATTCCACGGGCGGCCCAGTCGATTCGCTTCGATCTGTTCTGTTGCCCTGGCTACCGCTTTCATCGCGGGCAGGATCGCGTCCCAGCCCTCCTGCAATGTCCGCTGCAGGCTCTGCACATAAGAGGTGGTAGTGGTCATCTGGGCATCGTGCGTGTCCACCTGCGCGAGCGCCTGCTCCATCTCCGCCAGCAGTGCATCGCCGCGTGCGTTGCTGCTAATGTCGGACAGGTCAACAGCAAGGAGCGCGGCGGCCGAGTCGTGCGCATTTGCAAACAGCTGAATCACATTAAAGTACATGTTCTGGCGAGCCCGTACCTCCTCTTGCATCGAAGCAACCTTCGTAGAGACGGAGGGCTTCTTGACGGCATCGTAAAGCAACCACTCAAGACGCAGATCGTGGTTTAAGGGGGTGTGCAAGTTAAACACGTCAAGGCTCGCGCACGTCTCTTGCAAGCCACTGGTAATGACAGGCCAGCACGTGCACACTAAGAAGAACTGCGGATGCACGCGCACCTCATGCCCGTCAAACCAGACACACGTGACGGACCGCGCTGCGGGTCCCTTTGATGGCTGCATAAACGGCTTTTTAGTTGTGCTCTGCATCTGCAGCGGCGCAGCGGTAGCGACAGCGGCGAAGTCGGTATTACCACCACCGCTGCCCTTGGTGTCCAACGGCCTGTGGAGTAAACTCTTGTGATACTCCTTCAGCCGCTGATAAACCGGATTAAGCGATCGCACCAGATCAACGGCGGCTGAGCCTTGCACGTCGCACAGTAGAACGCCTTCGCCGGCCCGCATGGCCGCCGCCAGCCGCTCCTTCACCAACGGGTCGGCCGCCGACACTGAGACGCTGCCGGTGCAGTAGAAAGCGAGAAACTTCAGCAGCTCGTATGCCGCTACCGGACCAGCGCCGCCCACCAACGTCCACCGTGACGCGCGACGTTGGTACAGGCTCAGCATCAGTGCCTTGTACTCCCACGGAGTATTGCAGCCGGTCACCAGTAGCACCTCTGTTTTCGGCGCGTGTGTTTGGAAGAGCAGATGCGTGCACACCTCGCTCAGAGAGCTGAAACGAAGCGTCGTGCCTTGCACCGTCTTGGTGAGAACTTCCTGCAGACTTGCCGACATGGATTGCGCGCAGCCGTGCATCGCCAAAAGAGAGTAAAAGGCCGCCACAAACAGCGTGTCGCCGACGACGCATTGCGCGCGTTTGACCCGCTCGGCCACGGTGGCGGGCTCGATAAGAAAGCGCGTGAAACGATCCACAAAGCCCGTGTACTTGAGAAGTCGCGACTCACCACCGGCTAATTCACTTTGTTCCTCTTGCAAGGCCGCTAGGGACTTTTGAAGGCTTTGCACTTCCCTTCGCGTTTGTACAGCCGCCTCCTCCGCCAGCCCCACCTCCTCCTCCCTCTGCTGCTGGACAGACTCGTCTTGCTCAAGTGCGTGTTGAGCCCTCGCGATCTCTGCCTTCCCGGCTGTGTAATCCTCCGCCATAAACCGCACGCACCTCACCCACGCCACCACGAAATCAGCCAACAGCTGAGCGTAGGGAAGGGCAGGGCCATACCGCACTACGTCCAGCTCACGATGGAATGGCAGCAAGGCCGGCAGGCGATCGATGCTGTTCTCGGGGGCTGTCTTCGCCAGCTGTGCTGTAAACTCCTTGGTGCACATCCGCCGCATGGAAAGGCTCCACAGTTCGTTCGCGTTGTCGTTGTGCTTCGGCACCTCTTCGCCGAGCACCGCGTAAAGAGCGCGGACGAGAAGCGTGCCTTTGTCGGGTACGCGTGACATGCCCAGCGCTCGCACAATCCCTGTCTTTGCCCTGCGCAGCTGCCTCAGCGACTTGGCGACCTCTCCCATCGCACTCTCGAGACCCTTCGTGACGGCGTCTCGCTGCTTCTGCACGGCGTCTCTCGTTCTCGTCAGCGCCTCTCGTGAACGCTCCGCCTCTGCAGCGCGCATTCCATGCTCCCTTTCCTGTCCTTCGAGCGTCTCGGTGAGGAGAGCCAACTTCACCTGCATCGCCGCAAGCTCCTCTACAATGACGCGACTCCGCTGCGTCCCGGCGTTCACGGCCTGCACCGCCTCATCCCCGCGGCCTGCAATGATCTTGCCTGTCCGCGCGCTCGCCAGCACTTGAACCCGCGCGGTTTTATCGAGTTCCTTGTAGAGTCGAACAAACTCCAGAAACTGCTCTACGGAGGTTGGATACGTTTTCCGCACGTGATCAAAGGCGGCGCAGAGAGCCGTGCACGCAGCTCGTGGAGTTAACCGTCTGCCGTACGCCTCTTCCTCAGCGCCGTGATGGACGGCGGTGGCGTATGCAGCGTCGTCCTCGTCCTCCATTCTGCGTATTCCGCCCGTGTGCGCATCTCTGCGGTGCAGAATCCCCAGCGCCATCTCTTCCAGCAAAGACCGCTCCAACGCTTCCGTGTGCAACGGCAGGGCCGTGGTGGTCGACTGCAGTAAGAAAGGGTAGCCCTTGCCCAGTTGGCGCGCCTCTGTCGCGTCGTACAGGTGAAACACAAAGTTCAGGCTTCCCAGTAACCGCTTCCGCAGCGGAGAGTCATCAACAAAAACAAACGGCTTCAACGACCGCGAATGCACGGCGGCGGGTCCGTTGAGCAGTCCAAAGCGCTCCTCATCGGTGAAGAGGCTGGAAACGTCACCGCTGCGAACGAGGGCGTCCATGATCCGCAGCACCTCGGGGGTGCGGAGCAGCGGCGGCGGCACGTACGCGACGGCGTGGACACTCTCCCGGCACACGTACGTGATGGTGGCGCGGAGTTCCGCCACGAAGGTGCTGATAGCGTCTCTCGGCGCGTCGGCGGGGTTCACGCGAAACCACATGAAAGGGACGTGCGACGACGCACACCACAGCCGGAAGAGGCGTCGCATGCCAAACGTGTTGTCCCCGAGAAAAAGAAGGTGCGTCCCCGGCGCGGAGAGCGTGTCCGCCAGGTGGACAAGTCGCGTCGTGAGCCATGTTGTCTGGTAGGTCGGCGTCACCATCACGGACGGCGACCGATGCTGACTGACGGAGGACGTCTCACTCGCTGCTGAGCCCACCGACGAGGCTCGCCGCGACGAGCGTACGCTGGCCCCCACCGTCGACGAGGACCTGCGTATGTACACGTCTCTGTTGGACTCCTCTGCCCGCACCATCGCAATTTTGAGAGAATCAGGATAACTGAGAAGGACAGAGCTGTGCCGTGTCTCGGACCGAACCGTCGCCCCGCTGCGGTAGGTCCTCTTCGCAACGTTGCCCTTTCGCTGATCGCCGAGGGAGCTGAGGTCCGTCTCCTCTTCCTCCTCGAGCGCGTCTGGGAAGCATGCGATGCGATGTGCCACGCGCGCTTCGTTCGCGGCGGAGACGGCGTCGCGCAGAAGCGTCTCCGGCAGCTCCTTGGCCACGTTGCGGAACTCGACACTTCCGTGGACGCTGTTGCGCAGCGTACCCTCTGCTGCCTGGACGGCGGAGTTGCGGAACTCGTGGGAAACTCGGCGGTACTCCTGCTCCGCCGCCGCCTCTGACGACCACGTCGCCGTGTCTGCTGACAGCATGTTGGCGGATGGAGAGAGCAACTCGTCGTAGAAGGTGGTGAGGCCGATAAAGACGCGCGCAGACACCTGAGAATCGGACACCGCGCTCAGCAAATGCACGCGAACGACTTCGGCCGCTTCAAGCAAAGCGCGGAAGTGCTCGGTAAAGAAAAAAGATTCGTTTCCTTGTAGAGTCACGGCAGAGCTGTCCGTTGCATTCGTCTCGGTTGCGGAGATGGTCGTCGGGGACCCCGAGTCAGGTGGCGCACCGCCGGCCACGTGAATTGCAGAGCTTAACGAGAAAGAGCCAGAGTTGCTTGCTAAAGATGCACGCCGTTGACTCAGCTGGCAGTACACGCCGTGGATAAGGCCGAGAAAGGCAGCGCACTCCTGCGGAAACCCTTTCGCGCGCTTCCGCGACGAGGCCATGTCGCTTATCTGAAGCAGCCCGTTTGCAATCTCGTCGCCGTTAAACAGGGGAAGAAGCACATCCACACACCCGCTAAATGCGCCGATGCTGCCACGCTCGTGCGAAAGCGCATGCAGCAGCGTAGTGGCGCAAAAGACGACGTCTGTCGTCGGAACCGTCCCTAGCGCGGGTGTGCTAATTGCCCTGAACTTTGCACAGTAGCTCATGAAGCAGCCAGCCAATGGCGCGCAGTCACCGTACGCGGTTGCGGGAGACAGGTGGAGGTCATCGACGCACACCACCAGTCGCCGGCCAAGAAGGGGTCCATAGCGTCCGTTGCACCGCTTCGACAACGTGCCGGCCATGGTCTGCTGCATCTCAGTGGCGTTGAAGCCGGCGTTCATCTGAAAGACTTGCGTCACCCAGTTCTCGCATGTTCGCATGGTGTGGAGCAACGTTGTCTTCCCATTCACGGCGCCGGCGTGGAGCAGGACGTGCTGACCACAGTTCATGAGGCACTCCATCGAGCGCAGCGTTGCGAGACGTGACGGCATCGTTAGCACTTGCAGCGAGACTTGAAGCTGCGGGTTCACGTTGCGGTAGCCGGACCAGCTCAGCGGCAAGTCCGTTCGCTTTGCAGCGTCGTCGAACGACATCCATCCTTGCGGCAGCACCACCTGCTCCAATGGGCTGATGCTGCTGTACGTCAGCTCGGGAAACACCTCGCCGGAAACGTCGCTGCCGGCGAGCGCCTTCACCACGTCCGCCTCGGCAGAGAGAAGCGTGAGCTTCACGGTGTCGCGGTCTTCGGACGGGAGCGACAGGCCGACGGACCAGCTGGCGGCCATGACGGCGCACCGCGCGGCGAACAGGCGCAGGTCCACCTCGTCGTCGTCCTCTCGCGGTGCCAGTACGTCACTGTGGGTGCGGATGGTCAGCGCGTACGCGTACCAGCGGCTGCACAGCGATGCCGCCCGCTGGGCAATAGCGCACATGTTCGTCAGCTCGCTAGCGCTGCCCACGATGCCCGGTGACATCTTCGCCGCTCGATCCACTAACGGCGGCAGGAGGACCTCCAACACCTTCCGCGCTGCCTCGCCCTCAGGCACCGATCGCAGTGCCCATTTGATAGCACCCTTCCAACAGGACGGGCTCGTCAACGCCAGCATTGCAAAGCCGTCGATCACGCCCGGGGTAATGTGACGCACCTCCACAGCTGTAGCGATGACGCATAAATTGGGTGACGGGACCACACAGGTACCACCAACGACGCCCTCTGGAGTTCGTCTTCCGTCAAACCACGTCTGCGCAAAGATCTGAAACGAGGATGGTGCATCCACGTCCTCCAGCACAACAATTGGCCTGGCTTTCGCTGCTGCCTTGGTGAGCGAGATCTGCGACACCATCTGCGACAGGTAGCCTTTCTGGGTTGCGCTACCGTACAACTCGGATGCGGTCATGAATTGAGGGGAGAGGATGAGAGACGGCGTTCCCCCTACCCATTTTCTCCACAACTCCGTCTTGCCGGAAAAGCGCGGACCGGTGATGAGCACACGGCGGTGCAGCTCTATCAACGTTGCGAAACGCTGCACCCCCTCGTCGCACGTTGTCTGCGCCCTGTCTTGAGAGGCAACGGTGGTCCATACAGGCGGTACTACACCCTTGCAGTTGGGTAGCAAAAGCTGCGCCTGGATTTGCTCCGTCAGGCTCTCGCGGAGTCTAGCGCCCTCGTCGCCCTGAAAGGCCCCGTAACTCGTCCGCAACAAGCTCTTCAAGAAGCGGTCCTGCAGCGAGAGCGACGACGGCTCGGCAGCAGCAGCGTTCTCGTCCTCAGCTGACACGGCCCCTTGGGCAATCAAATCGTGAATGACGACGCACAGCTGCTGAATTGTGAAAATATCGGGTGCCCGCTCCTTTAACTGCTCATACAGCTCCGCCAGCTCCAACTCCTGTACGGAAAACGGTCCGATGGAAATGACGCCGGCCTGCGTCAGAAGCCTGTGCATCAGCTCCGTCACATCTGGTAACGTAATGCGGACGGTGTCGCACAATGTGGAAATTTGAAGAGGGAATACACCCGGCGAGCCGGAGCTGAAGGCCAGCCGGAAGAAGGGATGCACGGGAATACCGAGTAGTGCACCAGACGGACCAAACGACAGCTCCCACCTCGTCGACGGGGTGGCGGCGAGGTAGGCCTGTACCAATGGCAGCACAGCGCTTGACAGCACCTCCGGTGAGGCTGTCTCACAATTGGCCAGACACAGAAACGCCCCTGTCTCGATGCAGCCGCGCAGCACAGGGACGAGTGTCTCGGCGAGAGTCTGCGATGTGAGCTCCACTCGCACGTAAAAGCGTCCTAGCACCTCGGCGGCGGTTTTTAGCACGTCGTTTCCTACCTCCGCGGCTTCTTTCCCACAAACCAACGGTACACTTCGACCCAGCTCCATGTCCGCCAGCACCATTACCATCTGCTTCCACAGCGAGCTGCTCATGAATAGCGGTCCTCCGTGACCCAAAAACTCCAGCCCGTACTCTAAACTGACACCCATAAAAGAAACCTGGATGCTATCGCCGGATGGGGTACAGAAAGTCTGGACAAGCTGCGTGCAGTCCAAGTCAGCAACGTTGTGAATGCGCCACTCGATTACGAGCTTAACTTCTTGTAACGCGAATTGCTCGTATGCCAGCGCTGCTCTGATGGTCGCCTCGACACTGCTGCTGCCTGCGTGCCCGCTTTTTCTTTTCCCCTTGGCCTCTACTGCTAGCTGGCTAAGTGCGCAGCATACATCCGAGATCCTTCTGGCGTACGCGCGGAGTGCGTCGTCGCCACCGATCTGCACCGCGTGTCGAATGCTTTCTGTGTGCAGAATGCGCAGCGCAAGCACGGCAACCTGCCCGCACCACGCAGACACCCAGGTCTCCAGGTCCGTGCGGTAGTAAGCAGCGACGCAGTTTTTGACTGCCAGAAGCAGAGAGCGGCGGACCATGAGGTCGAATTGCGCCAGCCAGGCATCCGGGGACGTCGCTGCGAGAGATATTGGGCTCATCAAAGGCAGCGACGCGCCATCTGCAGTGACGACAGCTTTCACATCGCCATCTGCTATCTCCACATCCGCCAGGTGCGAGTAGAGACACGGGAGAAAAGGGACGAAACTCTGCGGAGCCAGCACAAACTGAAAGCTCAAAAGCTGATTGTCGGACAAGAAGTAGAAACGCGGAAATGCAGCCCGTCGCTGATGCAGATTACGGCGCAACAGCTCGAGCACATCGTCCGCGGCGGCCTTAACAGCGAAGAAGACGTCTTGAATGGTTTCTTGCACAATCGCGGTGTACAAGGAAAATTGGGGTTTGCGCAGCGTCGTGTGCAGCCGCTTGACGGCATCTGACGCTGCAGAGAGATGCTGAATGATCGCCTGTCGGCTGCTACCCTCTTTGCCCTTCTCGTTCGGCGACATCCGCAGCGTGTGCAGGTAGTTCTCCACCCACGCGCAGCTCTCCTGAACAGACTCGAAGGCGCTGAGCATTTCGCAGCTCTTCTCGCACGAGAACTTCCATTCCAGCAGCGGTCTTTGTACAAGTTGTCCCAGATTCGGGTAGCGGCGCATCGCCCAGCATCGAGTCACAAACTCCTCAACGTGAGCGGATGCATCATAAATAAAACGCTGTGCCACAGATGTCCTCGATACTCCGCTGTCGTGCGAGTCTTCCAACACAAAATGGGTGCGCTTCCCGTAGCTTCTCATTTCCTCCAGAGCGCTCTCTACCTCGTAGTCGCACTGCGCCTGATTCGCAATTTGGCCAAGGGGGCCCATATGCTCCATCAGCCCAGCGTTGAGCAGGCGCTTCACCGTAACAGACAAGTCGATCACGGACGCGACGTCCTCGCGCAGCTGTCCAGCGATCAGCTTAGCAATGTCTTTCCAGTGGTTTTTGCGTAAATTCGGTGACGATATCACTTCGAGAAAAAGTTCCAGCTCTTCATATTTGGAAAGCGCAACCTCCTGCTCGCGGCCAAGCTGAGTAAGGAGTGGAAAGCCGCGCAGATGCTGAGAGGAGCTGTGAATTAGTCTTCGCCACTCGCGCACCTTCTCCACGGACGCAGTTGCATTCACTGACGAAATCGGGCTGTTATACAAATTGCGCAATTTGGTAGCGTCGAAAATAGAGTTCCAAAACTGCTCAACCACCTCGAAATAGTGCAGCAGGGATGGAAAGTTGTCAAACGTGTCCTCCGCAGAAATCCCAAGCACCTGCTCTTCGTGCGCGATTTGCTGTAGATTTGCATCGATGCGGTCAACAAGCTCGCGCAACTCGGTGCAGGTTTGGGCAGCAATGTCGCACGTCTCCAGGTTGAACAAATGATACAGTTCGGTTACACCCGTCGACAGAGTCTTCATGTACGCCTGAGTGGACGTGCGCAGTTGATTCAGCTTGCGTTGCAGCGACGGTGCACATCTCGTGCGCACGTCACCCGCCTTTTCAGCGCCGCGGATTAGCTCCTCGGGAAGTTTCATGAAGTCAAACACAGCTTTGCACACGTCTTGTTCAATTGGAACGCGGAGCTCCTCCATACAAGCGACCCTGTTGAGAATTTCTTTGCAGTCCAGACTACGCAGCTCTCGCGCGAGTGCTATAGCGGCTTCCGTATTTCGCTGGTGGACTTCCAGGTCTTCCACGTTGGAGGGAATGGTGTCGAATACCTTCAGAATAATGGAGCTCCTCTTCTTGGCGTTATCGACAACGCTGATGATTTCCTTCTGATAGGCGGAAGTGAGTGCAGACATGTAGTTTTTCCACTCGTGAGCCAATGTCGCTTGCAGTGTCACGCAGTTGACTTCAAAGCGTCCGCAATACATGTGCTCCCAAGACGCACGAAATATATCGGTCATTTGCTGTCGAGCAAAGCCCACGTGCTTCGCGACTTCGATGTGTGAGCCCGTTTTCACAGCAGAGACGTTCTGCGCAGGTATTGAGCAAAACGCTTTGTAAGAAGTGAGTATCCCGTCAATGATTAGTGTCACGTCATTTAAAATGTGTGCTATAGACGCGCGGTATGAGGCCACTTCGACGTGCGAGAGAACGACAATTTTCTTTTGCTTGAGTTTCAGCGTTCGCAAAATAACGCACCCAACGTTTGGCAGGTTGTTAACGCCGTTCTCAATCTCCGTAAATAAATCGCGAATCCCAAAAAGCAGCACAGCTAACGCGGGGGCCCGTGGCTGAGACAACTCTCCTGTGAGCAAATCCAGACGAATAAATGAATCTTGTTGCGCGCGCTTCGACAGTCTCGTTGTGCTGCCGCAGCCCCCACAGTCGAAAAACGCAACAAGGCTGTCTAGACCGTCAAAAACAAGACTCCGCAGCTTGTAGACGAGAAACACCTCGGTAGCGACAAAAATTCTTCTGAAAACGCTGTCTTCGTACTCCTCTTCTGAAATCAACAGAGCGTCTTTCGCATTTGGGATAAATGAGTAGAAAAATTCTTCCACATTAGTGAAGAACTCTATTCGAATCCGCGAAATAATGGAAGTGATAGAGTTGGAAATTCGGCTGATGAACTCGCTAACTTCCACCACACCAGTAAACGCGTCCGTATTCAGCAGCAATAATTGGTCAAACTTAGATTCCCAAAGTGATTGCAAAGCCGCAAAGTAACCATGCGTCGATGCGTTCCAGAAAAGCTGCTTTTTCAGTTGTTGTCTTGCTTCGTTGAAGTGCTGCTGCGCAACCGTCTTGTCAGTGAAAAATTGATCTTGGATAGTTTGCGTGCTACCCTCTGGCTCCGTCGCTAATTGCAATGGCCCTAAAATGCGCCTCTGCAACGGATTGAGACACATATAATAGAAGATGGCTTCTGATAACGCGGTCGCATATGCCTCGTTGACGTCGCTGATTTCACCAGCTATTACTTCTCTCGAAATGGAAGTACAGCCCCGGCTTGATAGGATAATTATGTTGCGCAGGCTATTACGACTCAAAGGCAGGTGTTCCTTGATCAGCGGCTTGTAAAGAGCCACGAGCTTTCCTGTGCGGACACGGCAGTGAGCTGCGAAAATGTCACCTGCGCATCCATCGTCTTTTTCGCAGTATTCGACAGGAACCCTGACAGACGACTTTTCATTCCCAGCAACATCTTTGAGAGACTGTTTGTCTTCAGTGAAACGAAAAAGACCGACATAGGGTGAATAATGCGAGCCTATTCGAGAGCTTGCTGGTTGAGGACCGACACTTTGGATTGCCAAGGAGGAGAAAAGTGTCGCCTGAAGGGGTTCGGTGAGTGGGATATTTACTGTTTCCCCGTGGTAATCCGGTGTAAATGCAAGTTGTCTGCAAACAAAAGTTGTCGCGCATATTTTTTCAGCGTCAGAAATAAGAGGAACCGGGATGCCGTCCCAGTAATAGCTCAAAACTTTGTCAAAACGGCCCTCTACTTTCTCTTGATTTGCTTTTGTGCTCATTGTCTAGGCTGTCAGTAAAAATGGGTACAGGAATGTGAGGTAAGACAGAAAGATGAAAAATAATGAAATCGTAGGAGGAATTGTAGTGCTAAATGCTTCAAAAAAAAGTTGCTTGTTAGTCATTCTCTTTTTTTTTTACTGCTTAGCTGGGAACAATCCATTTTATTTCGAACACGTTCATTCCTGTGTTGCGTATTGAGTGGTGTAGTTTTCGCGGTGCAATAAATACCTACAAAAGCTTTTTTTTTAGATTCGTGAGATTTAGGCAAATTTCATAGTAGTTTTGAACAGAAATTCTGTTTGCTGTTGCTACCGGATAGTTGGTGCGGTACGAAGTTTTTCAAAATCGAACCTCTCTTCAGAGCCCTGCTTCAGCTGGTCCAGCACAAACTCTAGCCACGCTAACTGCGTCACCCCTTCTTCGCAATGGTGTGCCTTAACTCGCTTCAGTTCATATTCGTAATCTTCTATCATAATACAAATGCGATTTCGTATCAACATGCCGCGGCATGTATACATAATGCCATAAAGAACAATTCCCATGCTAATGGCGGGTGGCAAAGGCCTCGCGTAATACATGCTATTTTTGAAAATGTGGCGCGGACCCCAAAGCTTGAACGCTGCAAGCACGCTTGCCGTCGAGAACCCTACGCATCCGATAAAGTAGTACCATCCGAGGCTTTCATGTTTGGCAAGCTGTTCAACTCTGTCGGCCACGTGATTCCGTTGTACTTGCGAGATGTCCAGCACATACTGTGCAAATTGCTGCCTATCGCTCTCTGTTGCCATCGTGGAGATTAGAGAGAAAAGTGTGAGTAGCTTGGTCGCCTATTCAACTGCAGTTGCTCTGTGAAGATGAGAATAGTGAGGTGTCCTGAAACTGACATGAATGTCGAACCACTGCCTCGATGTAGAGAGAAAAAAGAGGGTAAAGAAAGAAGTTGAGCTGGAAACGCACACATTCACATTCATATTTTAGCGCATGAATAAATTAAGATTTTCGAATAATTCTTTTTGTTCCTCAAGTGTAGGTCCAGCTATATTTTGGTGTTGCGTTGATTGAAAGGCGTTACACATTAGACAACAGAATTCCGAATCTGCGAGAAAAGCGTTCAAAATAAACAGCATCAACAAAGTGCTTTCCGGTGCATTACAGTTTCAGTGATCCTGAAACATTATCCTTCTGTGTGCACTTCTTTGAAACGGTTGACTCTAGGCCATTGCGGCTTCATACTGATGATTGCGACGTCTTACATTCGCTTTGACGTGTGAGCGGCTATATGTGTTCATCATAGGCATCCCTGACGATTCAAAAGCGTAGACAGTGTTGCTGTTATCGTCCAATCGCACAACGCCAACTCGGTTAACCACTTGTGGGAAGAGTCTTGGAATGATGTACCTGTAGAGAACGAAGAAGCATAGGGCTAAAAACAGAAAAGCCACCATGTTATGCGCCATTTGTGACGACGAGCCCTATTGAGCTACGATTGCGTTGTAAAAGGTGGCGGGAAAAAAGAGGATCGAAACGAAGTTAATGAGGCTTCCTTGCATTTTCCTGCATATTTGACTTACGCATTTCCATCACAATTTTATAATGCGCTAGACACCGGTCGGGGCGTTTTGCATGTTCGTACAAACGTTCAATCCAATTATTCTACCATTTCTACCGACTTCTGAGTCTCGCTCAAATATATGGTTGAAGCTGCACCTGGCTTTTCTCTTTGGCGAAAAGTCTGCACCCCTTTTTCAATATTTACTTCCTTTGCCAGTACATGAAGCTCAGTTTAACAACAATCCGTTTGTAACTTTTTGCCAAGACGCGTGACACTGCCTTTAAATTTGGCAACTCTGTTCACTTGCTCGGACTTTTCATATGGAAAACACTCGTTGGAAGCGTTCGCCTGCGCTGTCGTAGCTCAATGCAATACGACTCAAATGGAGAGACATGTAGTGGACTCCACATCCTCACCCGATGGCACTGTCAACACCGAATACAGCGGTAATGGACTCCACGAACCCGTGCAACATCACACGACGGTGACTGCGGTGAAGGCTTGCCCAGGACTGAACGCGAACGTTCTGGGACGGCCTCTTTGCTGAGTCTAATGGAAACCTGGTTCTTGACCAGAGGTCTCGAAAAAAGGGGATGCGAGCTGGTCCCAACCAGCAATCGGCAACATAGGAGAAGGGAGTCTCGGTTCCAACACCTCTTTCACCTTTTTGACAAAACAATGCTATGCAAAAAAGAAAAAACGGGTTTCGGAGGGGGGGAGGGAACCAAATCCCCTTAAAAAAAGAAGCTATGAGTTAAAGTCCCTCGATCGCTTCGCCCCTTTCACCAGTTTCGCTTGATTGAACACCACCTTGCTTTGCAATTGGAGTTGCCGTCTCTTTAGTCGTTCGGCTTTTCTTTCCCGGAGACTCACCGTTAGTGCTGTAACTGTCGCCGGAGGCTCCTTCAAATGAAACACCCCTTTTTGAGTGCAGTTTTATATGGCGGATTGCTGCTGTGAATCTGTGAAGCTTCGCCGCAAGTTACTCCGTCATGCCAACGCTTCAGAAGAGGTGAGACGTGATGAAGCACCGTGAGTATATTACACATATGAGCTTGCCCAATCAGAGTGAACACCCTCACCACGACAACGTGCAGCATGGCACACCGGAAAGAAGAGACTTTATCGTGCGAGAGCTCGCCTTCGCCAAGGATCCACCTTGCTCGCTTCACACAGCTGTTTACACAGTACGTCATCTGTCATTCTCCTGATGTTAAACTTCCTGCCTGGAAGTTAACGCGGAGCGCAACTTGACGGTGCGCCTGGTTTTGACGGATGCTGGTCGTTGTCTTCCAGCCACCAGTATCAGCGTGTGAGATACTCAGCGGCACGGAACTGACAGCCGCCAAGGGAAACGCGCAATAGTCTTGTACTTTTGTGAGCCGCACCGGACATTTGAGCTGCCACAGGGTTCTGTGGTATATGCACGACTTCGACCGGTCCGCCGACTCACTAAATGTGCAACTGCACACAAGATCTCCCGAACTAACAAGGACTGGAACAAGCGTCATATTTTTAGAAAAACTCGTCGAGTACCTCGTATTATGCAAGAAGACGAGAACAACGCCAAAAGTTGACAATTGTTGTCTTCAGAATACTGATGACGGCCTCTGGTCATTGTGGACAGACATGGACCTTTCGTTAAGTTATCCAGCCTTAGGCTATCAAGGTGCAGTCGAGGGTACAACCATCATTATGCTACCCGAGCTTCTTTATTCGTGTTCTTCTCTTTTCCTCTCCATAGTAAAGGACTCGCTCTTTCTCTTTCTTCCTCCTCATCGTATGTTCCCCGACTGAACAACATTGGCGTTCTTCTTTTCGGCATCCAAAAAGGAAAGCTATCGTCAAAAAATCTCTTCTTTTCTATTTTCTGTTCCCATTACCCGACGAGTGTGAGAATGCAGGGTTTTCTTTGTAACAGTCCTCGGCATTAAGCCCACTTTTGAACTCCAGTTCGTATCTGTTAACTTTATTCGGTCATCCTCTGGGAAAAAGCGTGTGTGAAAGACAGGTAGAAGACAACAAGAGTGGTACGAGAGAGCTCTATCTGCAAGGTACTACGTCGACTGTTCCCCCAACACCACTGTATTGTTGACATGTTGGCGAGCTTCTGGTCTTCTCGCACTTTTCGGCCTCTGTTCACGGCTTTATATTTTGGAATGCGGTAGATGTCTCCCCCGATGATTGTAACCGCATTTTGAGCGGTCTTAACGATCGAGTTTTCAGATAAAGGAGGAGACAACAATGATGAGAGACTGCGGTGCGGCACAGAGACCGTTTGCCACACCGCTGAACAATAGCTCAGTCCCCAGTTTCACTTTCTGCACGCCGTTCAATCTACCTTCTGTTGCCGGAGATGCTCTACCCACTGAGAGTTGTGGCTCCAGGCTACGTTTTGTGGTGAGGTCTCTGATTCTGACGGCAAGACTACGCTTTTAGCGTAAGTGGGGTGTTGTGATCTTGACGGCTTCGGTGTTAGGGATCCGAGTGGCTGTGTGACCGCTTTTCTGATGTGCGGGCGTGCGTACGTCTGTTGAGGATTCCAGATGCAGATATAACACGAAGTCAAACGATGTAGATGAAAAGGGATGGCAAGTAATCCATGCATTTGGTGAAGCAAAGGCATTTTGAGCGTGAGCAATGCCACGTTCGGTTGTAGCTTTATGCCGGTTATCGTATGGATTGCTGCTAAACTCCTTGCTCCTCTCTACGAATTCTCTCACCTTTTCTTCTGATTCCGTTGTTATCGTGGGTATTTCCGCCAGAAAAGACGGTCGGACGATGCTGTCCGACAGATTCTTTTTCCCCCACATCCAACCTTTTTAGAATGTGAACCCTCTGCTTGCGCACCCGCAGGTGACAGAGGAAAGGATCCAGAAGATAGGAGTTTTTAAAGAGAACCGTCACTGTGGTATACAAAACTAGGTGCGGGGAAAAATGTCAATTTTGTCTGTTGCATGGGTCCCAAGGAGAGCTGGTGCTCCGGGAAGGCTTTTCCGAGAACAAGGTTTCTTTTCTCTTCAATGTGGACTCCTTCGGATGTGTCAAATTACTTTTTTTTCGTTGTTGCGTCTGGGTTGTATGTGCAGCGGAGCGTGCTGGCGCGGGGAATAGCGGTTGTTGGCTGCTTTCATATCAGAGGGAAATCTGTTCCTGGGTCGCTGTGAGTGACGACGGGGTTGACGCTATCCGACGGCGGCCCCGGTTGCAAAGTCGGGGGGGAGGGGGGGAAGGGGGTTTGCAACCCGGCAACGGTGTTCGCCTTAATTCCGCAGAGGGATGCAGCGATGATATTTCTTCAAGTGCCGTTCATTGAATGGTGGTATCAAAGAAAGAGAAACAAGGCGACTGAAAAGGAGAAGCAACGCTTAGAAAAAGAAAGGGGAAGGTAGTTGTGGTGGCGTTTTTGGCAAGAGCTTGTTGGGTTTCGGTTGCGTGAAGAGGGGTTCATGTGGGCGAGTTACAGAAGCACTCGAATGCAAGGCACATAGTTAGGTTCTTTCTAGGCTGCTGTTGCGCAGCTCTGCATGACGCCAGCGTGAGCAGACGAGGTGGCAAAGGAAGTATCGAGTCGATCGTTTCGCTTCTGTCCGCTTGTCCTTAGTTATGGTGTTCGCAACAAGACGTGCCGGTTGCCTCGCTAACCAGCTATCATGCTACGTTGCGATTGGTGAACCCTCCTCGTGGTTGGAGTAGTGCCTAAGGCTAGGAAGTCCTGCTGTGCTCTTCGTTATCAGTGAAAGTCGCGTGATCAAACTTCGTTGACGTGTCGAGGCTGGATTCCTTGTTGTTGACTGCTTTGCAGGCGGTGGAAGAACAACAGCGGAGATTGAAGTGGATGTGGAACGCTGAGAGGTCCAGCCGTGTAGCCGAGATTGTAAATGCGAACGCTAGCGAAAGCGTATGCTAATTCGATGATAACCTTTGCTGAGAAATAAAGTGCTTCTTCTACTTGAGCCTTTTAAGTCTTTTGCAGGATGACAGCGTTCTCGCCGTGTGTAGTACACAGTGGTGCAGTCAGTGATTTCGAGAGATTGCCAATGAATGGCGTAGGGAGGAGATTTTTAGCTCCAATAGTTTTTGTGCGCCATCATGAAAGCCGAAGGCGACATTAGCAGTTAATTGTACGAAGCGATTTCTTTCGCCTTATAGACTGAATCACACACTGTTGAGAAATCACAATTATTGATTCGTTCATTCGGTTTTCTTTACGAACAATTTAATCGTTGCAGCTTAATGTAACTATATGTGCTTTAAGCACTGTTGAGGTAGAAACTGTGACTCGGAAGGTGGTCAAGAGTTTTTTTAGCTCTTTTTGCCGCATCCTTTTTTCTTCTCCCAGCGTGATGTGTTCACGGTTTATGGTTTGATAGCATTACTCTCTTTCCCTGATTCTTTTCCTTCTGCTTTTTTCTAATCTCTATTAATTCCTCCTTTTCCACAACGTTCATCAGAAAGAAGAAGAATTGAGTAATGGCGCGAAATAAGGCTCATAAACAACGCTTTGCCTCCAAGCATGCTTTGGCTGACAAGTCGAAGGGCCGACAGGTGCGTCCTGGACAAACGAGTGTGAAGGCGGGGACGTCAGCACATGTGAAGGAACGCTCAAGACAGGCTGCGGCTGCTTTAAGGGACAAACGAGCGAATGCAGCAAATGAACAAAGGCGACTTGGAAGCGCCGACGGCCTTCCTCGTATTGTTGGCGTTGTCCCCGCCAACGAGTCCGCAAACACAGAAGAGATCGTGCAAGGCTTTTGCAAATGCCTCAATGTGGAATTCCCTCACAATGAACAGCCGTTTTCTGTTGTCTCCAAAGAGAAAAAGTGCTTTTTCACCTTTATTTGCGAGAAAAACTGCAACGACCAAGATTGCATCGACGTAGCGAAAGTGAGTGATTTTCTGGTGCTCACTCTCGATTGCTCACAGGCCGTACAGAACACAATTCGTGAGCTGCAGGATGCACAAGGATTTGCCGGAGACGACGATGGGGCCGAGACAATCGCGACGACGTGGTTCAGCGATGTTGGTTTGTGCATCACGGACTACACGCGCGATCTTGTCGCTGCTGTGAATTCCCAAGGCGCACCAAACACTGTCGTGGTAATTCAGAATCTGCATACCTTTCCTGATCGTCAACGCCAAAAAGTTTTGAAGATACATCAACGCTATTTCAGATCCGTCCTTAACGATGCTACCAAAATTGTATCCGTTGTGGATGAGAATGACTATGCGAGTATTCTTCGACATATCCAAGTTTCAAAGGTCCGTGCGCTGAAGTGGCGCGATCAGCATCCGTACATGGTGGTGGAAGATAAGGTTTACGATACCGATGCGCAGGAGTTGACAATTCTCGGGTATCTTCGTGGATTGCCTTTCTCGGCGACGCAACTTGTGCACTTGACAAATTACGGCACGTATCAAGTTTCCAAAGTGGAAGAGATCATGAAAGGGGGCGAACGCCGACTCATCGAGGCATCGGAAGAGGCGCAGCGAGAGCCTTTGCAACAAGTTCAAGCGAACTCAACACTGGAAGATGACGGTATGCCAACCGATGCTGATGTACTCTACCATCAAGAAATTGAGCAGACGCGCAAGATCCGCGTTCCTGCTGGTGTTTCGAGTGATCAAGCTGCTTGGTACGATACCGCGGAGAACGTTGTGGAGGGCGATGCTCCTGAGCAGGAACACGTCATCATGGATGACGAAGAAGCGTTTACAGGGGACGCGATGTCGTATCGAACAACCCAGACGGACGTCGATTTCCTCAAGGCCGAGGATGTGGTCCGATTAGAGCGCATGACGGATGAGGAAAAGATTGTGGAAATGGAGAAGCTTAAGAAGATGAGTGAAGAGGAGGCTTGGAATCCGGATATGGTAGACACTCCCGTCAACCTTCCCGCCAGGCAGCGCTTCGCTAAATATCGCGGAATGAAGAGCTTCAACACCGGAAAATGGGACCCGGCGGAAAACTTGCCTGCGCAATACGCGTACGTTTATAAGCTGCAAGGGTATTCGCGAATTCGCGAAAGCGCCATTTATGCTTGTGAGGAGGGCATGGCCGAGGTAGGAATGCACGTAGCTTTGACCTTGATAAATGTGCCGCAAAGCGTGTCGGAAAACTGCAGCTCGTGCCTCCTTATTGCTTCTGGCCAACTACAGCACGAGCAAAAGTGGTCGGTACTCCATTTCCAGGTGCAGCGGGCATCTGAGTTGGACGAGCCTATAAAATCCAAAACGCCGATGCTGGCGCATATCGGCTTCCGTAAGTTTTACGTTTCTCCGCTGTTCAGTGACATCAGCTCTGGTGATCGCTCGAAGTTTGCCCGCTTTTTCCACGAAGGGGACAAGTTCCGCATGGCTTCCTTTTTTGGCCCCATCAGTTACAACCCCTGCCCCATATTGCTTTTCCAGGTTCCCTCGCTTGAGGAGCAGACTGAAGGAAACCCGCTGCGTCTCGCCTGCTTTGGTGGTGCGCTGCCTCCAAATCCGGACACACTTCTGCTTAAACGCGCCGTGCTGACCGGGCGGGTTGCTGTCATTCACAAAAAGCAGATTGTCGTCAAGTACATGTTTTTTAACGACGAGGACATCAAATGGTTCCAGCCTGTCGATCTCTACACAAAATTTGGCCGACGCGGAAAAATTACAAAGGCGGTGGGATCGCACGGTCTTTTCAAAGCGGTTCTCAACGACCAGGTCATGCAACACGATGTAGTTTGTATGGATCTTTTCAAGCGCGTCTTTCCCAAGTGGACAACTGTCGCCTTCAACATGTCGGATGTAGCCGATGCGGACAAGGAAAACGAAGAAGGAGTCCAATCAGTCGTTTAAGGATGGACTTGATGAATTATTATTATTTGTTAAAATGTGTTAAACCCTGTAACTCCAGAATAAATGAGGTGCTTTGATTTAACAGTACGTCTAAAAGACGAACAAATAAGCACCAAAAAGTGAATTGTAGAAACAGATTGTTTCCTTTTCTTCTCTGATGATCAGCAGCAGAGAAAAGAGGTTTATTTGGGGCAAAAGGTGAATCTCACCTTGCGGCCAATTTAACCATCATGCAATGGGCACTGATACAAAGCTCTTTTCTAAGCACAAATCATAGTGCCCTTTTTTTCTTTGACATTATTTATTTGTTCAGACAAAAAAGTGTTTCGCAGAAGGTCAAAGGCTTTGTATTATTATTCCCTCTTTTCAATCCGTCCGTATGGATTCGCGTTATCATCTTTATTTTTCCTTCTCATTTCTCTTGCTCCTCCAGAGTTAGCTTTTTTCCACCTCGGTCTCGTTTAGTAGCTTTTGCTGGTTAAAACGAGAATTGCTACTCTCCACAAACGAGAAAACGCAAACAAACATGCGTCGTGTTCTCTCTTCTGTTCCTAAACGATATGGCCGCCACGCCTCGTACGTGGGTGGCTTGTTCAACTTCCGTGTCATTTCAGGCGAGATGTTTCCGTATCCTTCTCGCAAACTGGATAACGACGAGTCTGAAACGGTGCAGACGCTGATTGAGCAAATTCGTAGCAACGACAAGGAACTAAATCTTGCAGGCGCGCGCGTTGCGACGGAATACGGTGGCCTCGGTCTTGGCCACACCGCACACGCTCTCGTTTGCGAAGAGGTTGGAACCAGCGGGGACAGCAAACTTCTGCAGACGATCCAGCACTGCGGTCTAGCATCTTATCTGCTTTCCACGATAGGGTCCAAGGAGGTGAAAGGAAAGTACCTGACAGGAATGTCTGATGGCAAGATTATGATGGGATGGGCCGCGCAAGAAGAGTGCGGCAACGATATTAGCATGAACACTGCACACGCTGCTTTTACCAGTGCAGGAACGTACGCCATCACTGGAGCGAAACGGTGCGATTTTGCCGAGTCCGCGACGCATTACCTTGTCCTGGCAAAGACGCTGACGCAGGCGGCCACAGAGGCTGGTCCAGCTGAAGTTTCCCGCAACTCCTTCTTCATCGTGGAGAAAGGTTCACAGGGTGTGACAGCAAGCGGGAACACCGTGACCTTCGACGGAGCTCCCGTGGCGGACATTGTCGGTGTGATTGGAGAAGGCTTCAAAGACCGTATGATTACACTCTTCACGGAGCAGTACGTCTACGCATCCACGCTTCTTGGTATTTTGAAGCGTGTTGTTCAAGAGCTGCGTGACAGTGTCCCGGAGCAGTGGGCTGCCAACACGATTGCATCCTGTGCGTGCATTATGTACGCGATGGAGTCTTCTCTTTACGCCCTTGTCGCCAACCTCGATCTCCCAACGGAGGACAGCTTGCTAGAGGCAGCCTTGACGAGCGTGTTCCTGCAAAATGGCACCAATGAATGGCTCAGCGTCTTGTCGACGGCCACGCCGACCAGTGAGGTGCTCGAGAAGTGCTTCGCGAACGCGCGACAGTTGCTGTCGATGATGGAGGCAAGTGATTTCCTCTATTCTTCCGCCGTGTGCTGCGGCATCGAGGATTACGGCTTGGTGTTCCAACGCACGTCGACGCTTCAGATGGTGCAGCTGCGAACGATGCGGTCGTTCGGAATGAAGGACCGCATCCCTGTGCGTGAGTTGGACTGCTCTGCCATTGATTCGGCGGTGGTCAACTTCGGCAACGCGGTAGAAGCAACATTTGTCCGCAACGCCTCTCAAGTCCCCCAACAGCAGCTCATCATCAATCGTCTCGGAGAGGCAGCAGCTTTACTTTACGCCGCCTCCGCCAGCGCGTCGCGCGCAGCCATGTGCCACAGCAAGCGCCTTCCCACCGCCAAAACGGAGAAGCAACTGGCAAGCACCTTCATCGCAATGGCCACCGAGCGTGCCAACCGTCTGTCCGAGGAATGCTGCAACATTGGCATGACCGCGGATGACTCGTACAAACGCATCGCTGTTGAACTGTGCGATGATGCTCTGCGCTCGTAGAGAACCCAGTCTGTCATTCTAAGCGACCTTAATGGCGAGAGGGCTTTCACTACCAAACTCTTTTTTTTGTTTTCTTTCTTGTTCACACATTTGTCAAAACGTAAAGCAAGAATTTATTGTGTGGTTGTTGTTGTGCTGTTAACTAACGTTGGCTTTGCTGTGGGGGTGTTCCGTTTGATGAGGGTTGACAGGGTAGCACTTTGTGGACATCGTCTAACAGATGCGGAACAGGTCACTGATTAAAATGCAGGGCTGACGGTTTCCACTTGTAAACCGTTGAGCGCGCGAAAATAGGAATTTGAGAGAGAAGTTCTTGACACTGTGGCTTGAACGGGTCGCAGGCACTCGAATATTTTGTCGGAGAGAAGCTTTTCCCCTGAAAGTGACTGCGGCGGCTGAAGTTGATATTTTCTGTTACTTTTCTTTGGCTGTTGTCTTGTTTAACACACACTCAGTAAAAGCTTATCATGCAACTAGACTGAAAGAAAGACCTCTGTATTGCCTTCTTGTGGCGCTTCTTACCACCGCAAGTTTTCTGCAAGGTGTCACCTAGACGAATAGAAGCTTGTAGGGCAAGAAGAATAGGAAAAGATGTTGTGTACACTTTATTGTCTTCTCCCAAGACGACAACATTCCCATCTCTCTGTAAAAGGAGGCTAAGTGCATCTTTCAAAACACTGATTTTTCTTCTCCTTGCAATAAATGACGAGTTCCCTTTTATCGGTTCACCGCACTACCAAAAAAAAAACTGTCGTTTGTTCTTCTCTCCTACCTTGTTTTTTTCTCTCTTGTTGCATCACTTCCCGACGCCGTTTCCTTTCGCAGGGTGTAGTGTTGAGGGAAGTTAGTCCAAACAACCGAAATCGAGTCGGCGAGCGTACATTTATCTTTGCAGGTACGACAGAACTCGCTCCTGTGTCATCCCTCACCGGCTTTTCTTTTTGCGCGGAGGAAAGAGTGGTCCGCGGTGGGCCAGCTTAAGAAGCTTCTATGTTTGGACGCAGAAACGCTTTGCGGATGCGGCACATCGGCCAGGATGTGCCGCGGCGTCACACACATTTCGTGCTAGAGTCGCGTCTCATGTACGAGAAGTCATTTCGCGACGAGTGGATGCGCAGCCTGTGTCAGGCGGTGTCGAACCTCGACGAGCCCTTGGCCAAGTCCTTGAGCGGGACCTGCCAGCAGATGCTTCAACGCAAAGTGGCGTGTTTTAGCTACAATCAGTTCGGACTGTTCAAGGTGCCTTACTATCGAATCGCCAACGTAGATCGTTACCACGCAGTGCAAGGCACACCAGGAACACGCGAGTGGGTGCCGTACGCCAACGTTTCATACTGGACGATGAACAAGATGGTTCGCAGCGGTAACATGCTTGTACACCGCGTGCACTACACCGGGTGGGGTACTGATAAGGCACTGAATCAAGGTGGATGGGAGCACCGATGGAATAAGGTAATGCAGCGCAATGCCCTGCAGTACAACCGCATTTAAGAAGGGTGCGAAGGCTGGCGCTTACGAATTGACATTTTAGTTTTGGTTGTTTGTTTTACGTGTAAGCCGTTGGTGGGGCGTCGACGTTACATGAATCTGAAAAAGTGGACCCTTTTTTTTCACTAAAGAGCGTAGACACCGAGAGGAATGACGCGTAGCGTTGCACCAGGGATACTTTTTGGCTCCCTTAACACTCCTTGACAGCGATCCCGCTTTTTCGCTCTGCGCATACATGGTAGTGTCCGTTTCGCTCGTCGGTGCATCAAGGGCTCGTGCTTTCGGACAACCGCTCCTCAGCTTTTCCTCCCTCTTTGTGTTTGAATGGGCACGAAGTGCGACAACAGCCCATCATAATTCATCTTTTTCCTTTTGTATCTCCTTTCTCCATTTTCGTGGACTTCCACTACCCCAAATACAGGCTTCTTTGACGTAATTTTGCTTATCCATCTGTTTTATTTTTGTCGGTTGCGATTAGACGCGGCACCTACAACAAGCGAGCATTAGTACTCCGTTTATAGCAGCATTTTCGAATTCGAAATCATGCAATCGGCCGTGCGGCGCATCGTCAGTGTCGGGGTGCAGGTGATGAAGAAGGTTACAATGAAACAAGAGGACGTTGCTGCTTTCGGCAATCTTATCGGTGACCACAATCCCATCCACAGCGATCTTGCCGCAGCAAAGGCAGCGGGCTTTCCCTCGACCATCTGCTACGGAATGTTTGCCGGGTCTCTCTTTTCTGGTCTCATGGCGACGGAGCTTCCAGGTCCAAATACGGTGTACATCTCGCAGAATCTGCGCTTTCTTGCACCTGTCTTTGTGGGGGATGAGCTGGAGATCATCGCGAAGGTCACCCAGTTCCGCCGCGACCGGGGCCTAATTGAAATGGCCACCATAGTGCAAAAAAAGGACCCGACGGACGAGAACAAAAGAATTACATGCGTTGACGGGTTTGCAGTGGGCTTGAACAAAACGGTGGAGTTCAAAGGCGAGAGCACATGGAAGACGCGGTAATAGAATGGCGTGCCACTTTGCAAACGAACAAACAAAAAAGGAATTCCCATACACGCTGTTCGCTTTTAAGCCTTCGCGTAGTTTTCCAACCTTCAATTTCTCACCGGGGGAGAAACCCACCGGAATTGAATTGGTTGCACCGCTAGCGTTTTTTCGATCCTTTTTTTTCTTTCTCCGCGCCTGAGAACAAGATTTAGAATCACCTTTTGCTTTTATTCTAAAAAGTTCCACCGTGATGTGAGCGTATCGCTTTCTGAGTTCCTGCTTCTTTTGTTTCAATGATGCCCGGCATGATAGAGAGCTAGCCTTTTTTCTTTCTCTGCCAGTTGCGATGCTCTTTTTTCTTTTGTCCACCTCTCAAATGCGTGCATCTCCTGAGCCCCTTCTCGTTTTTCCTTTTCCGTGCCCTTTTTTTCTTTGGCCAAGCCAGATTTCTCTTCTCTTTTGTTCTCTTCACTCTTCACATTTCCCTGCTGTCTTAAAAGAAACATGTAACCGATATTTAAGTATGAGAGCAAAAGATATCCTTCTACGATGACTTTATAAGCAGCGTTTTCAGAGCTTTATTTAGCATGGGGGGCATGGTTTGTGCATTGGCATTTGTGTCGGTAGTTCGTTGTCCTCCCCATGTGTGCGTGTGTGTATGTTGGCGTGCCTCCATGCGGGGGGCTTGCAGGTTACAACCCCACATCCTGTCTGAAGAGAAAAAAACAAAGGTGCGAAACAAGTGAAATCCAATGAGTTTTCTCCGTTTGTTCCGCTTAAAAGAACGGAGAATAGAGGGTCTTTGTTTATCGTTTCCTTATTACTCCCTGTTTTTAAAGGAACTCTTCTTGTTTCCAAAAAAACAAACCTGCTCAACGCGTGTCATTCAATCAATGTATCTACGTTGAAATCCTCAATTACCTTCGTTCATCTTCATCTCCAGCAAGGCAAAACATGTCTACTGAAACAACTCCTACTGTGGTGCGCATCGGCGCACGTGCGATACGCAGCTTCCACATCACGCAGGAGAGCGTGACTGCGTTTGGCAACCTGGTCGATGACCACAATCCCATCCACAGCGACCCCGCGGCGGCCAAGGCGGCGGGGTTTCCCTCGCCCATCTGCTACGGCATGTTCGCCGGCTCCCTCTTCTCGGGCCTCATGGCGCAGGACCTACCCGGGCCGGGATCCATTTACCTCTCGCAAAATCTGCGCTTCACGGCGCCGGTCTTTGTCGGCGACGACCTCGAGGTCATCGTGGAGGTGAAGGAATTCCACAAGGACAAAGGTCTCATCTCCCTTGCCAACACCGCGCAGAAGACCGACCCTGCAACGGGTAAAGCGATCGTCTGCATCACCGGGTCGTCGGTGGTGATGAACAAAACGCTGCAGTTCGAAGGTGAGAGCACGTGGACGGCGGCCAAGTAGGAGCCAAGGTGACCCGGCACAATGTGACGAAGAGGGAGTTGGCCACACTCGCATCCAACGCCCAAGGCTGGGAAGGGGGACTCACGGAACAGGGCTGTCAGCTGCCCGAGATTGAGCCACCCATCGTTCCTCTTTTGTTTTCCTCACCCAGAAAGGGCCGTCAACACGCTTTCAGACTGCGTTTGATGCTGACAAATGCCACGTTCCCCTTCCGTACTCGCCAATTTTTAGATGCCGAAAACACTGCGCCACGGCAGCATACATTTTCCCCTTTACACTTGTACCGCCATGTTTCAAACACGTATTTATTGCTGAGCTTTTTTTCCCAGTTCGCTAGCCGACAGAGGCGTGCACGTTGCGCCCAAGTCTCTTAACTGATCTCTCAGCGTACATTCCAACAAATTGAGAAAACGCGGACAATACAAAAAATGACGTATCTGTAGGTGAGTGAAAAGAGAAGGACCCTTTCAGACTACCCCGACGTGTCATACAGCTCAGAAACGTATGTTGCGTTGCGTGGTTTAGCTGTTTATGGCTGTTCCAGCCTAGCAACTCAATGTGCGCATTAACAAGATAAGTTCTTTTTTTTTGTTTGATTACCGCCATCATCCTGCTGGCTTCGTCCTTGCGCTTTTCAACTCCACGGCTTCACAGCCTTGAGAGAGAAGCGATGCTGGTTTGGCTTTGCATTTCACTTCCTCCCTTTTCTTCCCCTTTTTTCATCTCTTTTTGTTGATGCATCTTCTCTTCTTTCTCCCTTTTTTTTCCCTCCCCAATTCCTTTTTCATCCTTTCTCAGCAACCGGGGGGTTCCGCCCAGTCTTATGAATGCGCCGCACTGTCCGTTTTCTGTTTAACTCCTTCGAGCGAGGATGGAAGGACAAGACCGTGTTTCCAGCCGATAGACGGGGCCGCTTCAACCTTGATGAGGCCGCCGCGGAACTGCAGCTGGACGAGGAATACGTGGCATCGCTGTACAAACCGCTTCATTACACGTATGCCATGAGGGGACAGCGGTACCCGGCGGAGCAGGGTCGGACAAGCCGCCCTGGTTCTCTATCCTCATCGCGTGATCGCGTGTTCCCGCTGTACAAGAGAAACTACAAGCTCAATAGGGAGCTACGTGAGTTGAGTTACCGCCGCGTGACAACGGAATAGCCGCGCAACGATGCCCGCTAGAAAAGCCATTTGTTGAAGGCAGTTGAGGCCTCCCCGGTTGTCTTTAGAAGAAGGAAGAGGGAGTTTTGTACCTCTTGCGTGCCTGGCGCGCTCTTCAGATTAGTGCGTGCATCGTGTTTTGGGTGTGTTCGGCATGCAGCCCTCTGCTGGTTCGGTTTTGTGAAGTGTTTGTTGTTGTTGTTGTTTGTTTTCTCTTCTCCTTTTTGTGGTCGTTTACATTCATTCAACCTCTTTTGAAAACAAAAGCGACAAAGCGCATTTTTTCTTTGTTTTTTTTTCTGCCTCGATGGTGGACAGGGAGGGCTTGGTTTTGAGTTTCTCTCCTTGTCTACAGGTGATGGCAGAGCGAACGCGTTGTACGCGGGGCGGGGCAATAGTGTTCCCGTTCGAAGGGACGCAGAGCCCTCTTGCACGAGTACGTTACCCGAAACACGACCTTTGTGTGGTCTTGTCGAATAGAGAAGCGAGATGGATGCGCTTGATGCTGTTTTTTTTCTTCTCTACTCAAAACGAGCTCTAAGTTGTCTAAGCTATTTGGTTCTCTGTGCTTTACCTTTTGTGCGTATCTTTAGTGTCCTCTTCCAGTAGGCAAATTCGCATCTGCTCCTCTTTCCTTTTCCGGCTCCTCTGATCTTTTCATTTTAATCCATCTCCAATTGTTCATTGCTACAGAAGGTAATTCAATAAATGCATATCATTGCAGCTCTTTCGCATTCCTCTTTTTTCTCTCTCATTGTTGTACCCAATAGGTGCTCATAAGTATATATATATATATTTGGAATCAACTCCTAGTTTCCTAAAAGCGCCCTTTTCTAATCGTGAAACGTGCCAGTCGTAGTCGCTCGCTTTTCTTTGTTGACCTAAAAGGAGTTCTTTTCCATCTGCAGCTGAAAGCAGTGCGCCAAGCCCGCGCAGCCACGCATACATCCGCCTTCTTAGCTGTCTCCCGCATCTCATATATATATTTTTGCTCGAAATATCTTTTTAGGACGGAAAGATGATGCGATGGGCCGTTGATGTGACAGGCATCGACGTTGCCGAGGATCTGAAACGAGAGCAGACCAAGCACGTTCATGCGGACCCCCAAAGCATCCACAACGATTCGTGGCGCGCGACAGATGAGTGGCGTCCCAACACCACCGGTGACAATGACGAGCTGGGCGAGGTGTGGGTGCTGACGCGGGATGACATAGAAGATGCCCTGCTGGAGCGGGCCGCAGAGTCGGAGGGTATCTTCCGCCAGCTCAACGAAGCCTGCTCGGGATCGCCGACCTCGCTGCAGCGGCAGAACACCAGGGCACCCGGTGTAAATCTGAACGCGACCGTGACATATCGCAGCAGCATCCGGCTGAGTTCCCTGCACACCGATCGCATGGAGAGCAACAGCGTGAGCATGCTGTCAAACGACTCCGCCTTCGAGCAGCCGCCGTCGCGTGAGGTGCAAGTCTTTAGCACTTTTCTCAATGCGCAGGGGCAACGCACGAAGGTGACGCTGACGATGCCGCAGACGACCTACCGCGGCGTGGACGTCGTGACGGTGTTCCTGCAGCATGCTGTAGCCTCCAACGAGGTGCTCTCGCAGCGCTTCTCGACGAACCCGCGCCTGTACAAACTCTTTATCGCGGACGAGTACACAGGGGAGGAGGAGATGGCAGCCCAGCTAGACTTGGGTGCGCAGAACTTTTCCTGCTACGCCGTGACGCCGCTGCCAGCGGCGAACCTCTACCTCTTTCCGCAGCGCAGCGAGTTGCTGACCACGACGGCGCGGGACATCAGCCTAACAGTGCAGGTGCGTCCGCTCGAGTCGACCACCAACGCTGTGCAGCGGCAGTGCGTCGTGCCGGCTGACATGCTGGCGGAGTCGCTGGAGACCACCATCGGTAATCGATTCCCGGCGAATGGCATCATACAGGGCTCGCTGCGCATCGTCTACGGCCCACTAGAGCTCAACATCAACGAGTACTATAACTTTGGCCCGGGCTGCGGCCAACCAAATTGCCCGATCGCAGAGCGCACCATCCTTTCGCTGTTTCGGTTTGGTGTGCGGGAGGTGGTGGTGAATGGACGCGCCGTGGAGGAGGCCCCGACGGAGACGGTTTATGACTTGGCGGAGGACATTGTAATTGACATGAGCGTAGACGAAGCGACTTCCTTTCAGCAGTTTGAGGTGATCTGCATTAACAAGTACGGCGCGCGGCAGCAGCGTTTGCTGTGCGTGGATGGCGAGCACCTCTACACGATGCGGCCCAACGCGACGGAGACGATGCCGAAGATGACGGAGCGCGCCATCAAAGACGTGGTGGAGGTGCGTACCTTCCCGGACAAGCCGAAGTACATGGAGATTGCGTACTCCAGAAGCGCGCACACTGAGGAGGATCACTTTGAGTGCACCACGACGTACAACTGCGCCCTTCTGAACGAGAAGCTTCGCCTTGTACGGCGTGAGCTGCGCAAACGTGCGGCAGAGGAGGAGGAAACACAAGAGAAGAACGAGACAGCGGTGCAGCGTTTATTGGCAGGCCTACGGAATCGATGGTTCAAGGGAAACGATGGTGGCAGTAGGTGAGCGCTGGCCGGGCCATTTTTCTGCTGCTGCTTCCTTTTACTCTCCCTCCTTATTTTCCTCCTCGACATATTTGCTTCCGCTCTGCTTGTCATACATTTGGCTCTATGGTTTCCTTTACGCTTTTTTGTTTTGCGTGCTGCTGCGGTGGCGCGTGTCTGAGAAATATACAGATATGTTGCCATCAAAAGGAATGCTCGATTCTTTCCGGTGCGTTCGATGATTTGAATAGAGGCCGAAGGCCCTTCCCCCCCTCTCCTTTGTAGAAGGAGAAGTGCTGCACACATGTACGCACTCCTCTTACCTGACTGACTCTTCTGTGTGCGGATGGGGACGGTTACTCCTTTTATTTATTGATTTGCGGAACATGAAAGTAATTCTCACTCACTCAAATACACGTTGGCACATGCTTGGAGGCTTCTTTGCCTCTATTGCGAACGCCTTAAAAGAAGTTAAAGTGCTTCTGAGAAGATTGTTGAGATTTAAAAGCACTCAAAAGAACACAAACGCTTGTTTTTATTGGTTTTCCGTGAGCTAGGCACTTCGACGTTTTCCGATGCAGCGCCGCCTTCCGGATTGAACTGCTCCGCCTTGCAGTCTCGAAGAAAACTGAGTGGGCGTCAAGTGATGTGCCTTTCTGTGGAAAACAGGGCGCGTCGTCCCCCCCTCACATGCGTTGTGTGTGTGTGTGTGTGTGTGTGTTATGATTAGAGGGACCTCGCTTCCTGTGCCACTGTCTCACAACAATAATAATTGTTGCTCAACACATCGCTCATCTCATTATTTCTCATGCTCGTGCATCTTCTTCTCACCTCTTCTAAACGCTTCCCATGAAATGGAACAACGACTGCCGCTCCCAGAGAACAAACGCGGCTTCATCTCTCAACACTGAGTGATCCACAGAAGAAAAACCAAGAGCAGGGACGAAAAAAGTTGAGCTCATCTTCGCTGCACTTCTTCGTTATTCTTACAGCCTCCCCCCTCTTTTTAAAAGTAGGACCACATAAGTACGAAATACGTACATCTATATGTATATGCTCTAATGTTTATAAGCAGAACACTTTTGTCTGACTAAAACAAAAAACAAAGCAAAACAAGAACAGCCTTGTGCTCTTGTACGTGTGAGGCGGTGTTAAGGAAGCATCGTGCGCTTTGAGTATACGTAAGTATTTTTATTCATTTGTTAGTGATCTTTCTTTACTTTGACGCTTTCGTTGAACTACCAAGCAAATAAACATAGCACTACGAGACAAGGGACGTACGTGACGCTTTGGCGTTGACAGGCGGTGCATCAATATTTCTCCCCCCTCTTTTAAAACGAAAATTGTGTTTCTTTTTTTTTCCCTTTTCTGTGTTGACACCATCATCTCTTCTCTCTTGCCTTTCTTGCAGAGTAGTAAGTTCGCTACAGGCGTAAAATAAACTTGTTCAGAGGAGCAGCGCGTGTTTAACGCTCTTCATTATATTTTAATTGGATAGTTTTCATTATCTTTTTTTTTTCCTTTGGTTCATTTCGTGCAAATAAAGAAAGGCCGAAAGGATCATAAGTTCTACCCTCCAACACAGCACAAGTGACAAATAATCTCCAATATTAAAAAAAGCTGGCAGGAGGTGGTGGACAAGGCTGCGTTGAAGCGTAGGACAGCGCTGATTAAAAAAAAGGCCATTGACGGCAACCGTAGGTAACTACTATTTTCCCTTGCTTTGCTTTGTGTCCTGCGACTAAGTTTGCAGTCTTTCATTTGTGCTCTAAACTTTTAGTTAGACCCTTTTCTTTTTGTGTGTTCCCACTAACGTTATTCCACTCCTGTTTTTCTTTCATTCTTACTACTGGTGCCGTGCTTACTGAAGGTAGTGGCTTGAGCACATGCCGAACGCTCGCTCTCCTCCGTCTACGGAAAGCGTTACGCGGGATGACCCCAACGCCGATCCCCCAAGCCGCTCTGCATCCGTCATCACTCCCGCCGGACCGAACCGTGTCCGGCGTGCGGCCGCGTTTCTCGTCTCATTCGTTCGTCTCTCCAAGTACGGCCTCGGCGTTGTCCTTATTCTGTGTGTCACGGTGATCTGGGTCGCGTCATCTGAGTTCATTCAATATATCTTCGAATCGTTGGACTTCAACAAGCCGTTTTTCCTCACCTACTTCAACACCACAGGTTTTTGCCTATGGAACGCGGGCTTTCTGCTGTCATCGCAGTGGCGACGCACGCCGTGGAATGAGGAGTCGAGGACGCAGCCGGTGTGCATCGAGGATGCTCGGCTGGAGTCGAAGCCGGACCTCGAGGAGGAAGACGAGCCTACGGGGGGAACGGAGCCTGCCTCGCCGGAAGAAATCGGCGGCGCGCCGGGCGTTGGTCATCGCACCGGTTTGCCGCCGCCATCGTCGCCGAACAGGAACGCCTCGGTGAACATCACCCTCGCCTGTGCCGTCGTTGATGGAGATGTGCAAGGGGACGAAAAGCTGCCACCTTTGAATGGAGGTTGTTGCGGTGCGCCGGGTCGCAAGCACCACGGATCCGTCTCACCTCCTCTCCGGCGTAACGGCGCGCACGGAGCGCATGTAGCGCACACCAGAGAGCCGGTCTCGCCGTCTGCGCCAGGGCCGTTGCTGCCGCCCAATGCATCACGTGGATCCTTTACCAGTGAGCGGCATGGCGGTGGCGGTGGACCAGGGAACCGATTAGCCGACAACGACGACGTGGACATGAGGAGTGAACTCGGTGAGGCGAACGGCACGGTCGTCATGACGCAGCGGTGCATGGCAGATGAGTGCCGGGACTACTCTCTCCCCTCCTCCTCCGCCTCCAGCGCTCGCGAGGAGGTGGTGACGGTGGTGTTTACCGACGAGTACGACCAGTACGACGAGCGCGTGGCGAATTCGCGTGCGTCGCGTGCAACGCTGCACGGTGGTGGAGAAGGAAGATTGGCGCAGGGCATCGCAGAGCAACAGCGGGACGCGACGCGCCATTCAGGCGTCATTTCGCCTGAGCTGTTGGAGCAGGATCCGTTAGAGGGGCCTCACCCTCGCCGCTCGCACAAGCGCGCGCGTCAGCAGCGCATCTTGCGTTACTCCCTCCGACGAATTTGGACGTGTGCGCTTTGCTTCTGTCCGTTGTGGTTCCTGGCCAACTACCTCTTCAACCTCTCCCTCTCCATTACCTCTGTCGCATCCAACACGGTGCTGAGCTCCACCTCGTCCATTTGGACGTTGCTCCTGTCCTACGTGATGCTGCGGCAGAGGGTGGGAATTCACCGCATCGTGGCGGTGGCGATGTGCGTGAGTGGCTCCATCATGGTCGGGCTGGCCGACAAGGACGCCACCGGCGGGAACAACACCATTGGCGGCGACATCGCGGCTCTTTTGTCCGCCTTCTTCTACGCCGCCTACACCTCCGTCCTGAAGTGGTACCTGCCCGACGATGAGCGCTACTCCATGGGGATGGTGTTCGGGGCAGTGGGTGCGCTGAACTTCGTTTTTCTCTGGCCGGGGCTGCCGATCTTGAGTGTCACCAAAGCTGAGCCTTTCGCCTGGCCGACGGGGCAGCAGCTTTGGCCGTTGTTTGTTAACGCTCTCGTCGGAACGAACCTCAGCGATGTGCTGTGGGCGCGCAGTGTGGTCTTGACGTCGCCAGTGGTGGCCACATTGGGCCTGTCGCTGACGACGCCGCTCGCCATGGTGGTGGACGCCATCTTCAAACACGCCCACTTCAACGGAATCTACATTTCTGGGGCTGTCCTTGTGATGCTGGGCTTTTTGTTGGCAAACTTGCCGATTGAAATTAACTTACGTGTTTAAACGACGAAGTAAAGCAGAAGAGCCTGGTTGATGTGGCTCCGACGAACGTAACTGGTGTTTCCCTCGACGTGTTTCTTTTCTTCTCCTTGTCTTTCCAGCAGCGTGTCTGTGCGTTCTCTGGATTGGTGAGACGGCGGCATGCATTACTGCGCCGGTGTGTGCGCCACGCGAGCTCCTTTCAAATAATCTTCCCGATGCCGCTTCTGCATTCGTTGAATTAAGTGCTTTTACCTTCTTGATACTCTCGTCAGCCTCTGCGGGCTGTCAGAGCCTTTTTGTTGATCACCCGTGCGTACTGGCACAACTCCCCTATGTCTTTTGCTTTCTTCTCTTTTCTTGTTGAGTTGTTTTCACTCATACGTTCAACCAACAATCAATAAAAGAAAGCAGGAAGGAGCCGTACGGCAGACACGTTGCAACGAGACGGACTCCGTGCGTGTGATTGCCCTCTTTGAGCTATTGGGGTGCTTCAGACCGCTAAAAAAAGATGCGAGAAGGAGAGAGCGGTGAACTCCGCGGATAGAAGTATGTCAGCTGCATCTTCGGCCCTCCGCCGCAGCACGTGAGGCGGGCCGTTCTTTTGGCTGTCTCTTTTCTCTTTCGTTCTGCTTCGCTCACTACCTCTTCACTCTCCCCCTCTTTTTGTTTTCCTCTCCGACGCTCTTCCTCCTTTTACGGGCCCTCAAAAAGAGAAGTCACGCCGCGAACGCGGTTTTAAATGTTTTTCGCTTCTTTTATTACCGTGTTGCCGCTCAAGAGCATCTCAGAAGAGGAAGAATAAAATCAAGCAACCACAACCACAACGGCATGCTCGAGCTGTGCACAAGGCCTGCCCCAGGGTTTTCAACGGGGTGCCTTCTCGCACCGCGAGGGTGGACTTTCGATGTCGCCTCACACTACGTCGTGCACTCCTGCAGAGCTGCAGAGACGCATGCCGAAGGCAGAGGAGCAAATCATGAGGTCATCAGCGTTGCAACTCGCACCGATGATGGTGACAAACTCCCGGTAGGCAGTTCCAGCAACACCGCCCGTTTTGAATACATGATGGGCACGCAGGCTGGTGCTACACTCTACGTCACGGAGCTTTTCGTGCCGCGTCAGGAGACATTTGCGAGCACGTCACCTAAAGCGGCGCTGTCATCGTCGTGGAGCGCGGAACGCATCCAACGCATTCTTCAGCAACGTGTCTGCAGGAGGAGTGACGCAGATGAACCGAGCTCTGATCCTTCCACGCTGCAAACACACGATCCTTCTGCCACGGAGGCGTGGGTGGTCGAAGTTGGAGCTCAACCGGCGGACTGGACAGATCGTGACGGTGCGGTCGCAATCGACGAGCCGCTGACGTCGTCCCTCTCTCTTTACGATATTCTTCGCCTTTTCTCGCACATCTTTGTGGAGGTCGTGTGGGTAGGCGCAGGAGGGAAACCGGAGGTTTCTGTAGCCGATACAGTGCGGTGCATCGTTGCCGATCTTGAACGTCAGTACCACACCCCTGTGTTGAGGCTAGACGCCTTCCGCTGCTTCACGCAACGGTCATCCGATGCCGCTGCTACCACATCGACGTCATCGAATAATGCTGCATACAACACGGCGGAGACCACCAGAGGTGCCACTATCATCACGCAACTGCGCGAGCCGTGCGCACCTGCGATTCTGGCGGACACTGAGTCGTCGCACGTCAGCGCCTTGTGCTCTACCTGTCTCTACAGCGCTACAGGAGGTGCTTTTGTGCAGCTTCTGCTGCCGGATGCTACGCAGGCGCGCGACCCCGCTCCGCCGTCACGGGGATGCGGTACGCACCGTTTTTTCATTTGCGGACCAGACGCGGCAGGGAATCAGCGCGGCGGCGGCCCAAGGGCCGAGGTGTCATTGAAAGCGATTGCTACAGCCACGTCTGGTATGTGCAATCTCCTGCAAGATCAGTTGCGTCTGACCTGGGAGGGTCTTTCTGTGGCCGCCCCCGCTCCTTACCCTCAACGAGACAGGGAGGGCGCCGAGGGAGACGGCGCAGAGACGGTGGCAGTTGCCCTCGCGACCCTTGCGCTCGACCCGCTTCCCACCCCCACGTCTCTGTACAGCTTTTCCTCCGTTGAACACGCCTGGGAGGCACACGTGGCGCGGTCGATGACGCTAAAAGAGAAGGGCGACAAGGACACAAGACGGTGGAGGGAATGGAAACTGCAAAAGCTGCCCACGCCCCCTTCTCCAAGCATCAGTGAGCTGAGTAGGATCATGGACGAGGCAGAGATGCAGCAGGTGGACCTAGACAATCCTTTCATCACAGCAGCAGAGCGGGCCATGCTCTACGCGGCGGCCAGCAGCGGGCAGCCACCGATCGCGCCACGCTGCTCCACGTATCTTCTCCGTCTTGTAGCGGCCCCGCAACACGAGCCCCTCCACACATCACAGGACACGGCGGGGAGAGAGAACAACAGCGAGGGCCGTGGCCGGGAAAGCCTCTCAGACGAGTTGTGCCTCCTGCAACTGCACGCTCCGCGAGTGCAGAGTCGGCACGCCGTTGTCGTGTGTATGCAAATCCCGGCTGCCTGGCGCGAGGCTGCCGCACGTGAGGAGAAGCCGGCAGAGATGCCAACACCCGCGAAAGAAGACAACAGCGACAGCGTCTCAAGGTTGTCGTACCCGCACGCCACCTCCCGCTGGGCCGCCGCGTTAAGCAGCTCCTATCGGCTCGCCTCCTACACCCCGTCGCTGTGGCTACCACGCGATGTCGGTCGGGGTGCGACGAGTGGCGTGTGTGGTCGGTCTGGCCGCCTCGTGCTACACGTTCCCGCAGGAGACGCACGGTACGAAATTGTGCAGCTCGCCCCTGTAGCTGCGAAGTCGTTTGCTTCATTGGGCTCCATCGCCGCGTGGGTGCAACGAGAGGACGACTGGAAGAGTTGCTCGACTACATGTCCGTTAAAAGATGGACCTGCCTTCGACCAGGTGGGTGCGGTGTGGACGCTGATTGGCGATGGTCGCAGCGCTGCCGCGTACCTCGAGGATGCGCTGATGGAGTACATGTACGACACCGGCAGCAAAAACCTCAACAACGTCCACCAACCGAGTCAGCACGCGCAGCAACCGGGGGTGTTGTGCATCCGTAAGAGGCAGCGGCAGAAGGGGAGGGTGCTGACCGCGTCTGGACAGGCAACCGCGGCTTCGCATTTGGGGTTGCAAGAGGTCTGCTCCGCTTGGGTAGACGTCGGTGCGGCCCACCGGCTGCTGTTGCGCGTGCGAGACGTGGGCGTTGGCGAGGTGCTGGTGACGGAGGCCTCGCTCGTCGGCCCCCATACAGAGAAGACGACAACGAGATCTGCCGACGAGGGCGAGGCGACAGAGGCGGAGCGCGTCAGCCGTGCGGAGGAGGAAGCGCTGGAGAGCTGGGTGGAGGGGATTGCTGCATCTGCGATTCAAAAGAACCTCCGTTAGTTTCTTTCCTCGTCGCGTGGAAAGGAGACAGCGGAATCCCTGAAGGATTGGGGTGGTGGCTCGAAAAAGGAAGGGGACCGTTTTGAAGCTCACCAGAGAGGAAAGGAAATGACGAAGAGGCTACGACGGAGAGCAACAACTGCGGCTGTTTCACGTTTTTTGATCCTGCGTAGATCAACGGGCTTTGCGTTCGCCTTCTTTGTTGCTGCTGAGCCACACACTACTACTACTACTACTACTACTACTACTACTACTACTAGTAATGACCGAAAATAGTTTTCGTGGCACTCTCTTCCTCTCCTCTTTTTCTTTTAAACCAAGCACGCATCTATCTCATTAACTCTGTCTCGCTCACAGTAGTCAAAAGGAAGCAAACAACGAAGAAACTGCGTTCCAGCAGTGCTCCGCTTTCGTGCACGTTTCTCTGCCTGAAACACTCAATTCAACACCTCAGCGCTTACGCACGTTGCTGAGGCACACAGAAGAAACCTCTCAAGTCTCTTCTGCCTAGAACAATTCGTGTTCTGATCAACAATACTGATATATATATGTATATATCTTACTTGCGACTCCCCCTCTCTTTTCCCTTCACCAACACACTACAGGATCCACACGTAACACGTCAGGAAGTACTGTGGACAAGCCGTTGCAGTCAAGAAAGGCTCGAACTTAACGTGTGTGTTTTTTTTTTTGTTGACTACACGAGCCAGCGTAAGAGAGTTGTCTCAGCACTTTGGACGTCGGCGTTTGCTTTTCACGCTCTTTTCGATCGCCGCTCATTTTTATTGCTACTCTTGTTTTATTTTTTGTCTTCTCTGTTACTTGAAAGTTGCCTTATCGAAGCATAACGGCGTCCTCGATGCTACCCGCAGCGCCTTGTGTTTTGCACTCCTCCGCCCGCGCGCTGTTTGCGCAGGAGTGCACGCATGACACCCACTACCTCACGCACAGGGGCGACCTGTACACGGCGCTCGTTACAGGAGGCAATCGTTTGCTCATGCTCAAGAATGGCAGCGTCGTAGCGCAGAGCGGAGAGCTGTTCGATCTTGCAGTGCCTTATCAAAAAAACGGCGGCGCAGACAACACCGGTTCTAAGACGAACGCACCCCGTGCCGTAGACAGTACAGCGACTTCTGCCCCTGCGTGGATAGCGCCGTGCGTGTACGCCGTCAGCATTTGCCGCTTCACGGACGATGTGCTACGCATCGCCGTCGCGACCACCGCAGGGATCTTTGTTTTTGAATTCGACGACGCCGGGGTGCTGTGGCAGGACACACGGCCGTCGTCCTTCTGGCGCACAACCGACCGTGACGGCGAGGACGGCCCATCTGGATCTGGCTCGCTGGCAGTGCCGGCCAGCAATGCGTTGCATTCCTCCGCTGCACCGCCGCCACTGGGGCTGCGCAGTACTGCCACCTCCACTGCCGGTAGTTCGTCTCCTCTTGCCGCCAACTCCTCTAGAGCCGATGCGCATCCGGAGAGGCATTCTGGTATGGCGGGCCGCCTGCGTTGGCGACGCGTGGCTTTCAGCCTCGATTCTTCTTCACAGCGACGTTCCACGGCGGAGAACACCGCAGCCCGCGCCAACGGTGCGGCGTCGCCTCTCTATGGTCGGTCTACCCCTTCCGTCTTGTCGTCGCACACCACTGGAGCGACAGGTACCACCGTTAACGGTGCGGAGGACAAGCCTATCTTCGTTGCGCCTGTCCGCGTTGCAGCCCCCGCACGGCCCTCCGCCGTACACGCGATGGATTTCATTAGCGAGGCGGCGCTGTGTGTCGTGCTGGAGACGGAGACCGTTTTAGTGATGCTGGGGAACAGCAGTGCGACGGCTGCGCCGAGCGGTCTGTACGGGGCAGGGGGTGTGACGGCCGCCACCCTGCGCGTGCCGGACCGCGTCGTCTGGCGCTCACTGGGTGCGTACCGCAGCCTTGCGGTGTGCCATGTGAATCACCACGTTGCACTCGCCCTCGGTCACTCTTCCATGGTCGTCTTCCCCTCTCGTGCTCTCACGATGGATGGAATGAACAGCAGTACCGGTCTAGCCGGCGACGATGACGGCGGGCGGGCCAGCGCCACCTTCTCCACCGCCACCTCCTCTTTCTTCGCGACCAATCCAGCCTCTGGTGAGAGTTCCGCCAAGTACTTGCCGACCACCATCGCGAGCGCCATGCGCGGCGTGCTTGGTGACAGCCACAGCTCCAGCATCGTTCCGACCCCCGCCTTCTCTCCTACGAGCCACCCCATGTCCGTGCCTGCGCTCCCGGGGGGAGCCCTTTCCCAGCTCCTTCCTCCTCTCGCATCTCCGGACGGCAAGGCCAGCGCCGAGGCAGCGCGGCAGCCGTGCATTACACTCGCCAAGCAGGGACTCACCGCCTCCGTCGGCATTTACCACATCACCGACCTCCGCTGGCACCGCGTGTCGTCGCACACGCTACTGTGCGTCACCTGCTCCCACCCACGCGGGGAGTCGTCGTACATGATGCTCTACACCGTGCAGTCGCTCTGCACGACGCGGCGCTACACGAATGTGATGGAGGAGCACGCCGATGGCGGGTGGGGCCTCTGCCGCGGCGGCTACGACGGCGACGGCGTAATGACTGCGACTGCGACCGGCAACACTGCCGGGGCTAGTCGAAGAGCATCGGAGAATCTCGTGCAGCTCGTACCGGCGGGTGTGATTGCCTTGACATACACGTCCACTGCTCCTTCCGCCGGTCCCACTCCGCGCGCCGGCGACGCTGCCGCCACAATGATGAGGACGGCGAAGGCGGCCGCCACAACACCGGAGCAGTTCGCGCTGTCCGGCAGTGCCACCGCGGCGGCCACCTGGGGCGCAGCACAGCCGCCGTCCGTCGCGGAGATACACACGAGCCTCGTGCCAAACCTCTCCCGCTCCGTCGAGGCAAACTCGATGAGCAGTCGAATGGAGTTTCTGCACGTGGAGGAGGACGGCACCGTGCGCACCTCGAGCTACTCCTTCGGCCGACAGAAGCACGCGAGTTTCGCAAAGCAGCGGGCGATGGGGATGGCCTGCACGGAGCTCCTGCAGCCGCTGCTGCACTTTTACGGCGCGCTGGCTTGTGTGACGGTGCTGCCGACGTGGCGGACACGACCGATCGAGCTAGGGCACCACACCGGCAAGCAGCCGCAGGCGGTGGAGGTGCTGCTGAACGCGTCGCGTCGCTACCGCCTTGTTCTTCGCTTCGCAAATGGCGTGGTGCTGTCCGCTATGGCTGACCTGTCGGCAGCGGTGTACCGCGTTGAGTGCTATCTAGCCCTGGGACGTGCCTCGCTGCTCTCTCTCCGACCCATCTCCCCGATGCCAGAGCTGAACACCGAGGACGCTGCGGACGGGGAGGTGACTCAGACGGCCATCGGCACGACAACGGTGTTGCTGGTTGGTACGCTCGCTTTTCCGGCCCCGAGTTCGCCTCCTGTGGGGGCGCCGAAGCGGGTGCGCACAGCGTCGTTGTCGTTGAACACGGTAGGTGGGGCGGATCGACAGCGGCACGCAAGGTCGTCGGAGACTTCTCGCGCGTCTTCCGCCTCCTCGGCCACGTCAGCCTCGCGCTCCCGCTCGACAAGCCCAGCCGACGCAGCCGCCGCCGTACATCCTCTACCAACTCTTTTTCCACCTTCGTGGAGGACAACCGCCATGGCTGACTCCGTCGTCACAACTCCCGCACGCAGGGTGTGGGGCGTGGCGCTACTGCAGGTGGAGCCGTCCGGCTTGCAGGCTCGTGTGCTGACAATCGCTCCGCTGACTGCGGTGAAGGTGGCCGGTGTGACGGATGTGGAGGTTGCGGTGCCGCCGGGGACAGCAGAAACAGCCAGAGCGCAGAAGTGCGACGCTGCTGCGCCATCCATGGCAGCCACCGACAAGGCGGGGCAAACCACCCCTGCAGCCGATGGCACCGCCGCGGTTGGCGAGATGGATGTTGCGCATTTTATGGCGGCCAAGTGCCCAGAGAAACTCAAGTTTATTCCTGCGCTGCTGAAGGCCACACAGCAGGACGCGGGGAAACTGTTAGCGCAGCTCATCGCCAAGTACGGACCGCTGGAGACGTCCCCGGATGCGGTGCGCGGCAGCACGGAAACGAAACCGCTGGAAAGCAACGCGGAAGCAGCGTCGTCGGCTCCCCCCACGGCACCAACCAACGGCGCAGCGCCTGCCCTTCCCATCCACTTCTCCAGTCCCTCAGTGATCCGCAGCGGGTGCGTGACGGAGGATGGCGAGGTGGTGCTTCTCCTTACGTCTCCGAGCGATCAGGCAGGCCTCGGTGCGGATGGGAAAACGAGCTGCGCAGCTCCGGCCGCCATCGTGCGGGTCCGGGCGCCCTGTCTGGAGCCTTTTGCACCGGTGCAGAGGCTCGTAGCGGCCGGCAGCGCACAGGTACCGTTTGTGCCGATCTCGGCGACGTACATTGCTCTCCCTGCGGTGCTGCAGCAGCGTTGGTGGCCGCCAAGCTCGACGGCGACTTCTTCGCCGCCGCTGTGTGCGTCGGCGGAGGCCCGAGACGTCTGCACCGCCTACCGCCTGTGCTGTCGCATCTCCGCTCGACTACAGGCAGCGACGACGGTGCAGTGCGACCTGGTGGGCAGAGACGCCGCCACTCCCGACCCGTACGTGCGTGTGCGCAGCCCGCTCGCGCCGGAGGGGAAAGGAGGGGCGAGTCTGACGGCGCTGCGCTACCTTCCCTTTCCAGAGGACGTGAGGGCGGCCACCGCAGCCGCAGGACACGCGTCATGGGCAGCGGCGTCGATGCGGATTGAGGAAGTAAAGGGGGCGTTGCTGGTGAACAACGATGTAGTGGTCGGGGTACTCTGTCACGGCAGGTCTCTTTCGGCTCACAACGGTGCCGCCGCCGCCCCACCACCCTCTTCCGCGAAGCCGTCGTCCCCGGCGGTGGATGGGTCGAGTACGCGCCCAACTGGTCTTCTTTATTTATACGGCTGCCCCGCTGTGCAGTCTTTGGATGCTGCTGCTGCTGCTGCTGCTTCTTCATCTTCTTCTGGTGCGGCGCAGGCAGGCAGCGAAACGACTCCTTTCAAGAAGAGCGTGTCAGAGCGTGCAACGGCCCTTCCGTCTGCGGCCTTCGTGTTAGAGGCCACCCTGGCAGGGGTGGAGGCGTTTTACCTTAGCACGAGTGGGGAGGTGGTGGTGCTGCGCAGGCGTGGCACTGCGGTGGCAATCGACGCAAAGCAGAGGAGTTCGACAACGAAATCGGCAGGTGCCGCAATGGACGGTGACGCTGCTTCCTCGCACGGCCTTCGGTTTGAGCGTTGGCTGCGTTGCTTTCCCGATAGCAGCAGTAGCAGCGACGGCGACAGCACACCACGCAAGGGCCCTCCCAATCCTGCCACGTCGTGTGCGACGGAGGCACTTAAAGAGGAGACTGGAAATGGTTACTCCTACCTGCTGGATCCGACCTGGTGCCCGTCGTGCAGCCCCACGACGCGCAGCATCACCGGCGAGCCGGCAGCTGTGACGGCTCTCACGATCATGGAGGTCGCCGGCGCATGGGAGGCGAACGCAGTGGGGTTGTCACAGGCAGCGAAACTCACCAGCGGTCGTGCCGCCACCCGACCAGTTCTCTACGCCATGTCAGACAACTCCTTTATTCGGCTTCGTCAGGTGCCGCTGCGCAGCAGTCGCAGCGATCTTGAGCGGCGGCCCATCGCTTCCACAAATGCCGGCAGTGGCAGTGGCAACGGAAACCCGGGCCGCTCCGCCGCCCTTTCCGGGATGCCGCAGTACCACCCAGACGCCATCATGCAGCTCATTGGCATGGCCCAATGGTCCGTCCTCGCGAAGGTCCTCACACTCGTTTTGAGCTCCGCGAAGGCGGCGCTGGCGGCGACGGCGGCCAATTCGACGACGAAGACGGAGTCGTTGCGATTTCTCTTCGCGCAGCCTCCTGACGAGCTCGCGCGGCGGCTGTGCACCTCGGCCGTCTCTCGCGGCTTCCATGGCCGGCCGCAGGTTGTGCAGTACGACGATGCGCTCCGTTGCGTAACGCCGCCTCGGCTCTCCGCGGCGGCGCTGCAAGACGACGTGGAGACCTCGCCTGCCGCAACAGCGGCCAGCAGCAAAGCAGCGTCCGCCGCCGCCGCTGCCCTCCGTTTGTACGACCTCACCGCCACCTGCGGCAACCTCTTCGCGGAGCTCACCAGCGTGCTTCCGCAGGTCACCCTCACCGGACTCACCAGCCAGGAGCAGCTGAATCTGCTGTGTATCCTGCAGGCGCTGCGTGACACCCTGCCCCTCAGCCGCAGCGTCGACGAGGCCGCCGCTCGCTACCTCTTCTTCACCCGTCTCATGAGCCTCGGACGCCGTTTGCGGCTGCCGAACATTGACACCGCGGCCGTCGGCGCCGCCGCTGCCGCTGCTGCCGCCATCCCCGGCGTGCCGATCAACTCGGTGCTCTACTTTGAGGTGGGCCGCACCGCCACCCGCACCGTGTCGACAGCGGCCTATCTGTGGGCTGCCATGTCAGACTCTCAATCGACGCTGGTGTCGCTTCTGTTTGATAAGACAACCGCCATGTACCTCGACGGCGGTGTTGGTGCGGTCGGCACGTCGGACCTCGGCCCAAGCGAGATTACCTGGGAGCAGGTGGAGCAGTCGGGTGCCGCCTTCTGGCTGCGCTCGGCGGCCGATCTGCGTGCCATGGCGGACCGCGTAGCGCGACATCAGTACCAGCGCACGAAGGACCTGACGGCGTGTGCGCTGCTGTACTGCGCTGCGCGCAAGGTCGGCACCCTGGCAGCGCTTGCGAAGGCGCAGAACAACACCCGCCTGCACGCCTTCTTCAGCCGCGACTTTGCGCACGATGCGCACCACCGCGCCGCCGCCTCTGCGAACGCGTACGCAGCGATTAGTAAGAACCTGCCGCAGTACGGCGCCGCCTTCTTCTTGCTCGCTGGCGATGTGCGGAGTGCGGTGCAGGTGGTGCTGCAGCGCTGCCGTGATCCTTTTCTCGCCTTGTTCGTTCTGCGAGCCGCGGGCGAGGTGTCAGAGGAGGTGCCAGGGCGAACAGTTGGGCCTCAGATGGGGGTGAACGTAAACGGTAGCAGCAGTAGTACGAGTCATACGAGTAACAGCAAGAGCGCTGCTCGGAGCACCGGTACGCCCGCCACGTCCACCGCAAGTGCAGGCCCAGCGGCCCAGCAGCAGCGCAACGAAGGGCAACCTGAGACGCTGCTGCAGTGGTACGTGCGGCAGCGCGCCGCCGAGGTCGACGCCTGTGGCCCGCTCGATATGTGGGAGACGGCGTGTTTGAGTTGGATGGACGTCACACCGCAGACTTCGCCGGCGGTGGCGGTGCAGCGACGCATTGCAGCACTGCAGCGCATCGCCGCCCACCCCACCGCCCACCCGGAGGCCCTCTGCGCCCTGCGGTACGCCCGTGACGGCGTGGCCGCGCTGGCCTACCGCGGCGCTCGCTTTTTGTCCCCCGCGAGGGAGGTGGTGTGCTTGCTGCGGCTTGGCCGCTACTGTCTGGCCCATCGATTAAACCTCAACGGCTACCTCCACTACCGCGACGCGGAGGGGCTGCTGTGCGGCCTGCGGGCAGCGGCGGCGCAACAGAAAGAGCTGACGGCTGGAGGTGAGATGGCAGGGGTGACGTTTGGGCAGGGCCTGCACAGCGGCAACGTGCGCCGTCCCCCGGCTCCAGCGAAGATAACCGCGGATATCAACACGGGCACGCTGACCTTCCGCGGGTTCGACGACAGCAGCGATGACGACGACAACCGTTTCGTCCACAAAGCGAGTGGCGGTGCTTCGAGTTCGACGCAGCGAGGAAAGCGAGACGCAGAGGATGAAGACGAGAACGCAGAGGTATTCGTGCTGAGCGACGAGGCGGTCGCAGCGGTGCAGGCGGAGATGCAGTACGCCTATCTTCGCACCGGGACGTTGCACGAGGCGAGCGGTGGTGCGCAGACAACTATGTCATCCTCGTTGTCCTCCTCCTCCTCCTCCTACGAGGACGTTCTCCGACGCATGTTGTTGTGCTTCACCTCTGCCTCCTCCTTCATGTCGACCTCCAGCGTCACCTTGGCGGATGGAGCGGCGGCAGCAGCGATGCACGCGGCGGCCACTACAACGACGTCGACGGTGCCGAGTGCGTCTTCCTCCGTTGGCAGCCCGCACCTGCCGTTTCAAGATTTGCTGACGCAGCTTCTACGTCGGCTCATCGCGGACTTGCCAGACGGGCCGCCCGCCGCGACGGAGGTAGCCGTCTCTTCTGTTTCTATTGTCGGCGCTGCCGGCGGTCAGGCGTCGTCGACGGCCGCAGCGGAAGAATCACCGCCGCCGCCAACCACATCCAACGCCACCGTCGACTCTCCTCTGCAGCGTGTGCCGACGTCGGCGCCTCTCACGGGTCCTGCAGGCGCAAGCCGAGCGGTGCTGAACGGCAGCATGCGTGAACCGATGAAGTGCGCGGCGGAGGGGTGGTACTCGCTCTGCATCCCACTTTTGCATCTGCTGCTGAGCAAGGTGGCCCTGCAGGAGGCGAACTACCTCGTCCTGCTGAGTCTGCAGCGCATCCCCGTCTCCACTGAGGGCGTCCTCGAGGCGGCGGAGCAGGCGGGGTTGCTGCGCGATGCCTTTGAACGCGCCACGCAGAGAGCCGCCGCCACCGCCCCTTCCTCTTCCGCATTCTCCGCACACGCCACAGAATCTGCAGCAGCCACAGCGCCGTCCCCGTGCACAGGGAGGCAGTCCCCGCTATACATGCCTCTCATCGCCTTCTTCATGTTGATGGGGCGCTACGTTGTGCGCCACTACAAGGAAGCCTGCGAGGCGGAGGAGGAGCGGCAGCGAGGCGGTGCCGTGCATGATGACCGCCGGGGTAAATGGAAGGCGAACTACACCGCGGATGGCAGCAAGGACGACACACAGAAGAGCAGCGGTGACGACGAGACGAGGGCCGGCGACGATCCGGTTCATCAGAACGTGTTTGAGGCTCTTATGGCAGTTGCCGCGGCGGCGGAGAAGTCCCAGTCACGGAGCGGACCCTCGTCTCCTGGGGTGCGCGACGGCCGTCGTCTACCAAGCAACCTTTTCAAAGGTGAAGACGGCGGCTCGAGTGCGATAGAGGGCGCGGATGACGAGGACCAGCTGCGCGACGGCGGCGGTGCGGCCATCACAGAAGCCGCGCACGTTGCTCTGCTGCTTTCCTGCTGTCAATCGCAGCTGCAGCTCCGCCTGATGGAGCACCTGCGGCACCTCGCACGGGCCGAGGTGCAGACGGAGGTTCACACCCCGACGACACAGCGCGCGCTGGACGCCGGTGTACTCTACCCAGAGCCCCTCTCGCCCGTCGGGAAGGCAATGCTGGTCCAGCGACGCATTCTGCTCTCGGCGATGCTGCTGGACGTGACGGCGCAGTGGGGTGCCCTCGCTGAGGAGACGGTGCCGCGACTTTACGCGGCGCTGCCCCGCTGCGCACCGGGGCCGCTGACGGACCCGAACGGTGTGTTTTTGGAGGTGCGCTTCGATGTGCTGCGCATGCGTGCCGTGTTGATGACGCTGCTGGCCAGTCCTCACGGCATGACAGAGGCGGCTGCCGTGGCGGCCACATCGGAAGGGGCGGCCGGGGACACGACGGACCCGGTAAGCGGCGAGCGGCCGGCGATGTTCTCCGATGCGCAGTCGAGCGGTACTTCTCCTCCTCCCCCTCCCAGTAGCAGCAACTGCGGCAATAATGACGACGGTGACCGGCAGCTCGCGTCCACCACGATGTGGTTGGCTGAGAACACGGTGATGTTGCTGGAGCTGTGCACGACACAGTTGGAGCTCCTGTGGACGCTGCCCTCGTTGGCTCTGACGCAGTGCCGGCAGCTGGCCGTCCCCACACGAGCGGCTCTGCGTCTTTTGCGCAAATCCACCGCATCACACAGCGCGGCGCGGAAGCTGCTGGAGAGCATGCTGCGGCCCGGCAGTGAGTTTTCTCCAGTTCTGGCGCAGCGCAGTCATACCGCGCCGCTGACAGCGGAGTCCTCCCCCGACTCTCCGCTGGCGCGGGCATCGACAACGTGGTTGGCGGAGACTCGTCATCCCTCGCCCGACCGTGCACGCCGCACGGACGACGAGACCGGCGAGGCGTACTGCCCTGCGCTGTCCTTCCTGCAGCTGGCGTGGATGCGGCGCCACCACACCCACGCCCTGCTCCGTTGGCTGCTGCTCGACGTTACGCTGGACATGGGCCGCGAAAGCGGGCAGCGCCCTTTGGTGACGGACCGGCTGATCCTGACCCAGCACCACCACGCTGTCACCGGGGTGCAGTTCGACCTCTCCAGCTGCGACAGCGTTGTCTGCACGACGGAGGCGGGTACGTCGGTCGGCCACGGCTTCCGCGAACTGCTCGCCGGCGACAACGAGGAGGCCTTGTGGAGTCAGTCGACGGAGCGCAACCTCGCCACGGCGGCCTTCACGCTGGGGCTCACGGCGCAGCAGGCACGCCTGCAACTCGCCGCGGCGCACCACGAAGACGCCCACACGCCGGAGGTCGTCGCGGCACTCGCGACGAAGGCGGTGCTGGAGAGTCGGCCACGGTGCGCCGTCGCCACCAACGCCATGCCATCTAGCCATCCTCACCTACCCTTCTTTCTCGCGCGGCACCGCGATGGACATCTGGACCTCTATCCTTTTGCCTCACAGGAGTGCATTGCCAACTTCTGCTGTGCGCTGCGCCATGGCCAGGGAAGCGCGGCCGGTGGCGACGGTGGTGGCGGCGGTTCCGCTGTTGCGGGGGGCGCACATGCGAACCTGAACCCCCGCTCGTGGGCCGCGTGGGGTGTGGGGACGTCCGGCGGCGCCGCACTGTCGGGGGTGTCTGCTGCTGGTGGCACTGCCGCACACGCGTCGCATTTGCCCGGTTCGATGCGGCGGATGGAGCGTCACGCCGTCACGCCCGTCGCCTTCTCGCCGAACGGGTACATCATCGCGACAGGGCTGTCGGACGGGTCGGTGGCCGGGTGGCGCTTCGCGGCTGCCGCGGTGGAGAACGCGCCTGCGTTCGTGTTTCCACAGCTATTCGCGCCGTACGGCATCCGTGGCTGTACCTTCTGCGGTGACCGCAGCTCGCTGCTGGCGGTGGTGGGGCTGGCGTGGGAACCGCACCCGCACCGGCGCGGGCGCGTGAACGGTGGGGCGCGGCCGGCAACCACGCCGGGGATCGCAACAACAACCGCCGCACGAGCCGCCGCCGCATCCCCGCAGCCTGGGACCTTCACAAGTTCCTTCACGATGTCCTCCGTCGTCTCCACCGCAGCGTCTGCAGGGCGTGCTACCGTGATGTCGTCTCTCGCCACGGCGGGGGAGTTGGTCGGCGAGGTTCAAATCCTCGACACCCTGCTCGAAGACAGGGCGGTGACCGCGCGCTGCGCCCTCCCATTTGTGCCGTCGTACGCCGTGTTCCTGACGCCGCTGCGGGCGGTGCTGATGGTGTCGACGGACGGGCTGATGGCCACCTTCTCGCTTCCCACTGGCCGCCTGGCGGTGATCGGGACGGACAGCCTGACGTCTGTGCTGACTTCCTTGCTGGGGCCTTCGTACGAGGGTGGGCCTGCTGCTGCTGCTGCGGCGGCGGGGGCCGCCACCGCCTCCACCGCAGGCAGAGTGGATGGCAATGCGGTGTGCGTCACGTGTGTGGCGAAGAGCGCGTACGACCCTCTCGTGGCGCTGGGGACGTCAAAGGGACTCGTGCTGCTGCTCCACCTGCGGCACATCAGCGCCGCGATGCGGGAGGCGGAGCGGCGAGTCAGCGAGGAGGGCGAGGACGTGTTTCTCTACTACCCACCGGCGGCCAGCAGCGGTGTGGGAAAGCGCGAAGCCAGCGCCATAGCCTCCACGCCGACGAGCGCGACGAGCCGTGCGGCGGCGGAAACGGCCCCGCCGGTGATGGGGACAGAGTTCATGCAGCGGCTGCTACCGGCATCGGTGCTGACGGAGGCGACGTGCATGCAGGTGGCCCCGCAGGTGCACAGCCGCAGCGCGGTGGAGGATGTCGTGTTCAGCCCGTCCATGCTGCTTGCGGCTCTGCGGGACGGCCGGGTGATGGCGTCTGCGGTCATCGCCCAGGCAACACGCACGCGCTTGACAGCGGGGCGGAGCGTGTCGGTCGATTTGCTCGAGGCTGCGAAGAACGGGGCGTAGGCGGCGACAACCTGCGTATGTGCGTGTGGTGCTTTACAGTATTCAATATTTGCTGTTCAACCCTTCCTTTTTAATCCGTGGTTGAACTCTTGTAGTCGCCTCCGTGGTGGTGCCGTCGACGATCATGAGCCCGAAGGACCCTAACACACCTGCTGATGGCAGGGTGATCCACCGACACGGCACGCCTGCGCGTAGTCGAGGTGGAGAGCGGCCACGCTGCGGTGGTGTATAAAGAAACAGAAGAGAATGAACACGCCTGATGCGAGCAGTCCTTGACGATGATACTTCACCTTTTTCCTGGTGTGTGTGTGTGTTTGTGTGCGGTCTCGTGCGCCAACCCGAACCGCTTTTTTTTTTTGCTTCGTACTTTCCCACTATCTTCCTCCGCCATCTTGTTTTCTCTCTGCTGACTTTCGCCGGTGTAGTTCACAGCTGGATCGCAGACGTTTCTCAATTGTTGCCGCCGTGGATGCACGCTCTCGTGTTCCGCCAGATCTGTAGGCACATACATACAAACACACTCGCCCTTTTTTTTTTCTTTCTCGCGTTATCCGACTAGCACAGGACTCGGGGAAAAGGAGCTGACGAGCTGCTGTACACACACGGCACTCCCTCACATCAATTAAGGAAGGGGAAAGACGAGATAGTACCGCAAGATGCTTCGTCGGTGCGTACCGTTGCTGATCGGGATGGAGGGGAATGTCTTCGTATCTGCCATAAAGGACAAGCAATACCTTGCCCACCGCCTGGCGCTGCTGGGGAAGCCCGATGAACACTTCAAGCCACGGCAGATGTCGGAGGAAGACATCAAGCGGTTTACGACCTCCCTCGGTTCCGCGGAGTCGCTCTTCAACAAGCAGGCGGGTGCGATCCCGACCAACGTAGTGGACGAGGAAACGGGCCGTGTGATCGGCAGCGCGCAGCCCGACCCTACCCGGTACGGTGATTGGGAGGTGAACGGCCGGTGCTACGATTTTTGAAGGCTCCGAAAGACGCGGCCACTGGACACCGCGGTGCTTCGCATTCACGTAGTGTGAGGCGCGCATGGGCGTTCAGGCGAGCAACGGGCTCTCTTTGTCACCCGAGAGAGCAATTTTTCTTTGTTGTTCCTCCGCTGACTCCTTCTCCGTTTCTCTTCTTCTCTTCTCCGTTCTTGTTTCCCTTATAGCACTTATACCCTCCTACGTACGTTACGCGTTGTCTCTTGCACGGCTGCGGCTCCGTGCTACTAAGGGTCGATGACGACCCTTGAAAAAACCCCAAAACACGCCACTGCTTTTATTGTTTGTAGTTGTTGTCTCGCCGCTTTCACTGTTTCCACCGGGGCAACGTATATTTCTTCTGCGCTTTGCATGGCTTTATTATTACTATTAGTATCTATTGACGACTCACGGTACAACGAGGCTCAATGCAACGGATATGAACGCTCGATGGGCGCCTCAAGGGCGAACGCTTGTATTTTTTGTGTTTCACGGCCGGGGACGGCAACGCGCGCGTCAATCACGCCGCTCCCTCCTGTTCCCCCCCGCGCGCGATCCCCCTCCCCCCTCCCACCCTTGGCCCGTTGAAACGCGAAGTGCTGTTTTATGGACCCAACTCCGTCTCCTTCTCACCTCTCTGGGATTCTCACACACCACACACGCACACTCTCCTCCCTCCTCCCTCCCTTCTTTTCTGGTCTCACCCCGACTCGAACCGCAACAGTTTGTGTGTGTGCGGCAGCTTCATCGAACGTGCTGCTCCTCCACCTGTGTGCCTGTGCGTCCGCGTGTGCCGCACGAAGCTTGCTTTATTCTTCCCCCCCCCCTCTGCTGTGCCTTTCGCCGTAGCCGTTGCAGCTGTGCACACTTCTGGTTCTGCTGCTACTGCCGTTGTTGCTGAGGAGTTGCACGTCGGTTTTGCCTTATTCTCTGCGCCCACCTTTTGCGTCAGAGCGAAAAACGCGAGACCCTCTTTGGAGTCTTTATTTATCCCCCCTCGTTTGTTTGTGAGTCATGTCGATGCAACTGTTTAGCTTCGGGCACCCCTGCGAGCACCAGCTCCATCGTGCCTGCATAGGAGGGTCGAACTGCCCTCTCAACGGCTACCCCGACACGTGGTGCTGCAGCTTCATTAAGGGCAAGATTAACTTCAAGCGCGATCGGCCGTGCGAGGGTCCGCGATGCCACTGGGACTTCGTGCATCCCTCGCAGAGCCAGTTTGATGAGGTAACGCAAGTGCTGGAGCAGAGTCGCCCCATCGCGGCAAAGCTGGATGAAGCAAAGGACACGGATCTGCTGTCATTTCAGATCAACAACCCCCACATTATAGACACGGTGCAGTGTGCACTGCACATGATGCGGTACCCGCCTAGCACGTGTGCGCGCAGGGTGGGACAGCTGCTCGCCTACGCCGCCGTGCTCGCCGGGGATCAGGATGTTTTTGTGCAGCTGCTCAAGACGATGAAGAAGCCCGTCGATGGGTACATCTTAGGCGCCTACGCGTACTTGACGCAAACCAAAGCCGGCGGCGGCAGCGCCGGTGGCGGAGATAAGGGGGGCGCGAATCAGAAAGGGAACAAGAAGCAATCGAAGAAGAAGGACGGCAAGGACGACATCACCGCTACCCTAGCGAACACCATGGTGGAGTTGATGAACGCGGCGCTGAGCCTCGGCGGGCAGCTCGTCGACCGCGAAGATCAGCACGTCTTGCAGGCCATGCTGATCAAGGCGCTCTCCACCTACCCGAAGGGCGACAAGCGGCATCAGGAGATGCTGGAGAAGGCCATCGCGAAGTTCGGCCACCGAAAGCTGGACGATGAGGAGGAGGCGGCAGCGAAGCGGGAGGCGGCCCGGCGCGAGGCAGCCGCAGCGGCCGCGGCAGCACCACTCGCTCCGGACTTCACGAACACCACCTGCCTCTCCGGCGCCACCTCGACAGCGACGAACACGGTGACGAACGCAAACAGGGGCGAGGCATCGGGTGCCCCCGCCGCAGCCCAGGAACCGCCCGCGGCGGCGGCAGCAGCAGCAGCGACCACCACGGCGCCTCCGATGCAGTCCACCACCCCAACCGCCATTGCCATCACCGCGGCCACCACCGCTCCAGCTCCGACGAACTCCTCGGAGACTGCGACCACGTCGGCGAAGGAGTACGCCAATGCTGCTGCTGCTGCGGTGACAACGCCGACTACGGCATCCACCGAGGCAGACGCCAAAGCGCTGCCGCCGCCTGCGCCTGCGCCGTCGTTGTCGTCTGCGGAGCGGCGAACACCGCGCGAGACACGCGAGGAGGCGACGGCCGGGGCCACGCCCAAGACCGCCTTCTCCTCCGCCCCCGGCACGCCTGCCACGGCGGCCGTGGTGATCGCCAGCACAAATCTCTTCAACGCACCGCCGCTCTTTAGCACCTCGGCGAACACCCTGCCCTCTCCTCAGCAGACGTTGACGCAGATCTCGCCCTTGGCTACCATCTCCACAAATGCTGCTGCGGCTCCCGCCTCCGCAGTCGCCGCTGTTCGTCCGCCATCGCAGCCCGTCGCCATATCGACCGCTGCGAACACCGCCGTCTTCCTTGCTGTGCCGCCTGGCGCGCAGCCGCCGCCACTTCAGCAGCAGCAGCAGCAGCCGTGCCCGTCCCACATACAAGCGCCTGCTGCGACCGGCCCGATCATCGGCATCAGCAAGATTTTCCCGACCCTCCGCAAGTACGCCAGTCGGTTCGACAGGCTCAGTTTGTGGACGTTTCCCCCCACCGATAGCACAGCACCAGATCAGTACCTGTGCGGTGGCCAGCTCTCTGTGAAGTCGCACCTGTGGGGCCCCACCCCACTGGGCGAGGCGGCGCCGCAGCTTCCCATGGACGGCGTGACGCAGAGACTCGCAAAGTACATCGCAGAAACGCGGAGGGACGAATCAGAGGCGGCGGCGCGAGTGGCAGAACACGCCAGCCTGCCTGTGGTGTCCGCAGGGGATGCCGGTAGGAACACGTTCACCCGTTTCGACAGTGACGACTCGTACGCGTTTTATAAATACTCGGATGATGAGGATTCCGACGATGATTGGTAGGCGTACACGGGAAGGGATGGTGCGGCTTCAATGCGACGTTGCCCTGTGGGGAATCGAAGGCGGATGGCAGCGGGAGTGACACTGCGGATGCTTCCTTCCTTCCTCTCCCGCTCTTCCTTTTCACCCTCCGTTCTGAAATCCTTAACTCCATTTGCTCTTCCTTCCTTTATAATTGTTTCCACCCCCTCGCTATTCTTTGCAGGCGTGTGGGGGAGGCTTGGTGCGTTGTGTGTGTCCGTTGGCGAGTCGGCGCACTTTCATAACGGATGAGAAGCAACCCGAAGAAGTACGTTGAATTTCATGGCTTTCTCTCTCATTGCTGTCCCCGCGTTGCTTTTGTTTTTTGATATTCTTGTTTCTGGTTGTGTGAGTGTCGATGTGTGCATGCGTTTGTGTGTCGGAAGGTGGAGGAGCAGAGGGCGGCTCGGCGCGTAGCGCCTTTCTCGGCTTACTTCTCCTGTGTTTGGGTCGCGGAGCTGTGTCCCTTCTTTTACTATTATTTGATGGTGGAGGAGGCGCGACGCCTGTAAGAAGCAAACAAGCAAATAAACGAAAAAAAGAAAAGGAAACTGGCGGTGCGCAACACTGATGATGCACGTGCCGAGACGCGAGTGCTCCACGAGGTACTCGTGCCTCGAAAACGAAGCGGTGCTGCCTGCAGGGTAGCCAGCGTCGCAGCTTCTTTTGCTTTTCCTTCTGTGTGTGTGTTGCGGCCGCATCGTGCGCGATGTTCTTCTCCCTCCATGGTGTCGGTTTCTTCTGCGCTTCTGCTCTTTCTATTCCTTTTCCGCCTCACCTCTCTCGCTTTCACGACCCCTGCACGGCTGCACTCCGCAACGTGAGCATCGACAGAGTTTGCGACAAACGTGCTTCAGTACTCGATCAAGTGTACCTCTCATTTCTCTTTTCCCTTTGCTGCGCGCACCGACTACCTTTTCGTTTCTCTTAATCCACATCCCCGCTCTTTCACGTAAGCAAGTCGAGGAGAGCAAAAATGTCTGACTACGGTGGCGGATACCGACGTGGGGGGTACGACAGGGGCTACGGCGGCGGTCGCGGTCGTGGTGGCGGCGGCTACGGCGGTGGCAGCCGCGGTGGCTACGGGGACCGCGGGTACAACGATCACTACGGCCACGGCGGCCTCGGCGCCAATCTCCACCGCGTCGACTGGGAGGCGGTGCAGAAGGTGGCGACGCAGTGGAACTTCTACAAGCCGCAGAAGCCGCGCAGCGAGGAGGAGATCGCGCAGTGGCTGCGGGAGAACAGCATCACCATCTACGGCGATCGCGTGCCGCAGCCCATGCTGGAGTTCTCCGACTTGGTGGCCCCGGACGCGATCCATCAAGGCTTCGCCGATGCGGGCTTTGTGTCGCCGACGGCCATTCAGTCCGTGGCGTGGCCGATCCTGCTGAACTCGCGCGATATCGTCGGCGTGGCGAAGACGGGATCGGGTAAGACGATGGCCTTCATGATTCCCGCGGCGCTGCACATCATGGCCCAGCCACCGCTGCAGCCTGGCGATGGCCCCATTGCCCTCGTCCTCGCCCCGACCCGCGAGCTGGCGGTGCAGATCGAAACGGAAACACGCAAGGCCCTCAGCCGTGTGCCGAACATCCTGACGACGTGCGTGTACGGTGGGGCGATGAAGGGGCCGCAGCAGCGAGCCTTGCGTGCCGGCGTGCACGTCGTGATCGCCACCCCCGGCCGTCTGATCGACCTGCTGGAGACGAACTGCACGAACCTTCTGCGTGTCACCTACCTGGTGCTGGATGAGGCGGACCGCATGCTGGACATGGGCTTCGAGGACCAAATCCGCAAGATTTGCTCGCAGATCCGCACCGACCGGCAGACGCTCATGTTCTCGGCGACGTGGCCGCGCGAGATTCGGAATCTGGCAGCGAGCTTCCAGAAGGATTTCGTCCGCGTGCATATCGGCTCCGAGGAGCTCGTGGCGAACGCGGATGTCCACCAGCACGTCCTGGTCGTCGAGGGCTACCACAAGGAGGAAAAGTTGGAGGAGATTCTGCGCCAGGTGGGACCGCAGCGGGTGCTGATTTTTGTGAAGACAAAGAAGTCCGCCGACATCCTGCAGGACCGTCTTGGCCGCGCGCTGCGCCAGACCGTGTTGGCGATTCACGGCGACAAGTTGCAGTCCAGCCGCGACTACGTCTTAGACCGCTTCCGTAAAGATAACCATGCCATTCTCGTGGCGACCGATGTGGCTGCTCGTGGTCTCGACATCAAGGACCTGGATGTGGTCGTGAACTACGATATGCCCCTTAATATTGAAGATTACGTGCACCGTATTGGTATGTTGAACTGGTTTCCATCGAGCCTCCTCCCTTCCGCTGCTCTTCTTTTTTCCTCCGCTGCTTTTCTTCTTTGTACTACCGTTTTTGTCTTTTCCGGCCAATTTCTCCCCTCCTGTGCTCCGCCCCTCCTCCTCCCCCCCCCTTTCCTTCAGCCGTGTGCTGTTACTCTCCTTGTACGCGTTTTGGCGTTGTCGTGGACGGACGGCGATCGACGCCACCGCGAAAGAGGAGGAAGGGGGGAGGGGACTGGCAAGAGATGACGGGGCGTGCGGAGAGAGAGAGAAGAGAAAGGCAAGGACAAACGGAGGTTCGAGCGAAGCTGAGATCAACAGCGGGGGAAAGAAAGGCAGCGGGAAAAAACACGGCTCACATTTTTCTGCCTCTTCTCATCTTTTTCTCTTTACTACAAAAGAAAAAGATGCGGTGAACAAAAATGCTTTGCTTTTCAACTTGCAGTTTAATAACCCTTAATCCCCCCTCCCCCCTTTGATGATAAGCCATGCGTGTTTGCATGTCTGTGCTTGTCTCTCCCCCCTCTCTCTCTGTGTGTGTGTGTTGGTTGCGTATCGTGTTGTTGTAGCTGGAAATTTTTTGTTTTTACTACGGAATCGTTTCTCAAGTAACCCTTCTACCCCCCCCCCCCCACTAACCCCCCCTCTCTCTCCCCCCCACGTTAACTCCCCTCCCCTCTTGCGCTTAGTGCTAAGTGAAGACGTGGAATGTCTACTTCGAAGGCGTGTTTGTTGTCTCCAACCCCCCTTCGTGGAGCGCACTTTGCCCGATATCTTGTCTGTGAAGAGTCTTCACTGTCCTTTCCCTTTGTCTTCTCTACGAGCGTCTCTGCCTCAGGGGTGAAGCGGCAGCGGTCGCAGACGCGTCAAAGAGCGTCCTCACGTATGGAGTCGCTACTGAGACGAGCTGACCTGGGCGCGTAAGTTATCTATGCAGCTTTTCATTTTCATTGAAGGAGGTGAAAAGGAAGAGTTAGAGTATCTCTCACTCCAACCTGTATTGTGGTTGTTTGCTTGTTTTTGTTCTCTCGTATGTGTGTGTGTGTGTGTGTGTGTGTGCCACATGGACGTGCTCCTTCCCACATCTTCACACTTCTGGAAGGACCGCTGCTGCACGTGCTGGAGACACGCTCTCATCCCATTGACATCGTACGGCGACCAGAATCGGTGAAGCCCCGGAGGGGTGGGTGATGGGTGGGCGGTGGGCAAAGGAGTAGAGGAAAAGGCGTACGAAATGCACTGGCTGATGCTAGGGAGGAAAACAAAGCAGACGCGAACAGCGGTGACAAGGAGAGCACGTCGGGGACTTCGCTCTGCGAGGAGTCGAGGAAAGCCGCTGTTACCTTTTCTGATCGCTCTTCCGTTTCACCTTTGTTCTTCTTCAGCCTCCGCCCCTCCGCCTCTTCGCCCTCCCTTTCTTTTCTTGCTCCTGCTGTGTGGGCAACGGAAGGATGCACGCCGCTGCGCTGTGTTTCACCGCCCTGTCGCTGCGATGTGGAGGCGGAAAGACGAAAAGAGAAGAGTCTCTCTGTTTCTCTCGAGAGCAGATATCTGGCGAAAGGAATTATGTCTCTCTCCCCCCCGCCTCCCGACGTCCGCATACACCGTCTGGAGCACCGCCGCCTCTTTTTGGGTAGCCTTTTCTGCCCTTCACTTGTGTCTGCCGGTTAAACTTTCTTCCTCGATCAGCTTGCGTGCTTCGGTGTGCTCTAACGGAAACTGGAGAACGTGCCGGTATTGGTTTTCAATCCTTCTGGTTTTTGCGACGTACGCATCGAAGCTGCATCTCGGCCTTTCGTGTTGGTGCCTGCGCTGTTTTTTTTTTGTTCTCTCCATGCCGTGCCACCGCACACGAAGGAAGCTCCTCTTTTCTTCCTTTTCGTGGTCGTGTCGAAGGAGGCACAAGCGGCAATGTGGCCCACCGTATGGAGAGAGGAAGGAAAGGCGAAGCGGTGGAGCGCAGGCAACGGCACTGTATAGGCGGGTACAACAATGCGCATGGGTGCGTGTGAGAGGAGGAGGAGAGTGAGAGGCACACACACGTACCCGTACGCATAGGGCGACATGCACGCACACGCGCCTATCGTACTTACCAGATGAGCACCTCCACTCACGAGCTGACACACGCGCCTTTGGAAAGAAACAAAGAGAGGATGAGAGAGACACAAACACATACACACGCACACATGTACACGCACATGCAGACGCAGACGTTTGGTGCCTTCACCTGCGCGTTCCGTGCAGGCACGCCGCTGCATTTTCTTTACTGCTGCAATTGCACGCCTCCGAAAACAACGCCACATGAAGCTGGCGAAAAAGCAGGCGTGCATCAGCGGCGAAGTCGTCGAACCTACGCACGCCACACCAGAAAGAGGCGCACCGGGCGACAAGAACGGACAGCGACACACTCACCACAAGCAAACCAACTCCTTACTTTCCTAGAGATATAAATTCAGTCTCCTCCTGCTGGGGCGAGCTAGAGAATCCATTTTTTCTTTTGAAACATCTTCATCATTACCAGTTCAGCATCAACAACACTGTGCGTTCTTTTTGTTTTTTCCCCCTTTTTTTAATGCTAATTTTAACTTAACGAGGTTTTCCACACGATCACCTTCTCCAACTCTCCCCCCAAAACACCACCTTCACTTTTTCGTTCCTCCTCTTCCTCCTCTCTCCGTCTCGCTTTGGTTCGTATTCGCTGCCTGTCGTGTGCCGCATTGAATACTTCTTTTTAAATTTCCTTCTCTCCCGTGTACACCATTTGTTGCTGATTTGCGTTATTCGCCAACAACAACAACATGATGCCGCTCTCTCTCATTCGTTCGCATCCATCAACCGACGCAACGCGCATGTGTGTTGATGCTTGCTCGATCTAATGAGTCTTTGTTGTTCTCTCCTCTGCTTCCCCTCTTCTCTCTTTTTTTCCTTTTCTGGTTTCACACCGGGAAACTTGCATTTCCGCTGCCGTCTCGCTCTGCTCCGCACCGGTGCGCATCGAACAATGTGCCGTGTATACGCATGTACGAATGTGTATGTGTGTGTATGTGCGTCTCGACCTCTCTCTCTTTGTCTCTCTGTGCGTGTGCGTGTGCGTGTGTTGCTCTCACTCGCACGCCAACGCTCATCCTCTCCCCTTTCTCTGGTTGTTTGTGGTGGTCGTGCCGTTGCGCTGCTGCCTCCTCTCCTCTTGCTCTTCTCCTTTTTCGTTCTCGTCCACCACACGCGGACACACACGACACGCATTCACGCGTTGATTGCCGATCTCTCGGCCTCTCTGCGCGCGTGTGTATGCTCTGGTTTAACTGCACTGTGAAATAACAATAATAATAATATATGACAACTCCTGTTCTCTCAATACAGGTCGTACGGGACGTGCTGGCAAGTCCGGCGACTCCTACTCATTCGTCTCCTCCGCGGACAACGCGAAGACACTGCGCGATCTCATTGACCTGCTCCTCCGCGCTGGTCAGGTGGTGCCACCCGAGCTGTACGCCGTCAGCCAGTACGCCCGCAACGACAACTTCCGCGGCGGTCGCGGTGGTGGTGGTCGCGGCTTTCGTGGCGGGCGTGGCTACGGTGGACGTGGCGGTCGTGGTTATGGTGGCCGTGGTGGCAGCCCGTACTTCAGCCGCGGCGGGGGTTATGCAGGTGCCGATGCTGGTGCGCCGCCGGGTCCTCCTCACGAGGGCTTCAACCCCTACTAAAGCAGCAAGCATCGAACCAAGTTTGATTAATTAACATAATACATGCGTGGATGCTTCCGTTTATTTCCTTTCGCATTTTTCTGAAAGATTCTCTTTTCTTTCTCGTTGCCCCGTTAGTGTGGAACGACTGCCTTCATTCTCGGACTGCGCTTCATGAGGACGAGCGCACAGCGAAGCACACGAAGAAGGTGACGGAAAGGTGTGGAGGTCACGGCAACGTCTGGCCAGTGTCTGTGAGCATCGTTCTTCTGCTGTTCGTCTGCACTCCCCCTTTGAGCCTGTGTGTGTGTGTGTGTGTGTCGCTTTTGTTGGTTGCGGATAGCTTGAAAAGAGAAGAAAGCCGAAGAACGCATTCTCTTCTCCTTGTCTTCTTCCGGACGAATGTGTGTTTTGAAGTTCAACTCGCCGCATCGGCGGACGAGGTGTAAAGGATGGAATAATATGTCTCGGTAATAAGCAGTCGATGCACGGCCTGCAAAGGCCCTCCTTCTACTCCTTCGCGGCCCTCTATTGGTTATTAAAAGAAAAGAACAGAGACGCTTCTCGTCGTTGTGATGAGGTGCATGATGAAGCGAGAATATATTGGTGAGTGTGGCTCAGGCACGTGGTTCGACGCGTGTGTACCACCCATCCAGCCACGTCAGGGAAGGCGAGCACGGCCTGGTATCACGGGAGAGGACTTGGGAAGACGGGGTAGTCGGATGAACGCGTTGAACTCTCTCTCTCTCTGTAAGGAATGAGGAAAGAAAAACCCTCTTAAAACCTGTCGCGGGTAAGCGCTATACACGCGTATAACATTGTGTTTCGATCTTTCTTCTTTAAAGGTTAGACTGTCTTCTTGTAGTTTGCTACTGTTTCTTTTTTTTTCTAAAGTATTATCTTTGCGTACTCCGTATGTTTGCTCCACAGACGCCCCTCTTTCTTGTTTCGAAGCCGCCGAGGCGATGTACCCTCTCCCTCCTTGAAGGAAGACAGAACTGCAGCGTGCTTGTTGAATGCAAGAAAGGGAGGGAGCGTCTCTCGTCGTCGATCTGCGCGCGGCACAACGGACAATAAAAAGGGACAAAAGGAAAAGGCCCGACTTCACGCGGGAGCATCTATATCTATATATCTATCTATCTATCTATCTATCTATCTATCTATCTATATATATATATATAATACTTCAAAGAAAAGTGACAGAGAAAGAAGGTATGTATTGTACGCGTGATCTGAACTGCAGAGTGGACGGTGCGTGTTTGTAATAGTGGCTGTGCTAATGGACGAAACCGGCAAACATGAAGAATAAAAGGACGATACTGTGACTCAGGGGAAAACGAAAACTGAAAGAACCGAGGGAAAGAATGAAAGAAAAAACCTCAGCGGCGTGTGAAGGAGCGCACGGGTGATGTGTGGTCCGTGTAGGCTCCCCTTCGCCCAGCGCCTTCTCTCTCCGCCCCGATCTTCTTCTTTTCTTCCATTCACCCATGCGTACACCGCACCCCCCCCCTCCCTCCCACCACCAGACCGCGATGGTTTATACGTGTGCTGCACACGCGTGGTAGGAGTCGCTTTCATTGCTTTTCATTCAGCAGCTGAGTATCGTCTGCTGGGGGATGCACGCGCTGTCGTCGTGACACCTGCGGCAACGCGACATCGACTGTGAGTGATCAACGGAGTAGAGACGCGTGAAGAGTTGCTGGTGTACGACTGAAAAGTTGGATTTCAGACGTTAGCAGCCGCAGGCAACTCCTTTTTCTTTGAGCTGAACTCACGCCTTTCATTCCGAGATGCTGCTGTGTGAAGGACCCCTTTTTAAGAAGCCCCTCCTTCTAACCCCCCTCTGTCTTCTATGTACTCCATGCCTTTATCACGACAGTACATTTAACGTCCACGTGTGTGTTGTTGCGTACCCCGACACGACGGAGCGGCATTAAAGCCATCACACCTCACCAAGTCAGCGGCGACGCGCACACAGCGGTTGATTATTATTATTATTGGTGCTGCCCCACCGGACGCAACATGCCCGTTCGAAGGCCTTTTTTCCCTCTTGTATTCTTTGTGCATACGCGCGCCTAACGGAGACGTGACAGGTAAGCATATTTATCTATGTCGCCAGAGAGCAGAACTGTGAAGAAGAGCAACAGCAGCACACGGAGAACATCCTTCTCCTGACACACATGCCGCCCGGGCTTCCAGGCGTTGACGTGAAGTTCCTCGCCAACGTGGTGGGTTGCCTCAGCGAGCGGCGTCTACATGCGTACTGCCCGGGAACCCGTCGCTCTGCCGCCGCACTCGTCCTGCGCTTCGACGAGGCGACGCAGCACACTTTGCGCGCGGCGGTTTCTTCCTTCCGCGCCGCGTCGCGACGGCAGACCCGCAAGGAGGGCTCGCATGGGGACTGGTCCGCATCGTCCTTGGCATCCACGACAGCTACAAATAGCGGAGGAAACGCACGTCTTGACCCGGTGGAGTTCCTTCGGTACCTGCAAGACCACCACCGCTACGTCGACCCCGACGCGCCCTCCACCCTGCAACTCCTCTTCCTGAAGCGGGCGGACGTGGAGGCGAGTCGGTGGAGTGGGCGGGTGGCCTTCCCGGGCGGCCGCCGCGACCCCGACGATGCCGACGACTTCCAGACGGTCTGCCGCGCGACCCACGACGAACTCGGGCTGCCGCTGCAGTACACGGAAGAGTTTCTGTGCCTTGGCCGACTGCCCGACTACGCCCTGTACAGCCGTGTGGTGCGTAGCGCCGGTGTGGTGCAGGCACGCTTTGTGTTCCTCCATGTAGGGGCGATGACCCCGACGGTGCACATCGCCACGCACGAGGTGGCGAGTGTGCGGTGGATGCCGCTGCATCGCCTGACAGCAGCTCACATGGAGCACGGCTGCGTGGTGCACCCGCTCCAGAGTTTTTTGCGCCCACAAGACGCGGATTATCGGCTGCTGCTGACGGAGGTGTTTCCGAACACGTATCTTACCTTCCCGAGTGTCTCGCTGCCTCGCGTGGAGGGGGAAGAGTGCGGCGACGTGCACGCAGAAGACGGCCGCGATGATGGTGCGTCGTGGTCTTCGCGGACGTGGCGTGTGTGGGGGCTGACGCTGCGCTCCGCGAATGAGCTGCTTGCCCTGGACAAGCGGCAGCCCTTCGACTGGCCGCTGGTGGAGTCGAACAGTCGCGTGCTACGGTACTGCGTTTTGCATCCTTTCCACGGGTACTACGAGCTGCTGTATCAGCTGTACTACGGCCGAGCGTGGCTGCGCGCTCGGGTCCGACAGTGTCTTCCTCGGAGCTCCGTTCCTGCAACGATCAACGGCCGCGACGTCATGGAGAGCGACCGACGTGTGCTGCACGGCGCTGCGATGGAGCTTCGCTACGCCGTCTTGCCCGTCGCGGCGGATGCGCTGCTGTTTGCCGCGCCAGACCCGCCGGTGCTCTCGCACGTGCTGTGCGTTTTGGTGGTGGCGGCGGCGGTGACGTTCGCTTTTTACTTGGTGGCGAGTGCCTTGGCCTGCCTCTTCGCCACTGTCGGTCTGGCGTTCGGTGTGGAGGCGGCCCTCGCGCGCGAGGAGCGTAGCCGTGCGTATTACACCGTGAACGTACCCGGGCATCGCTCAACGACCGTGGCAGGGAGGTCGGAGTCCGTCAACAACGAAGGTGACGCAACGGGACTAGCGGAGGAAGACGGCAGAGAGGAAGGCGGGATGGGTGGTGGTACTGATGCGAAGATTTGTAAAACAGAGACGCAGCATGGATCCATCCAGAGGAACCTTAGCGCTGAGGACACCGCCTCTCCGTTTTTCATGCCGTTGTGGCAGCGAGAGAGTGCCTGCCCAGCACAAACGAACGGTAGGACCCCCGATGAAGTCGCCCTCGCTACCGAGCTTGGCGAAGACGAAGTCCCGCCAAGGACGCCATGCGATGCAGCAGCATCGCCAACGTCAGCCACAACGGCATCAGCAGTGGACAGCCATGCGACGAGCTCAGATGCCGACGGCGGAACAGCGCGGCAGGCATCCGGAGCAGATCGCCAGGGTCTTCATCGTGATGCAGCGTCAGCAAGTGAAGGTGGCGTCGAGGTGTGAAAGGCAGCAGCGGCGGGCTCTGTTCTTTCCCTGAAAGATACATTTGGCGCTCGTGCGGCGCGAGGAAGCGAACCTGCGGCGCAGCGTCCCGCACAGGCTGTCCCTCCATCCGCCGCGGCAGATGTGCTAGAGCCAAACGATGAAGGGGAGCTAGAGGCCGTGATGGCCCGCTATCGAAATTGTTGACGACGTGGCGAGGGACCATTCACGCCGCGCCTGCCGCGTCGTGCGCTCGCTTTGCCCTCTCCTCTTTTTCCTTTCCTTGTATCAAGCTGAGAGAGCTCTGTTTATTTTTTTCTCTTGTTGTCACAGAGGAGAAGCTGAAAGGAGCTTACAGAAGATAAGGAGAAGTTAGAAGTCGCACGTACATGAAGAAGCGTGATGTCGTGTGATCATGCCAGACACGCATGAGAAACGACGGAGGCGAGGAAGAGACGGCGTTTCCTCTGTTCCCTTCCGTGGCGCAGATGTGTCCGCCGAGACCCGATCCATGCTCGAAGATGCATTGGGATCGATTTATATAGTAAGCAAGGAAAACACACTATACAATTATTACGCTTTCGATAGTCATCGACGCTATGCAGCGTCTGCGTGCCGCGTGTAAGCTGCCCGACAGCGTTAACCCGCTGCCTTCTCTTTTCCGTGCCGCCCCTCTTCGTCAAGCACAAACGTCTCCCCCTCTCATTCGTTCCTTTATCTTTTTCCTTTTCTTCATTGTGGATGCCATTCCCCAACACGCACGGCGGCTGGGAAAGGAAAGAAAGAGAAAAGCCGCGAATTGAGGTCCTCCTAGTTGAAATAACGCTCGACGTTTAAAGGGAAGGGCAGAGGGCAAAGACCTCTCCCTATTTCTCCGCCTAACGGCAGCACCTTTTGGTGACTTCACGCATCACTCTCACCGACCTCCTCTATCTTACCGTTTTATTATTATTATTATCTTTTCCTTTCCCCTTTAAAGGCGGTGAATGAGCTGGTGGTGGCTCCGTGCCGCGTGGGGTTTTTCTTTTTTCCGTAGGCTTATTCATTGGAACGCGCTCTCTCTCTCTTTTAGTTGGTGCGTGTGTTTCCTCGCTCTCGTGTCGTGAGCACGGGACTCATTCGTTTCACTTCGTCACCTCCCCCGAGATTATATAGTTAACTACGCCTCTATTGTATGGTGTGCATGATAGCGCCATGGGTCTCTTGTTTCTCTTAGCGAACTACGCCGTGTTCTACCACGTCGGCCAGCTGCTCATGCGCCTGGTGGTGGTGCAGCCGGTAGGGGACGGCAGCGTCGTGCGTTGGTGCTTCGCGAGCACCTTCGCCCTCTCTCTTTCGCTCTTCGGTGCGGTCTTGGCGGACATGGCGCACGCCTCCTTCTTTGCCGCCTCTTCCGCCGCCGTTATGCCGCTGGGTAGCGTGCCGCCACTCCTGCAGCGCCTCCGCGGCGTCGTCGAGGTCGAGGCGGGAGAGTTCACCTTCGTGCTTCTCTGCCTCCTCGCCACGGTTCTGCTTGTCTGCCCCGGCGTGGTAGCGCTCTCCTTCGTGCGCGGTGTGTTCCGCCGCGGTGGCGGCGGCGGTGCGGGGGCACCCGCGGGGCGCTCGCGGCAGCGACGACCGACACGGCGCTCGTCGTCCATGGCAAGTGAAAAAGAACGTGGCAGCAGCGGCTTTTCGTCCGATGCGGGCCGGACGAGTCGGCTCCGCGGCTGGCGGTGCGGGTGCGGCGTACGCACTGCGCTCCTCTTCGTCGTGGTTCTTCTCCTGCTATGGGGCGGCTACCGGGCGTCGCGTACCGGGCAGCTGGGGATCCAACACGCAGGTCAGCGCGTGGTGGATGTGGGGAGGGCGGTGTACCGGCAGCTACAGACCCGCACCGCGCTGATACGGGTACCTCACGAAATCGAACGCAGCAAACCTGCGGAGAGCGACGGAGCCGCAGCGGACGGCACCGCTGGGCACTTCATTGAACCACCCAACCCACGCGAGGCCGCAGCAACGGCGGCAGCAGAGGAGGACTGGCTGTTTGGCTTTGCGACCCCCCAAGCTGCCGCGACGCCGCTGGACTTGTCAGGTGTGGTGTGCGTCGTCACGTCGCGGGTGGCGGTGGTCGGCGTGGCCTTGATCGGCCTCCTGGCGGGTTACGCCGCCATCACCTCTCCGTGCCTCTTCCTCGCCCCTTACACCAGCTATCGCGGTCGCGAGGAGGAGCTGCGGAAGGCGCAGCGCAGCTTCACGAAGAAGCTGTGCTACGTTCTGAGCAGCTGCGGCAACGCGCAGCGGCAAATCGCCGCCTTGCAGTACGGCGTGCTGCATGAGGAGTGGGTCTCGCCAGCATTTATCGGCGCAGCGTCCGCGTCCTTGGACGTGCCGCCAGCAACGTCCATTGCAGGGACACACCCGTACAACACCTATGGCGCATCCGACTCTTCGTTGGCGCTTCCTTCGCCGCCGACTCCGCAACATCATCATCAGCAGGAGCAGCATCAATTTGTCGGTGCCCCTTCTTCGGCGGCACGGTACCCCCCTCCCCCAACACAACACAGGCCCAACCCCGGCAAACTTCTCGACGCTACTCCAACCGCCGCCGCTGCTGCTGCTGCCGCCACGACCTCTTCGACGGGCGCCGTGGGTTGGCTGCAACGTACGCTGACGAGCGCCGCCACTGCCGTCACGACCGGCATCGCAGGACGTGCTCTGGACTCTCCCGCAGCTGGCGGCAGCTCGACCATGTCGCCGGCCATGTCTCGCCAACGCGCTGTCACACGAATCAAGAAGCTACGCGAGGAGGCGAAGGGTGCGCGCTTTCTCGGTCTTGCGCTCTACCTGCAGCTGAATGAGGTCGATGCGATGCTGCGGGATGCCCAGCGCGGCGGGACGTGGGTGGGCCGGTGGTACGCGGGTCTCGGCGTCGCGATGGCCTGCTACTCCGCCGTAAAGATCGCCCTCACCGGGGCGAGTCTGTGGTGGTTCAAGGCGTCAACGCAGGACCCCGTCACGCGTGCCGTGACTCTGCTCGAGGACGCGTTCATCCTGCGCCGCCGCGATCATCTGTCGAGCCCGTCGTTCTCCGTCACGGCGGTGGAGGTCAGCACACACGTCATCTTAGCCCTCGCGCTGCTCGTCAATGCGTGGATGGTGATCAGCTCCATTCGCGGCGCGCTGCTCGCGCTGTTCCACGTGACGATGTCCTTCAGCGGCTCCGCAATCAGTCGGCCGGAGACGGTCGCGGTGGGGCTGTCGATGTTGATCGGAGTGTACTTTGTGGGACAGCTGGTGCTGCTGCGCTCCTCCCTCCCTGGCTCGAGCCCGTGGCAGACAAAGGAGATAGGTGGGCCGACGGAGAGCACACGCGGAGGCGCGAACGTGCTGCTGCAGGTGCTGGGGACGTTGCCGTACTATTATTATCAGCGCCTCAATGATTGGTGCTTCCTGGTGGGGTGCCTCGGCGCCGTGATCGTGCGCCGCTTTGTGCTGCGTAACGCACTGTCACTGGTGGTGTACGCGGCAAGCGGAGGCGAGGAGCGATAGAGCGGTGGTGGGGACGCAGGTACGAAGATGCGTAAGTAATATCATTGACGCCCTCCCTTTTTTCATGTTTTACGAGCTGCCTCTTCACTCTTGTGTTGTTTTTCCTTGTCAACGGCGGTGCTTTTATGATAATTTGTTTTTATTCATCTGTCGGTGCTGTTGCTGCGGTTGGCCGCTACTTATCCGAAGCTTTCGCGGGCTCGTACGTTGTAATGGCGGACGGGAGGACGAGGGGGAGGGGCCAAAAAGCGCGTTGTCCGTTCCTCGGCGCGTTCTTCCTTGTTGATTCCCCGCTCTATCATTTCTCCCTTCCACCTCAATTTGGACTCCACTGCGATTTATTTTCGCTCGCTTCACGTCTTCTCTTATTCTTTTTTGTGCTTACGCATGTGACGCTTGGCTGTGGTCGAGAGTGGAGAGTTTGGCTTCTTTGCCACATGCATTTTTTTTTGTGTTGTTTTAATCCTCACTCGTGTGACAATGACGGACAAAGTACAAGGTAGAAAGAGAGAAGAAGGCCCGCGCATTCACGCAAGTACAAGTTGTGTGTGTGTGTGTGTGTGTGTATGTGCGTATTCTCTCTCTTACGTTCTTCTGAGGGGTGACTTCTGTGGTGCAGATTTGCGGTGCGAAACTCTTCGTCGCGCTTTTGGCTGCTTTTGCTTATTTCTCTGTTTGCGTGATTTTCCTTTTCTTAAGCATCTGGCCCTTTATGTGGATCCGTGTCACTCCTCTGCTGATCGACGCGTGGGATGAAGAAAGCAAACTGACGAACATCGCATGCGAGGCGCGCAGTGAATTGCGCATCAGCAGAGTGGTAACGAAAGAAAGTGCGAAGCGTGGCGCTCATCCATTTGCTCGCGTGCGTTGCGGCCAGCTCTTTTTGTTTGTTAAGTATGTTTTGTTTTCTGGCCGAGCTCTTCGCGCGTTTGCGATTTTTTCCCTCTTCGGAGTTTTCATTGACTTATTTATTATGTTTCTTTATCAGCCGTGATTTCATTTAGGTGCTGAGCTCGCGCGCGCGTGAGAGATTGTAGATTTCCTTCATCCTTCTTCTTTTCTTTTCTCTGAGGATCGCTGACCTTTTCGCTTCCTCACACGCTCTTCTTCGACTCCATCGTGGCCGCGTGCCTTTTCCTCGACGAGTGTACCGTCTGCGAAAGCAACGACCGAAGCAGCAGCACGACAGACGACGTAAAGGCGATGACGGCGCTACGCCTTTTTTTTTTACTCTCTGCATAAAGCTTTGAAAACAAAAGAACGTGCTCTGCTTCATTTACGCGTGCTGTGCGCATCCGGTGCTGCTGACTGAGTTTTCCCCAGAGAAAAAAGGGAAAAGGATACTTTAGGCTTCCTCAAAAATCCACACGAACAGCCGTAACTCACGCATCTTCATCGCCTTTCCTTTTTTCGTCTCTCCACCTCCTCTTGTCCATCTCTTTTCTTTTCTCTTTCTACTTTGACCGCCGCTTTCTCCCGCAGAACCGCGTCTGGTCCTCGTACCGGCTACTACCATGACAACGGTGCAACGTGCCACGCACGCTGGCCATCCTGCACCGGGCGCCACGCTCACCGCTGCACAGCGAGCCCTGCAGCAGGATCGCAACTCACTGCCGTCCGACAACGTAGGCGGCATGCCCGCAGGTATTGCCGCTGCTGCCGGTATGACGACGGGCGAAGACGACGAGGGCGGCAAGGAGCTACTCGCCGTCTCCCTCTCTCAGCTTCAGACCCCGCCGGCCATCGGCTTAGCAGCCTCGCAGCAGACTTCCCAGCCGCCGCAGCAGCAGCAGTTGACGCCGAAGGTGCCGTCGTCGCGGAACAGCGCCGCGGGTGGCATGCGAAGGGAGTGGAAGTTCGCCCTGCAGTTCGTGCACGTCGCCGGCCAGCTGCTCGTCTCCTGCTCGCCGCAGTGGGAGTACGACTTCATCGACATCGACCGCACCGCGTACGGGCTGGCGCAGCGCACCGTGGTGCCGTCCTCGACGGATGCCACGCCGATGCTGGCCGTGTTGGCGTACACGGACTACACCGCCGTCGTGCAGCCGGCCCCACCGACCAGCGCGATCAACTCGCCCGGTGCAGTGGCCTTGCATCAACACAGCGGCAACGGCAGCGGAGGAGTGGGTGCTGCCGCTGCTGCTGCCGCGGCGGCGGCGTACGAGGAACTCCTGTCGACTGCGAGTGCGGTCGGCGGCTCTGGCGACGCTGCCGCCGCTGCCGGCGGTGGTGGTGGGGACTGGTGGGTGGAGAAGTCAAAGCAGGTGCAGCTCTTCTACTGCCACCCCGCACCGGCGATGACCCTGGAGCAGTTCTGCAAGCTCTGCGTGAAATTTGTTCTCCGTGACCCGCACGTGGTGAGCGTGGATGGGGATACCCGGCTGGCGCACCTGCACGTTGGGGACAAGCTGCGGTGCCCGCACATGCTCGGCGGGACGCACCGATCCTTTCACATGCGCTACACCCTGCACGACCGCTCCGAGCTGCAAGAGAGCTACGTCTACGCGATCGGGGCGTTGGTCGGGCAGCGGGGCTACCTCCTCCGTGCCCAGTGCACCAGCGCTGACGAGCTGGAAGGCTACGTGCACTCCGTGCTGCTGCCGACCTACACCACGGCCGGCCGCTCCCACTTCGGGGTGGACGTGACGTACCACAACACCTCCCCGACCACCCTCCTCACCGATCAGCAAGAGGCCTTCGGAGAGCTGCAGTACGTCGATCACAAGGCGGCGGTGGTCTTTGTGACGCCCGTGTACCCGATGAAGATCCTGCCGGACTACTCCCCCGCAAAGACGGTCGGGGTTGGGTCGATTACCTGCATGACGCTGCAACTCAGTGTGCACGAGCGGCTGCTCGACGACGCCGTCGCGGCGGAGATCATCGGCGTCGCCAAGTACAAGGTGAACCCGGTTGTGTTGTGTGTAGAGGTGGAGGAAGTGTCTCGCATGGGCTACCCGAAGGTGATGTCGACAGAGCAGTACAGCGAGCTGAAGGCGAAGCGGGTGGCGGATGTGTTCCCCGATGCGAAGATGGTGGGGCTCCCAACGAGCCTGTACATGGGAAACCGCACCGGCCGGTCCCGCACCATGACCTTCACCTACGAGCCGCTGCGGTGTGCGGTGAAGGCGCTCGTGACCTCGACCCTTGTCGGCAACTTCGGGGTCACGGCCTTCTACCTGACAAAGCTGAGCGGCGGCCTCTTCGACTCGCACCTCTACGTCTTTCAGCAGCTCCTTAGTGGGATGGAGTTCCTGCCGCAGAACAGCTTTGCCAAAAACACACGGGTGAGCCGGTATCAGGCGCAGAACATCCGACTGGGTGAAGAGGACCTCCTCCGGGCCTACCGGTGCGCGAACAGCAACTTCTACTACAACGCCACGCAGGTGCACCGCAGCAGCAACGGCGGCGCCGCGGCGAAGAGGGACGGCGGAGGCCACGGCTCGAGCCCCATCGCCACGGCCGAGGTGAGCGGCGGCGGTGGCGGCATCGGTGGCAGCCTCGACTTCTTTCCTCCGCTGCCGCCGCACCCCGCGTCCTTCACGGTGAGCGACCCGGCGGCGGTGCACGCGGCACGAGAGCGACACCAGCACATGCTGGCGCTTGGCAACGACGGACGAGTGGAGGACGGCGTCGAGGCCGTCGTGCCGGCCGACGAGGGCGGTGTGCCGACGCCGCATGCACTCCAGGGTGCCGCCAGCGGACAGGCGAAGAGGCGCCGTGCCGATCGCCGGACGACAGCGCCGGTGGATGCGGCGGGTGCGACTCGGCCATCGAGTGCCTCGCTGTTCTCCAGCTCCCCCTCAATGCTGACGGCGGCGTCGATGACCAGCGGAGACGTCTCAGCAGCGGCGGCGGCCGACCACCGACGCAGCACGCGTCCCCGTAACGGCGGTCTGGGCGAAGGAGATGGGAACAACCTCTACTACCCTGCGACGGCGACGACGACGATGCTGATGAGCGTGGAGGCTGGCTCGATGCACAGCGGCTCGCGCATCAGCGTTGAGGACCTCTCCCATTTAATCGGCAGCCTGTCCGACAGCCGCGATGAGACGACCAGCAACGACGAGGAAGATGAGGAGGACGAGGAGGGCGGCATCGGGTACATGGAGAACGAGCGAGCGCCCTCCATCACCAGTCAGGACGACGCCGCTGGACGGGAGGCGGCGGCGATTGCACGGGCTCCCTCGTCGTCCTCCCTACACCGCCACGGCTCGCAGCGCTCACCGACCGGCAGTCGCCCGACGAGTTCGAAGCGACGCAAGCACGGCGGGCAGCACTGCTCCCTCGACGCAGCACCCTTCTCGCCATCGTCATCCTCCTCCGCGGCGGCCGAGGCTGGGGAGAAGGCCGCGACGGAGTTGGACACCGCTGCTGCGGCGAAGCCCCCCGACACGACGACGTCTGCCGGTGCTGTTGCTGATACCGCTCTTGCTGATACGGCGGCGACCGGTGCTGATGCGGTGGCTCTCTCGAATGCAAATGAGGAAGCTCTCCAGCAGCAAGCACTGTACGAGCAGCTTATCGGCAAAGGCGACCCGCTCGTGCTGCAGACGCTGCGTGAGGGGGAGGGCTGCACGCCGTACGGGCCGTCTCTGCGCGACGTCTACGCCCGCTGCTGCGAGGCCCAGCAGTGCCGTCCCAACAGCTACCTCATGCAGAAGCTGCCCGCGCAGCCGACGCTGACCTACTCGGTGGAGGAGCTCGACCTTAGCTCGAACTACGTGGGCCACAACGGGTTTGTGGCCGTCCTGCACCTCCTCGAGCACCTGCCACGGCTGCGTGCTGTCTACTTCAACAACATGACCCTCGACAACGTCGACGTGGAGAGTCTGTGCTACGTCCTGGCGACTAACGCGACGGTGCGGGCGGTGCACCTGGAGAACAACACCGGCATCTCGCTGCCCGCCATGCGGCACTTTACGGCGCTGCTACGGGTGAACCGACACATTGAGGTGCTGTCGCTGGACGGAACGCGGCTGAGCCCCACGTTGGTGGCATCGCTGAAGGCGGAGGCGAGTCGTGCGCGCGACTAACACACGGCGAGTGCGGTGGGGACGGGCGGATCGCTTTCGCTGCCGTGCTCCGTTGCTCTCCTCTCCCGCTTTATTGTGGTTGTAAGTCGTCTTCTTCTTTGCTGTTGTACGAAGTCGCTCTCGCCCTCTCGCTCCGTCTTTCATGGGTCGTGTTCTTCTCGGGTGTGCTTTTGCGGACGCTTTTGCACGACAATTCTGCGCGCTGCGGTACAACTGTTTGGAGCACGAGCTCTTCTTCTTCTTATTACTATTGTTAGTATTATAGTCGTTTTCAGGCCTTGACGGGCAGCGTTCCTCCGTCTGCCGTGTGTACATAGTCGTATTTCATGCGTATTTGGTTTCCATGTAGAGCTAACTTGTTCTTGTCCTTTTTTCTCTTTCTCCCTGTCCGTTGTTGATGGTGGATGTAGTGGATGTAATGGTTGTTGTCCTACCGGTCGCAGGGCCTACCCACGCAGACTCACGTGGCTGAAAAGGAAAGGAAAAGAACAACGGAAGCACACACCCGATGCGGCGCCCCACTCTTGTCTTCCTTCGGACCGCTTGGCTCATGGATGCGATGAGGGCGGAGGGGGGAGGAGGGGGCGAATGAAAGAGAGATGCCGAAGACGACGAGAAGCTCTCCAGTGCCACTCTGCAACATGAGGATTTCCGCTTTGCTCCTTGTCGGCAGCCTCTATGTTTCGCCACTGTGACACACACGCACACCAATGTACGCAGGTGAACCCGGGCGTCTCGAGCAGCGCACCCACGCGCTTCCAAATGTGCCCCTTTTTCTGCTGCACACATCTCTTCTTCTTTTTCCTCCCTTCACCACAACTCCATCGGAGACAGGAGTTATTCTTCTCTTCGATACGTCTGTGCCAACGTGCAGCGCGGTGCGAACTCTCCAAAACAACCAAAACAAAGCAGAGCGAGTCCATCCCTGTACGGAGGAAGGAAAGGAAATCATCCAAACCGGCAGCAGCACCGCGCTCAATACATTCGCCGTTGTGTTTCCCTCCTGTACGCGACCTCGTCTTTTCTTCCTTGCTTTGTTCCAGCGGCACGGAAGGATGTATCCAGACCGGCGTCCATACGCAACGGCGGTGCCGCACCGCGGCTACTGCGCCAAGCCGATCGCCCCCCGGCCGCCGGCCGATGCCCTCGCGATGCTGCGCTCGCACGTCGGCTACGACGATCTGCGCCGCAACGGCCGCGAAGACGACGACGCGAAGTTCACGGCGTCCTCGATGCGGACACTGGCCGGGCGTACCTATCCCCCTCCGACCGCCACCTCGGCCACAGTCCACACCGTTGATACGCAGCGTCTGCTGCCATCCACCGATCGCTCCGTAGAGGAGGCGCTGGCCGCGGCGGAGCTGCAGCCGCCGATTGAGCACGATGCTCTTACCTACCACGGCTGCCAACAGGCCGCTCTGAATGCGGAGCTGCGTGACAAGACGGAAGCTCACGGCGCGGCCAGGTCCGCCCGCATCGCGGCCGTGCGAGAGCTGCTGGCGAGCCTGCCCGCAGAGAGTGCGGTGCTTGGCAACAACGAAGTTGAGAGCCTGCAGAAGTACCTCACTGCGTACCGCTGCACGGAGGAAATGACGGTGCCGGAGACGGAGCTGCTCCCGCCTGAGGAGGCCCCGCTGTGTACGCCGATGGCGGAGGTCGACAGCATGACGCAGCTGCCGCCGGTGCCGTCGGATGCGATGCGGCGGGCGCTGGACGACATGCTGAGCTCCCAGTACTTGTTGGCCCCGCTGGAGAACTACTTGGCTCGGCTGAGCCTTTTGGATAAGCTAAGTGCAATGAAATGGCGTGGAGAGGAAGGTGCTGTGGGGGGCGCCGTTGTCACCACCACGCCTGCCTCGGTGGAATCGACGTCGAAGGGGGCGACGCAAACGGAGGAGACGGTGTTGTGCCCCAGCCGTGCGGCGGTGGCCCTGCACGAGCGTCTGCACTTCAACCCCGGCGACTACTCCGAGCGGGAGCTCAAGAAGTCGGAAGAGGCGCTGCTGGAGCTGCAGCAGCGGGTGCAGGCCGCGAAGCAGCAGAAGGAGGACGCGATTGACGCCAACGACCCGGTCACCGCCCTGCGCAACCTGCACGCCCAGGTGGACTTCTCGAACGACCTGCTGTTACTCTACAAGGCTCGCATGGCACAGGTCGAGATGCACACCGACGACGTGCAGGACTTCCGCTGCGATGTCGTCGCTCTCATCGACGATGCCCGCCGCGCCGCGGAAGCCGTGCTGGTGTACGCGCAGAGGGCACTGCCCACCATCCAGCATGACGTCAGCGCCACCGCGCGTGCGATCAGCGCGAGCGACAAGGCGCTGGATGAGGCGCAGGCTACCGAGAAGGCGGCGGAGGTGCAGATGCGGGAGCAGCTCACCACGATGGATGGCGAATCGCGCGCTCTCTGGAAGGAGGTCCTGGCGCTGATGGAGAAGATATCTGAGAAGGCGCAGGAGCGAGGCCACTACGTCCAGCAGTGCATGTCACGGCGGGAGCAGCGGGCGAAGGTCGTGGCAAAGGTGGAGGCCACGCGGAAGGCGCAGGAAGCACACGCTGAGCGGCTGCGCCAGTGCGAGGAGGTGCTGACGCGGTGGGAGGGCATCGGCAGCGTGTACACCAAGTACGTGGAGGCCTGCGCACCGAAGCTGCTGCAGCACCTCGCGGCTGTCGAGGACGCCCACGACGATCTCACCCAGCGCGAGGCGGAAGGCTACGTCTCCGTCTTTGAGCAGTTCGTCTACGCCGCCGAGGAGGCGCGTGCGAAGCGGCGGACACAGGCGGAACGCATGCGACTGCTGCAGCGCAGCACGCAGCTCAACCAGGCCCGCGCCGATGAGACGCTGGACCCCGACGCGGCCTCGCACGCGCAGCGCCTGGCGGACGCCACTCAGGAACTGGAGGAGGTGCAGCTCTACCTGAAGTACGTGAACGACATGGAGGCAGATCGCCGTGCGGAGGTGGACCCGGTGCTGATGCGTGTACTTGTCCGCCACGCGCAGTCGCACGTGGAGGACGACAACACGGCGGAGTCGCCACCAGCACAGGAACTGCTGGAGAATGGAGGAAGCGCTCCTTCTACCGCTGCTGCTGTTGCAGCGAAGGAGGCAGGCGCTGCGCTCGACACTGAGCCGACGAGGAACAGTCCAGCGAAAGAGCGTGAGACACCTTCTTCTGCCGTCGTGGCAGCCGCAGCGACCTCCACGTCCGACAGAAGCGATGCGCCAGTATCGAACAACGGTGGTGTGATGGTGGCGACGGAACCTGCCGATGCCGCAGCCCCTGCCAACATGACCCATCCGTTTGTCGCGGCTCGCCAGATTGGATTCGCGCATGAGGAAAAGTATCTGCGTAAGCATGAGCAACTGACGGAGCGTGAGCTGCTGGAGCTGGAAGGGAAGCAGACGGGGCTGCGCCACAGCCGCGAGGAGCTGCGGGCCATGGAGGCCAAGTACCGGAATGCAGATGCCATTCGCGCTCTTCTCGGCCTGAGCTAGGTGCGCGCATGTGTCTCCACCTCTCGTTAGCTGTGGATGTACTTTACCAACGAGAGAAAAAAAGAGATAAAGGAGGCACTGCGCGTGACTTCACCGCCCCTGCAATTGCTGCCGTGAGGCGACACCGTCATGTATGAGAACACACTCACACACACACACGCACACCCGGGCATACGGAATAAACAGGCAGACAAAAAAAAAGTGCGGCATGCATTGCGTGTGTGCCAAAAGCGTGCATCCAGCCGCAAATGTATATACATATTTATATATAGTTTTCAGCTTTTCTTTTTGGAATCCTTTTCCTTACGATATATATACATCTATATACATCGATATATATGCATCTATATCTGTATTAACATATAACTATATATAACTATATATATATATATATATATATCTATTAGTATCTATATATGTGTATATGTATATGTAGGCCTCTTTTTTGCTGTTTTTCTCCACATCCTATTGGAAAAGTTTTCACCTTAACGGGCCACGAAACTCCTTAATTGTGTTCTTCGTAATGTTTCTCTCGTATCTATTTATTGTTGATTTTCTTTTTGTCAGCGGTGGAATCGATGAGTGGGGCCTCCTCCGTTGGGTGCAGCGCGTGCGCCGTTTCTGCGAGGGGACCGCCATTCAGCCCTTTTTGTTTCTTTCTTCACCATTCGTGAAGCTCTCGCTCCTCCTCCTCCTCCTCCTCCTCTGAAGAAGAAGAAAAATACTCTTCGTTTCTGCGTCTATCTATCTATCTATCTCTTTTCTTGTTTTAAATGTAGGCATCTTCCATGTAATTTACTTCATCACCAAAATAATAACAATAGAAAAAAGGAAGATGATGAGGAAGAAAAGAAGCAGAGGAGAGAAGGGCAGCGCTGCGGTGAGTCAGACCTGTCCCTTTCCGTTTGTCGTTGTTGTAGCGTCCGCGGTGGACAGATCAACGCCTCTTCAACACGCCCTGGTCTCGCGCCTTGATACGGCGGTGCACACGAATCCGAACGCATCCATTTTTTCTTCTTCTTTTCAGAGAAGCAAACGGATGCTGCGGTGCTCTCATGTTCTCATGTCTCTTTCTCTTCTGCTTCCCAGCCACGACGCCCGATGGCCTGGACGCACGCCTCCTCTCCTTCCACCGCTCTCAGACCACCTCCTTCTCTGCCTCATCTGTTTCTGTGGTGGTGCTGCGTCCAGTGAAGTCCACGCCTCGCTGTGAAGGAGGAAAAAGACGAGACAAAAAACTCGCGGAGCGCTTTTCATTTTGTGTGTTCTCTTCTGACTTTTGTCGAACGCCGGTACTTGTAACATTTCCGCCTTGACGCATCGCATCCTCGCCGGTGTCGTCGTGCTAATAAATACATATATATATATATATATATTAGATAAAACAAGTGGAGAGAGGAGGATGGAGTACGAGCAGACCGAATGCGGCCGGCGGATCGTGGTGGACGCCATCACCCGCCAAGACGTCAACGCCTACCACGATCTGCTCTCTCCCGATGTGCTCCTCGTCACGCACTTCCCCTACCCAACGAGTCTCTCGGACAGCAACATGCAGGCGGTGCAGCAGTGGGTGCAGCTCTCGCAGCAGCGACCGACGAAATCCGCTACTGCGGGAGCAGCGGCAACGGCCAGCAACAGCGGCTCAAAGCGTAGGGCAAGGGAGTTGCTGCAGCAGCAGGAGAAGTACCGCGAGCGCCGGCAGAAGCGGTACGAGGCCTTTCGCAAGCGACGGGAGGGACACCACAGCCCAAGCACGGAGGGCACAGAGGCGGAGGGAGAGGAGGCAGCTGCAGCGACAGATAATGCTACCCAGGCAGATGGTGCGCGCGGCGGTGCGGCCAAGAGCACTTCCGCGGTCGGCGCTGGGGCGGCTGCACACCAACGCGACGTGTCAGCTAAAAACAACACATCCAAGAAGTCCTCTGCAAGTGCCCACAGCGGTGGTGGTGGCAGTAACGCAGCGCGGGTGCCGCTTGGCGTTCGCTGGTTTCGGCAGCAGCAGGAGCAGCTTTCTTCGCCCGCGCAGGGAAGGACCGCAGGCTCCGCGCCTGCTCAGGCCCCCACCGCCTCGGCGACCCAAAACGTCACTTCCGAGAACCCCGCCGCTCTTTCTTATGCGGATGCGGTGGATATTGCCGAGGGGCGCCTGCTCGTGTCGTTCCGGCTCTTCGAACTGCTCCACTGGATCCGCAGCAGCAAAGACACGACGAGCATCGCCCCCATCGAGGTCGACGTGCAGCTTCGCAAAGACATTCTCCAAGAGGACGAGGTGCTACCCATGCCCCCGGCACCGACCACGGTGCAGGAGAAGTACGAGCAGCTGGGCATGCAGTACACGGAGCGCAACCAGCCGCTGAGCTGCATTACGGTGGTCTGGGGGCGCGACTACCTTCTGCTGCGCGACAAAATCTACCTCGACGACGGCCTCATTGTGACGATCCAGCGGACGATGCTGTCGGTGCCGGAGGTGATGACGCGGACGGCGCCGCTGGCTGCGTGGAACCTGCACCAGCCGCGGCAGCAACGGCTGGCAGATCGCAAGACCGCCGCGGGAGGAGGGTCCTCCGCCCCTGCCCCCGGCAAAGTGCAAAACCTGGCCGCCGCCCAAGCCGAGCAGGTGTACAAGGCGGTGGAGTCGTTTTACGGGGTGGCGGCCTCGCGGGTGAACGCCCTCAACACGTCCTGGCCGCTGCTGGACTACTCCTTTCTGGACGCCGCGGAGCCGTCGGCGCTGCTGCGGCTGGCCCCGGCATCCGGCCACGTCCACGTAGGCAAGCAGCCCCGCGCCGCTGCGGACCCACGACTTGCCCAGGGCGTCTTCCTCAACCAAAGCAACGACCCTTCGCCGACGACGGCGCAGTCCGCCAACGCCCGCACGATCATTCGCGCGAAGAACAAGCGCGGCGAGGAGGAGGCCTACGAGTTCAGCAACGAGCGGAATCACTTCGCGATGCTGCAGGAGGATGCGCGGCTCAAGGAGGAGGAGGCGGATGAGTGGGGACTGCACACCGGCACTGCAGCGGGGCCGGCCGCCGCCGCTGCGGGGGGTGGAAGGCGAAACGCCGGCGAGGGCGGCGGGGCGGTGCGCGGTCAGCGCTATGACGCCTCGTGCGTCCGCGTCTCGGGCTGCCATCTGCGGTCCAAAATGGACCAGCTCGTCCCGGTCCTGCACCGCCTCATCGCGAACAGCATCCTCACCCTTCACACCCTCGATTTAAGCCAGAACAGCATTTCCACGCTGCCCGACTTGCGTGCGCTGCCGCTGCAGAGTTTACGGCTTCACGACAACGCCATCGCGGACTGGCGGGTCGTGGAGAGCCAAATCGCACCGCTGCCGTACCTGACAATCCTCACCCTGCACGGCAACCCGATCGCGGAGGAAAAGGAGATCACGGCATCGACCGGCACGGCAGCAGGAAAGCACTCGCGGAGCCGCGCAGGCGCAAATGGGGCAGCGAACACCTCTGGTGAGTCGGCGTACTGGAAGAGGCTGCTAGCGCTGCTGCTGGGCAATCCCGCACGCGTGGCCCCGCTGCGGCAGGTTGATTTCGTGACTCTGACGGCTCAAGACTTCAACGTGGCCGGCGCGCACGCGCTGTTTACGACGGGGAAGTCAGATGTGCTGGACCAGGCCCGCACCATGAACGCGGGTACGTTACGGCAGAGTCAGGGTGCGAAGGCAGCGACGACGAAGGTGGGAGGGGGGGCTGTGTAGGTAAGGGGACAGCGCCGTAGCTCTTTGCGTTCGCCCCTTGTGTTCGCCGTCTCCCTCCCCTGCTGGCGCCCATCTACATCGATGTAATTTATGTATGACGACAGGTGCTGACAAAGCTCAGCGGTGTTGCTAAAGAAAAAGATAAGAAGTACGGCACGGGTCTCCCTTCCCGTTATTATCATTATTATTATTTGTTGTGTAGGGGCGAAGATGTTTGCGATGAGAGAGCTCGAAGAGCGATAAGCGGGCCAGGGCGTTCTCCGCTGGTTTTTCTTCTATTTATCTTTTCAAAGAGCCCAGTTATCGAGACTCTTACTATGTAAAAGAGAAAGAGAGCACACCACCAACATTGGCAGTACATGTTTCCTCGGTCACTGCACCAAAGGTGGTGTTGCGTACATACCCAAAAAATAGTCCGCACTCATCAAGAGTCCGATCTTGCTGTTTTTGGGGCTGCGATCACCTACGGACATCGCTGAAATGGAAAAGGCTGGCGACGCCTTGTCTTACGCAGGTGCAATCGTCTCTGTTCAACAGGCGTCGAATCTGTCCCTTCCCAGCAGCGTTGTGTGGGCAGCCTTAAAATGCATGAAAGACGCAACCACGAAAGTAAAGGCCGCGGTCTTCCTGCGCGTCTTTTTTTCCTGCTCCTATTCAGGAACGAATCGCGGAGAGCCAGACGAGAGGGAGGAGGAGGAAGCAAGTGAAAAGACTGCCGTTGCCACGTGCGGCGCCGCTTCCGCTACGCTGCTGTCCTCTTCTTCCGTCACCGGCCTCTTCTCCTCTTCATCTCGACGAGCTTTCCCTCTCTGTACGCGGCAACTCAATTTTTTTGAAGCTGTGCGTAAACGCAAATCCAAAAGATCCCCCCTTCTTCCTCCCCTTAGAAGTACCTGTTATCTCCCTCCGCCACACTCACTACCCCTTCATGTCGTCCTCAGCCACCGTCGTTGCCTCGCCGGAGGCGTACACCAAGGCTCTCCTGCACTGCTACAAGTACCCAACGCAGCCCGTGATGGGGATGCTGGTCGGCAAGCGGCTGAGCGAGGATGCCGGTGCGACGGGCAGTGGGGGTCAGAGCGGCACCACCGGCGGCAACAACGGGGCTGGAGGCAGCAGCGGCAGCAGCAGCAGCTTCGTCTCCGATGCCGTCCCGCTCTTCCATACGCTGCCCATGACGGCGCCGAACCCGATGCTGGAGGTGGCCTACGCCCACGTGCAGTACGCCGCCTGCACCACCGGCCAGTCCCTCATCGGCGTGTACATCGCGAACGAGCGATTGATGGACAACAAGGTGGCGCCCATCACGAAGAAGATGCTTGATGCCCTGCAGGCCCGCATGCCGTCGCAGACGAAGCTGCTGGTGTGGTTCATCAACAACGAGTGCCTCACCTCGCCACCAGTGGGTCTGGCGATCACCTCGCTCACGGCGGACCGGTGCAACCCGGAGAAGGCGATCCCCCTACCGTCGCAGGCCTCGGCCGAAGAGTCGATTACGTTTGGCCGCTGGAACTCTGACACACTGGCGCCTGGCGCGACGGTGACGGAGGAGGGCGTGATGGAGACGGTGTCGAACGCACTGGACGCGTTTGCGCACTACCGCATCGCCGACCTGGATGACCACGTCGAGGACCCGTCCATCAACTACCTGGAGCAGCCGCTCTCCGCACTGATGACGCGGAAGTGAAAGGAGGACAGAGAGACCGGGAGGGCGTGCTTCTTGCGCGTGTGTGTTCGCGACATGATCACGTGCAGGGGTGCCTTTGCTGCGTATATTCCTATTGTTTTTTTTCCCCTCTACTAAAGGCGTGCCGTTGTGTTTCATAGAGCTGCCCGGCTTCATGCGTTGGGGCAGTCACGCATTGTGTGTGTGCGCGTGTAGGTGTGTTGCGGGTGATGAATAGAAACGCTTGTTGCCGCTTCCGTTTCTTATTCCTCCGTGGGCCGCCCCTCTCCGAAGGGGTTTGCGGATCCAATTCTTGTTCCTGTTTGTTTTGGAAGCGGTTGTGTGTTTCCTCTCTTTTCTATCGAGGCGGCTGTACTTATTTACTTGGAGCTTGTTCGTGTTCTCTCTCTGTGTCTGTGTGCGTGTCTGCGTGCTTGTGTGTGTTGGCCGACAACGGTTTTTTTATGATGGCTTCACGAACTCCGTGCGAGCCGGAAAGGAACGTCGTATTTTTTAAAAGGTTTTTAACATTAAGTAACAAGCACAAGGAAGAGTTTTGTTTATGAAGGGAATCCCACCACAGTGCTGCTGCCGCTGCTGCTGCAGATGATTCGCTGGCCAGAAAACGACAGCAGCGGCGGTTTCGCGGGAGTCCTTGTATTTGGAGGTACGGTGGAGAACGCCGCCTGGGTTGGACGTGTGCCTCAGCAGGTTTATTATTATTATTAAGATTTATTTCGAGTTCTTCTTCAGGCTGCCGCTGCCTTTGATTCAGTATAAAAAGAGAAGATTGTAGTAATAATAATAGACAAAACACACGCTAGCAGAGTCTTGCTGGGTGTTCCTCTTTCGTTCGGCTCTTTCGTTCTCCTTCGGCTCTTTTTCTTTTGGTGGTGGTGGAGCACTCCATCTGCACTTCGAATAGCCTCTTCTGTTGAGCACGAGGAGAGAGCGAGAGAGAAGCAACCAACCAGTGGTTAGAGCAACACGGCGGAGGTGCACGTCCAACTGCGCGGTCTTCCACACGTTGCATGCGTCATCCAACTGCACTTGGCTTCAAATCTTTCCGCTTTCGTCTCCTTTCTGTTCCTCCTCTCACCCCTCCCACTCTTTACCACTCGTCCCCTCAACAAATAATACAATGTGGATATTTCATTCCCCCCCCCTCTCCCCCGCAACAGCAATTTCGTACACCCCCACAACGAAGTACATATATATATATATATATATATATATATTAGTTGCACACGTTTCGCCCTCCTCGTCACTTCTCGTGGCTTTCCTTTGAACAGCATTTTTCTTTCTCACCACTTTTCTGCCACACCGCTCCCCTTTCGGGCCTTTTTCTTTTTCCCTTGCTCTCTTTGCCACGTGTGATTTATACATCGGTATCACAGCTTCTCTCGCACTCGATCCTCTTCTTTTTCCTTTTGTCTGTCTTGTGCTCGCGTCTGCGTGTGTTTCGCGCCTCGTCTCACCTGCGGTGCTGGTGTGTGTGTGTGTAGCGGAGGGGTAACACGCTGTCTCACGCGGCTGTGGAAAAAAGGGGGAAATCAAAAAAGAAAAACAAAGCAAACAGAAAGCACTGGAGCCGGGTGAAGAAAGGAAAGTTGTGGTGGGTTCAGCTCCTTGTGTAGCGGTTTCTCACTCACACACACACGCGGTTTCACACGCATGCAAAAGGATTTTTAGGCGTGATTTGTTTGTCTGTTCGACTTTTTCTTCCTGTGCGTCACTTGTGCGTGTATGTTTGGTCATCCACAGAGGGACGTGTGTTTTTTCTTTATTAAAAACCTTCAGTCGACGATTTCTTCTGCGAGGCGGCCGTGAGCGTCGAGTCATTTGTTTTTGTTTTACTTTCTATTCCAGCGCTTGTGCTGTGTTGTCGGTGTTGCTGCTACGCTACTCTCTCTTTCTCTCTCTCTCTCTGTGTTATCTAGTTTTTCATCTATCTCTGTTCTCCGCACAGCCACTATTAATACGCTTCTTATTACTTCTGTTTATCTCCAAGTTATTTCGTTGGCATAAGTTCTTTTCTTTTCTTCTTTTGCGCTTTGATTGACTCACGTCTGTTTCTTCCTCCCCTCCTCTTCCCTCCTCTTCCCTCCCCTTCTCCCCCCTCTGCTTCTCCTCTACGGGCTGCGGGTTTTTTTGCTGTGGAAAAGCGCACAGGGAAAAGGGAAAAGCGGAGAAGACAAGGAAATACGTATACACATAAAGATCCTCTCACAATTTATTTCTAGGAGGCGTTTTGCTGCTCGTGCAAATCAACGTCGTGACCATCTTGCTCCTGTAAGGAAAGGAAAAGAGGAGAGAGAATCAAAAAAGGGACTTGGGCGAGGTGCTCTTCGCCTTACGCACGTTGTTGTACCTATTATTGGTTCTGATTAAATTGTGGAAATCACTCTGCGAGTGTCGCATGAGAAGCTGCCTTTGCTTAAGAAAGATATCTATTTTTTTTCCGGTTAAAGGAAGAGAGAGAGGGAGCATTGCCGTGCTTCTCACCGCCAAGCTTTTCCTTCTTATTAGAAATAAGGCGGTGTTGTCTCTGTTGAGGATATCACCGTGACAATCTTCTTTCTTGCTTTGTGCCGATATATTTTCTTTCTCTTTCCAATTTTCGGTTTCTGCCGCCGCGCGTGTGTACGGAGGAGGCTGTCTGACCTACAGGGATAAAATCTACAGCAGCACCGCGTTTGCCCCAGAAGCTGCTCTGCCTTTCTCTTTTGTTGTTCCCATTGCTGCTGCGGTTTGTGCTGACTCTGTCGTGCTGAGGCGCTTGTTCCACCCACCCTCACCCCCCTCACGTGCGCAAACCACCATAGACAGAAGCGTGCGCGTTCAGATCCTACGACGGGGACCTACCATTTTTGTTCTGAGAAAAATCTATTGTTATTATTATTATTACTATTATTACTATTTTCCGTTTGCTGTTGTCACGGGACGTGGTGGCAGCTGCCGCAAGCGGAGGACGTGCGATTTTACTTTGCCCTTTTGTCGTTTGCTGTAGCACCGACCTCTATCGTGCCTTGTCGCACTGATCTCAAAAAAGAGTAGCACGGAGAAAGGAAGAGAGCTGCTGGAGCTCGCCCTGCCCGTGTTTTTACGCGGTGCTCGTTGCACCTCCTCGGTATTCTTGTTCTTATCTGTTAATTCCGACTCGGTAGTGTCGTTCACAGCGAGGCCGGTCAGAAGGGGAAATGGATCCTCGCTTCCTCGCAGACTTTTTCGGTTCCTTTGGGGCGGACGGCGCGCAGTCCCACCTGCCGTGGAACATCGAAGGCGAGTTAGCCGGACCCGGTAGAGGCTTCGGCGAGGGCCTCCGCATCGCAGCGAACGGCCGCGAGTGGCGCGTGCTCGAGGTTGGTGTGGCGGAGGATGACATGGATCAGCCACCCTACCGCAGCGACTCGCAGCTGCGCGATGCGGCGCGGGTGCTGCCACCGGTGTGTTTTGCGCCGCTCGTATCGCAGTACACCCGTCTGCTGCGCGACCCTCGGTGGGCAGTGCAGGACGTGCCGCGGATCATGTCGGCCATGCTGCACGATCCAGTCCTGTTTCACGTGATGGATGCGAATCCGTTGGCGCCGCTGAGCGACTACCGCGTGACGGCCATGACGCGGTGGTGGGGCGTGGTGGCGAAGCCGGCGCTGCGCTACGACTACAACAGCGGACGTCCGCTGCGAGGGGTGGTGGAGGAGACGGGGACGGAGACGGAGGAAGAGGTGCAGCAGCAGCAGCGCAGTAGTGGCCGCCCTACCGGAATAGGCGAAGCAGAAGAATGCAGCACCGTGAACGAAGACGAAGAAGATGTCGCCGCCGCCGGCTGTCCGCGAGACAGGCGGATGCCCTTCGAGGAACTGCGCCAGCGCTATCGTGACATCAAAACGGTTCTCACGCTCATCGTGGCGACGAGCGCGCCCTACCGCTGCTCTCGGCCCGCCAACGCGGCCGTCTCGGGCTGCACGGCGCGGCTTGTCTTCTGCAAGGACCCGTCAATTATTTACCTGGGTCTGCTGCTGAACACCGTGCTGCGGGAACTGCCGCGGAAGGTGCTGTGCAGCATGTCCGTGTTTCGCCTCATCGCCGAGGGCTGGGGAAACTCGCCATCGCTGCAGGCGATACTGCAGGCCGCCTGGGAGGACTACCAAGACACCGTGGAGGAGATCCGTGTGCTGCTGAGGGCCGGCACTGCCGCCGCCGCCGCGGCAACCGAAGAGGAAGGGGAGAACTCCGCTTCGGCGTCTGCTCGCGCATCACCCACCGCGGTGCCCACACCGGCGGTGGAATATCAACTCTGTCAACCACAGCAACAGCATCGTCCGCGCCGCTCCCCACCGCACCTCCGCTTCCCCTCGCAGCCTCACGAAAGCGCAGAGGACTCTCAAACGACCACGTCCGCCACCTCCTCCTCTTTCGGAGCGACCGCGGCGGTGTCCGAGAACGGGCAGCCGGTGGAGTTCGGCATCCCGCTCGGGCGGGAGCGGGTCAGCGCCACACGCGCCGGCGCCTCCAACGTCTTCGCGCCGAACTCCTTCGATGCGTTCCAGCAGCGCTTCGACGGGTTGGGGCGCCGCTTTGGCGGCAGCGGCGTATCGGAAAGTGTATTCCGCGCTGCTCGAACGCCTCCGTCACTCGTCACTGCCGACACGGCCGCAGGAGGGGCGACGTCGGCGGCGGCGGGCGATCGCCGCAATCCAGCCGCCGCGGGCACCACCACTCCTCCTCCTACTACCACCGCGACGGATGCTTCAGCAGACAGCAGCAACGCGACCTACCGCACCCAGGATGCGGATCGCATCTGCCTCGAGAGCATGCGGGAGTGCGCGCAGTCGCCGGAGTTGCTGCTGTGGTGGGCCCGGTGCCGCCTGCTCGCCTATCAACTACTGGACAGCTCAGCTCGGGTAAGCGTGGAGTCGACGCGTGCCCTCGAGTTCTTCCGACAGCTGTGGTCGTGTGCGCCGCTGGTGCGAGAGATTCTGGAGGACGATCACGAGGCGTTGCTGAGCGCGTCGTTGGACGTAGAGAAAACGACGACGCCTGCCTCTCATGAGAGGGGCTCCAGTGAAGTGGGGCCGGCCGCAGCAGCGGAGGCGGAGGAGCAAAGCCAAGGGGAGAAAGGAACTCCTGTCAGGGCGACACGACACGCAGAGGCGACGAAGGCACTGGAGGCGCTGCAGCGGCGTGCCCGTCGTCTCTACGCCGCCCTCGTCGGCACCGTCGCTGACGTGTCAAAGTTTTGGTTCTCCATCCGTGTGGCTCAGTCCACGCTGAACGCCGTCTCCTCCAGCGCACCAGAGAACAACGTCGTGTGGTCCATCGTGAACGCCACCGTGCCGCCGCGGCGTCGCTTCCAGCGGGAGGAGTTTTCGAGCTACGCCGAGCACTGGCAGTACGCTCTTCTAGTGGACGACTACGTCACCCAGCCGATGGGCTTCTGCGTGTCGATGCGGGGCCGCACGATGGTCACCCAACTCCTCCACGTCTTGTCCTCCTACCCCACCTTCTACCCTGCGCTGGTGACTCGCACCCTGGCGATGCTAAACCGGCGCGAGATGTTTGTGGCGGAGCTGAACGGCCGCCTTGTCGCCGCGGTGACCCGCTGTCTGCGCTTTTACCTCCCACCGATGCCGCCGGTGCAGCCCATCCCGCCTGCCGTCGTCGCACCGCCTGCCGTTACCAACAGTACTACTAGTACTACTGCAACGGCATCCCCATCACCAACTACGGCAGACGGCACACGCGACCACCGTGGGGCAGCTGCCGCCTCATCCGCCTCCTCTCCCCCCTCCGCCTCCCCCGCGTCTTCGATATCCACTTACTACTCGCCCCCGTCGGAACACCTAGATGCGGATGGGCCGGCCACGGACACAGTGTCTGCCCAGCCGGCGGAGTCGAATGGTCACGCCGCTGCCTCCGCAACGGAAGCGGTGGCGGAAGGGAGAGAGACAGCCAACGTCAACGGCGCGGACGCGTCTTCGAGTGGGCTCAACTATGAAGCCTACATCCTCAGCGACACGGACGTGGAGGCATCGGCGGGCGACGACGACGACGAGGAGGGCGGCATCCACAACGCGTCCAGCGCACACCGCAGCGGCCGCCACGATGCGGGTGACGCGGGAAAGGAGGAGGATGGAGAGAGGGAGTTGGAGCGACACCCGCGACTGCGCCGCCGGGCTGCGAAGAAGGCCGCCCTCGCCCGTCTCGAGGCGCTGCGCCGGCGGCAGGAGGCGGCGATGCCGGTGCTGACGACGAAGGCCTACGACGCCATTCTGACGTGTCTTGATGTACTTCGCATGCTGGTGCGCCACACGCACGTCTCTGTGAACCCCATTGGCGTTCTGTTCACGGCGCCGACGTCGACGGCCACCACCGCAGCGACGACGGCAGCAGAGGCGGCAGGGGCCTCGCCGTCGTCAACAGGCCCGGTGCCGGACCCCGCACCACCGGCGTCGTCTCCTCCACAAGCCGCAGAAGGCGTGCCCAACCGCGCCGCTGACGCCACGGTGGGAGTGACAAGCGATGCCACGGGTAGCGCGAATCGCGGCAACCCGAGCGACGACCTCTGCCGTCACCGCCGTGAATCCCGCTACGAGCCGTCCCCCTTCAAGCCACAGAGTGACCTCTACACCCTGCTGCATCAGCTCGTGCAACAGACCCGCTACGGCCCGCTTGCGATGGCTGCGCTGCGGTTCTTCTCGGCGTGTGTGCATTACAACGTGCGGGACATGGTGCCGCTCTTCACCGAGCGAGGGCTGCTGAATACCGTCTTGGCCATCGCCCGCCGCCCGTGTCCGTCATCCGTGCCACCGCCGCCGCCACAGCTCAGCATGCGTGATCGTTCGCACCGAAGCCAACGGCATGAACATTATACTAGTAGCGTGGTCAGCGGCGCCGCCTCCGCTCCTGCTGCTGCTGCTGCGCCAGCGGAGGCAGCGATGCCGGCGTTATGGTTTGCGCTAGACTCGCTGGAAGAGACAGGCCTGCCGAACATTCCGTCTCGTGACGCGTCGCCGCCTTCTGCGGCCGCTTTGGCTGCCGAGGCTTCGCCGGATAGCAACGCGTCCATTTGGCAGTGCCCACTGCTCACGGCCGACCCGCCCCCCTCGCTGCTCGTGCGCTACATCCCGCAGGAGGACCCGTACCTGAACACCGTGTCGGTGCGCATGGTGCTTCCGGAGTTCGTGGAGGCGATGACGGTGCATCAGGCCACCCACGCGGTGTTTCGCAAACACCTGCAGTGGATCCCGGCCTCGCTAGACGGCTTAGTGGTCACCGCTCCGCTTTCCACCTCGACGCCGGCGGACATTCGTGCCCTGTGGGAAGACGAAGAATGGGAGACATTGGCCGAAGGCGGCGACCCCTCGCACCTGGCGGAGGCCATGAACGAGGAGGAAGGAAGGTCGAGCGGTGGCGCACGGGAGAAGGCGGTGCGGCAGCGGCAGCAGCAGCGTGCCCAGCTCGAGTGCCGCAGCAGCGTCACCTATAAGCGCCTTCTGCGGTCACTGCTGGCGTCACGCAATGCCAGTCGTTTGTGGGAACGCCACTCTAGTCCGCACAGCGAGACAGCAAGGCCGACCACGGACGCGGCGCCCCAACAAGGAGTGCCGTTGGTGTCCACCCAGGCCGTCGATGCCTCGCTGATTCGACTGGTGGAACTCTGCCGTTTGAACCTGAAGCGGGAAGAGGTGGGCTACAAGATTCTGCAAGGCTCGGTGAAGGACATGAGCCGTGTGCTGACGGAGGTGCTGCAGCCTTCCACGGAACTGATGGACAAGTTGAAGCCCGCCCTCCATCACCAGCTGGCGCAGCTCGATACTCGGGTGTGGCAGTTCGCCGACGCGGTGCGAGCAGGCGCCACCCGCGCCAAGCCGTTCGCGCCCTCCTCCTACGGCCCCTCTGCGTCGGCAGCGGTGACCTTCCCACGCAACTTTAGCACTGCCTCGTCCGACGACGCACCGCTGCACGCATCGACGTCGTCAGCAGAAGTCAAAAGGAGGCCGCGGCGAGTCTTTCCCGCTTCACGCGACGATTTCTTTCAGCTGCTGGTGCGTGCGATGGAGCTGTGCCGCAGCTTCAACAACTTCTTCGCCTTCTTTTCGGGGATGGACTGGACCGGGCAGCGGCGCGGCCCCCGGCTGGCGCGGAATAGCGCGGAACGGCAGGAGGGCATGCAGGCGTTGAGGGACGTTCTCAACGGCACGGTGGAGAAGTTCCACCGCGCGATTCGGCGGCTGTGGTCTCTGATGGGGTGTCAGATTCCACTGGACCTGCGCGGCACGCCGCTGCACATCTGCGAGCTGGGCACCGCGGACGGTGAAGGCTCCCTGCTGAGCTACGTGCAGGTGGTAATTGGCCAGGGTATTCACCCCCGCATCTTGAGTGATTACCTGCGCAGTACACAGCCGTCGCCGGTGCTGGAGGCGGTGCTGCGGTCGACGGTGCGCTGCATCCTGCACCACTCCACGCGCAGCCTCTTTCACCTCCACAGCCCTGCCGTCAGCACCGCCGCGACACAGAACACCAAGGCGGCACCCACAACGACTGCTGACAACAGCGGCGAAACAAATCCGCAGTCGATGGCGCAGCAGGCGTTCTGGATGGAGGCAGAGGATGCCGAAAAACGAGACACGCTCCTCAGCGACCAGAGCTTCCGTCAAGCAGAGCTGCGCCGGCTGCTGCGCGCCACCGATGCACAGAGCAGCGTTCAAGGCGTGCCGGAAGCCTGCAACAGTGCCAGAGGAGAGGCGGAGGCGCAAACGGGGCTTTCAACGAACGCCGCTGCGGCGGCTCTTGGAGAAGGTCACGGCAGCGCAGAAGCTCCAGCGACGCGCCCCGTTGAGCAGCCCCCTTCCGGCTGGCGTGTAGACCCGAGCGACGTCACCGCGGCATCGCCGGAGGCCGAAGCAATCCGCCACGAGCCCGTGCTTGTCGAGAGCACCGGCTATCCCTGCTACGACTGTGTGTCCAACGTGCTTCGGCCGCTGAGCATGGGTGATGGCATCTTCCTTCGACAGCTGCTGGAGGCGTGGCGGGCGACCGCAGCGAGCAGCAGCAACACCAGCACCATCAACGTAGCTGGTTTCGGCGCCGTCGCGGGCGGCCCGAACCGGCGCGACGCCGACGGCGCACAGTGGAGAGGCGTCTTCGGGGACGTCCTCCATCACGTGGTGGACGCGGCCATCGTGCGAGCCCCGCTGAGCTGCGACGACGTGCCGAACCTGCTGCGTAGCCTGCGCAGCGGTGGCGGCGTGCACGCTGGAACGACCAGCGCCCTCCTTTCCCTGTACGATCGAAGCGCGGAGGCCGGCACGGCATTCAGCGACGGCACAAGTGGTGGTGGCCGCTCTCCGGCGGCCGCGGCGACTGGTGGTGGCCGGGACGTGCCGGCGGACCCCAGCGATCAACTCATGCGGTTTCTCCTGCAGGACAACCGCAACTACGTCAGCGAGCCGGCAACGGCGTGGATGACGGCGGAGGCGTGGCGCGTGGCGACGATGGAGGTGGACGCATCGAGTGGCGGTAGCGCCCCTGCGTCCGCTGCGACAGGTGCGGGGTTGACGGAGCAGCAACGTGCGGGCACCGCACTGCGACCCCTACGCACAAGTAGCGACGGCACCACCACTGCTGCGGCAGGTGTTTCTGCCTTCTCCCCCGGGTCGCCTCCAGCGTCGGGTACTTCCCCTCCTCCTTCGCAGAGCCCACCCGCCGAAACGGCCTTTGCGTCGGGGCTTGAAGACGTCGCGCTTCGTGTGGAGAGCGAGGAGGCGGGCTTCAATGCACTTCGGTTGGCCATCAGCTCTTCGACCTCCCCCTCCCCTTCCTCCGCGGTTCTCACGCCCACGCCGCAGACAACCTCCGCTGGGGTGCCAGCGCACCTGACGGCGGGCGGTGCCGGTGTGCCAGCCGAGGAAGGACCTGGTTTTCTGCCCGCACGGACAACGGAGAACGCGGCTGACCGACCTATCGACGCGCCTCCTCTCTTCGTCCCACTGGACCCCATGAAGGCACTGCAGCAGTGGATCTTCATGACCCTCTTCAACGGCCGCCGCCGAGGCATGACACAGGTCATGGACAGCTTCTCCCACATCACCACCTACCGCTCCGACAGCCGCACCCGCGCGATGCTGCCGCTGAACGTGTCAGCCCTCCAGCGGACGGTGCAGGCCGACCTGGTCGCTGCGTTTGAGAGGGCCGTGTGTGGCGCGTACGCGGATGCGCTGACCCGGGAGCAGTGCCACTCGCAGACGGCAGCCATCCGTGCAAGCGAGCCGGAGAAGTACGCGCGGGCGGTCGACGAGATCGTGGCGACACGGCGCCACTGGCGCGCTGCCGCCGCGTCTCCGTGCGGATGCTCGGCATGACGCCGCCTCCGGTTCTACGTTTCC